GGGCCTGGTATCCTCAAAGTCGCTGGCGACTTCTGCCTTCAGCCAGCAGGGGGACAGTTGCTAGAGAACCCTGGGAGCCCACGCTGCGGGCAGGAAAGCTGCCTGCCCTCTCCGTTGAGAGCTGGAAAAATCTCTGCCTTTTGAGTCTCTTCATCCGTGAAGAATGAACCAAAAAGTAAGATATAAAGAGCCACCCCCCACACACCAAGAGGCTGAGAATCCGCCTAAGTCACGCTGATACACCCCGAGCACCCTTATCTGGGATCTGCACATGTGGGTGGTCTTCGCCCCCGGAGTCTTCCACGGGGCGGGCAGTGTCCCCCTCCATTCCAGTACTGTCCTTCCCCGCCTCCCGGCCCCCCCCCTTTCCTTCTGGAACACAGACTTTGACGGTGAGGACGGTAAAATCCATATAGTGTGTAATAACTAGCAATTTAAAAATGACAAACTACAACAGCCTTACAATATAAAAGAAAAATGGTCCCAAACCTGGTTTCGGGGAAATAATTTCTTTTAAAGCTGATGTAATTCAGTCTCCTTCTGGAGAGAAAAGCACTTGTGATAAAATGCTTAAGCTATTCTTAGATAAACTTTTAATGGCATTAAGATTTGTTCTGGGAAATTTGTTAGTGGGCAGACTGAGCGGTACCATGGGGCCCCCCCAAACCTACACACTCTAAATGGGTTCTGCCCTCTGCCGCATAAAGACAAAGTATTCTCTTGGAGTGAAAGAACTTTAATAGGATTAGGGTGCAGAGAGAGAGAGAGAGAGAGAGAGAGAGAGAGAGAGAGAAAAGGATAATAGTTTTTCAGTAAAACACCTGCTACCCATGCCTTCGTGGGTAAATGCCCAGCCAAATAGGGTTGGCCCAAAGCGGGGTTACTGAGGCCTGAAAGTTTGCCCCGAGTCTAAGGCAACTTCTGTGGGGAACCACAGGACCGGGGAGGAGGGGCCGGGCAAGTCTGGAAGAGAGGAGCAAAATCAGAGTATGAGCCAAGGTGACAGCCGCCACGGTCAGCTCCTCGCGGGTCTCTCACTCATGTCTCTTCCGCTGTCTCCTTCCAGTGGGTACTGTCAGGAAGCAAGCGGCTGAGTCTTGGGGTGCCCCCACTAACAGTTGGGAACGGTAGAGCCTGGCTGGAGGAGGTGTTGCAGGTAAGAAAGCAGCAATCCCGCAAAGAGGGGATTGCTGCGTGACCTTGAGGCAGAGCGGGTTCCTTGCCAGCTTGTCTGCCAGCTTCTCTCTCCTGCCAGCCTGATTAGCCCACTGCAAGGCTGGGTTTTCTATTTCAACCTCAGCTGATTTTTACTCTTTCAAGCCCCAGAAAGTTTCCACTCTTGCAATTTCATGTATAAATATACATTTGTGTCTATGGGTCTTTTTTATTTAAATATTTATTTATTTATGCATACAAGAACTGGGGTGTAAGCCAGAGGTGTCGGGGGTGAAAGGATTCAGCAGAGACAGGGTGGGGAGCAGAACAGGCGCATTTACTGAAATCCACTGCTGAGGGGAGCAGCGGGCGAGGCAGGAGAGGTCTGCTGCACCATGTGGGTTGCTCCCTGGCCAGCCAGGGATTGAACTCCTGCTGCAGTGGCTGGCGATAGCTTGATAGCACTGTCTTTAACCCCTTCGCCACCAGGAAGGCCTTCTGTGGGTCAAGGTTAAAAAAAAAAAAAAGGAAGTGAAGCAGCTAACAAACTGAAAAGATGGCACACAGACGATGATGGTCTGGGAGCACACAGGACAACTGTTCCCATCTTGGGGCAAATGGGAGAAGTGTCTTAGGGGTTAAGAGGTGTATGGGCCTCCCTGGTGGCGCAGCAGTTGAGCGCTGAGTTGCAAAGCTGCCCGCAGCCTCTGCAGCGCCGGTTCGATCCCTGGCTGCTCCCCGGCCACCAGTGAGGGTCCCACATGGCACGCAGACCTCTCCTGCCACCCCCACCTCTCCTGCCGCCCCCTGCTCCCCTCAGCAGTGTACTTCGGTCCTTCTGCCTGCTGTGCTCCCCGCTCTGGCTCTGGTGAATTCTCTCACCCTCCCGCGCTTCTGACTGTACCCAGTGCTTGTATAAATAAATAAAAAATAAAATAATAAATATTAAAAAAAAAGAGGTGAGTGCTTCTGGGGTGCAATCACCCTGCACCCTGATGGTTGTTGGGGATGAGGGAGAAAAATCTCAGGTGCCACCGCTCAGGGAAGGCAGGTCTGGAAACAGGAGAATGACAGCCAGCAAAGCGCTGTCACCTGTAAGGGACAGAGCCTGTGTGGACCTCAAGGCAGGGGAGGTCTGAGGCCAGCCCCCTGCTGGCTTGGTCCAGCGCTGACCAGTCCTTGAGGCCCTCTGAGTGGGCACTGGAAACCAGCCCCCTCCAGGGCCTGGGAGCTCCCCAGCCCTGTATTCCCACGGCCATATGTTTTCATCAAGTTGCCTAAGTTGGACACTGAAGCCAGAATCAGCTCAGCCTGTTATCTCTCCGCGGGCAGACTTCCTCCCCATCACATTTCCCCTCCTGTCAGGAGGCTCCGGGGACCACAGCAGTGTTCAGAATGTGCACAGTCCTTCTTACACCGGCTCTGCAGAACTGTGAAGGCTTCAGCCCCTCAGAGCCTGCCTCTGCCATCACCCAGACCCACAGAGGGGGTGGGGGTGGGGGTGGGCTGCCCCGCCTGACCTTCTATGGGCCCCGGGCAGCAGCCATCCTTGACTACCCACTACCGGGGTGGATGTTCTTTCTGAAATTTGTTACTCACATTTACAGGCACACGGTAAATACACAGCACCAGGGTATCCCGGAGTCACCGGCCCGCCCCAGGTCCCAGCGCCGCGCCTCCGTGATCCGCGGAACACGGTCTGGAGGATCTTTCCAGAAATTTTATAACTAGATCCGTATCTAGATTTTTTTAAAAAATTTTTTTAATAGAGACATGTTTTATTTGTTTGTTTTGTTTATACAAGCACTGGGTACAGTGAGAAGCGCGGGAGGGTGAGAGGATTCACCAGAGCCAGAGCGGGGAGCAGAGCAGGCAGAAGGACCGAAGGACACTGCTGAGGGGAGCAGCGGGCGGCAGGAGAGGTCTGCGCGCCCTGTGGGACCCTCGCCCGGCGACTGGGGATCGCGACTGGGGATCGAACCGGCGCCGCACGGGAATATATTTGCACCCGCTCTGCACCGAACCTGCCCGGGGAGCGTCGCGCCCGCACCGCCTCCCGTGAGGGCCGCGCAGGGGCCGGCGCCAGACTCCCGCGGCCCGGGGGGAGAGGTGCCCGCGCGCACCCACCGCCGCCGCCCCGCACGGGCCGGCCTGCGCGCGCGCGGACCCCACACGGGAGGCCACCGGGCGGCGGCCTTTCCCCGTGAGGCGGTTTCCGAGCCTCCCCGCGGGAAGGAAGCCGCACTCGCGGGTGGGGCAGGCGCGGACCCGGGCGCAGGAAATCAGCCCCGGCTGACAGTCAGGCCCGATCCCTCAGCCTGGCGACGACGCCCGGCCCCATCACGGGGGGGGGGGGACCCCATCCCCCTCCCCCTCCCCCTCCGCCTGGGCGGTGGGGCGTCTTCACCGCCGCGGGTCGCCGGCCGTTTGCAAGCGGCCGCCCCGCCTTTCGCCGAGTCCCGTTCCGACGGGCGGGACCGGGTCAACAGAACATTCTAGAAGCAGCAGCGCCGCCGCGAGGCCGGCTGTGCCGCGAGCGCGGCGGGGTGTCGGGGCGCAGGCCGCCCCCGTCCCGCGCGGGCCCCGCCGCTCTCCTCGGGGTGCGGGTCCCCCTCGCAGCGGGGCGCCCGCTTGTCCTGCCTCCTCTCGGCGGCCGGCCCCCCGCTTCCCGGAGCAGAGCCGGGGCTCGCGCTCGGCTCCAGGCTTCGCGGAGGGGAGAGAACGACAGAGAACGACAGGCTCAGGGGACACCCCGCTTCCCGCGGGCACAGCTTTAGGCGGCCCGGACCTTAGCGATCAGCTCGCAGCGACGCCCCCACCTGTTTGCTCGGAGGGGGGTGTGCGCGCTGGCAGGGCGGAGTAGTTACGTAATTTGCCGAGTCAACTCAGGTCTCCGACCCGGAGGACTACAAGTCCCAGAATGCGCCCAATTATTAGCGTAGGAAGAAGTCGCGATTGAGGGAGCGTTGCCTTCTGGGAATTGTAGTCTCGTACTTGTTTGTGACGCAGACGAAACTAAGGGGCCGCGGAAGAGGGAGTAAACTATTGCTACGTGACGCCCGGGTCAGGTGGGCGGGCCGCCTCCTCGCCGAGCTGTGATTGGCTGGCTCTCTACGGACGACGCCACTAGGGGCGGGCCGAAGAGCCGCGCAAGCGCAGTGCGTTGCGAGTCTCGGGATCCTTTTCCGAGAGACTATGGCGCTCAACAAGAACCACTCGGAGGGCGGCGGGGTGATCGTCAACAACACGGAGAGGTGGGCCCGCTGCGCGAGGGGGCCGGGGCACGCGTGGGGGCGCCCAGGGGGCGGGCGCGGGCGGGGGCTTGAACCGGCGAAGGGGCGCTGGGTGGGGGGCGGGGACGGGTAACGGCTGGGGCGGGGCGGGGCGGGGCGGGGCCGGCTGTGGGGCCGCGCGGGGCGGGATGGGGCGCCCGGGCCGGACTGGGGGGGTTGTGGGGTCTCGGAGCGGCCTCTGCCAGCGTCGGTGCCCGAGCGACGGGAAGGGCCGAGAGCGAGCGGCCGGCCCCTCACTGCGTGTCCTGTCCCCGCGGTCACGCAAAACGCCAACCCTGGGTCCCAGCTACTGATTCGTGCGCCTCTTCCCTGTGGGGAAACTGAGGCACAGAGCGGCGCCGTGACTTGCCTGAGCTCACAGCGCTGTGCGCAGCAGAGGTGGAATTGCAGGAGAGGCCCCCAAAGCCCTTCCCTGGACTCCCAGGGGATCGCCTGCGTGCCCCACCTCTGCTGTTGGCAGAAGGGAAACAGAGGCCCGAGGTGAAAGTCGGCCCACGGCACTTGTGGACTGTCGTACTGGCACGGGCACCGTGTCCTTCCTTGTGGGTGGGTCCCTGCCTCGCTCCCTCACCAGCCGCGGACTTGGGTCACTCCTCAGAGCACGCTCCCAACGTCAGGGTTTTTCCTGCCACCCCAGTCCACCCCATGGGTTCACTCTCTCCAGCCTCTGGGCTCCTTGGGTGTGGGGAGTCAAACCAGACCGACCCTGCGGAGCCGTGCAGACCCTGAGGCCCCTCTTGAAGGCAGAAGCACCTCGGCAGGAAGCTTAGGCCCCAGAGGAGACAGTGGGGTGAGAACCCTGTACCAGCTCAGGCCAGCACCCCGCCCAGGGCACCAGGAATGCTCGAGTCGTTGGAGAAAGCCCTGGGCCCCAGATGGCTGGACACCGCAGTCCCTCCCTCGTACCTGCTGGGGGCTGAGGCCCCAGCTGCTGCTGGTGGTGACCTCCAGGCGCTGCTGCTCTCTCCTGCTGCTGCTCTCTCCTGCCGGCTGCTCTCCCTCCTACTCCCCGGCCCCAGTGAGGGAAGGTGTGGTGTTTGGGAAGAGGAAGATGACAGAGCAGCCCTGTGGACCTTCATAGCTCGCAACCAGAAAGCTCCGTGCCTCCTGTCTAGCGTGTCTGCGCGTGAGCCGGCCCCCGGCCTGGACACCCTTTTGGTGCCACTGTGGCATCTCTTGGGACTGTTTTTCTTTCTCAGCAGACTTTTCTGGGACAAGAATGCCTTTGTCTTGCTGGGCCGCCTGCCTGGCCTGCCTCGGTGCTGCTAAGTAATGGCGCGCCTTCTTTCAGGAAACGCGTCAGCCTCTTTTCTGAGGAAATTGTGTGTGTAGTTGCAGTTTGAAGTCAGCGCTTAGCATTTGCCGTGTAAAATAGGAACCGTTCACTCTCCAAGTCCTGAGCCACTTTGAGCATGATGAACACTACGGACTCGCGCAGGGCTTCATCTCCAGGGCTCGTGGGCTGACATCCCCGCAGACCCAGCTCCTGAACCCCAGGTTGAAAGGAACTCTGAAGTAAGCCCTTTGGTGACGTATAGCACTGTGTCCCAGAATGCTTGTGGGTCAGGCTTAAGAAACAAACCAACAGAGACAACACCTACCCCACGGACTCAGAAGAAAACAGAAGCGTTGACTCGGCTCATGAACCTGATTTGGGGGATTAGGGCTTCTCCAGAGGCTGCTCTTCTGCACGGGCTGCTTAGGCTGAGGGGGTTTGGGGGATTCTGTCCATCTCAACTAGCTTGTCTTTTCCGTGGCCGTGTGAACCGTCCTCGAAGCACGTCGCTGCTGCTGGGAGGGACAGCACCCAGCAGCCGCTTACCTGGAGGGCCCCATCCCTGAGCCCCAGGTCCGCGTCTGCGGTGTCTCATCAGGGCCTCTGCTCCCCCCGCAGCATCCTGATGTCCTATGACCATGTGGAACTTACCTTTAATGACATGAAGAATGTGCCCGAGGCCTTCAAAGGGACCAAGAAAGGCACTGTCTACCTTACCCCTTACCGGGTGAGTTGCACGGTTGATTTGGGGTGGCTCCCAGGGGGGCAGGGGTGATGCGAGTCTTGGCCAGCTTCAACTTCGTGAGTGCAGTGACCTCTGAACCCTGGGGAATGTTAGCGCCTCCTTCCATGTGTTTCTCTGTCATGTGCCCTTGGGGTCTAGAATCACCAGGTGAACTACCAGGCAGTGAATTCACGCAAGTTCCAGAACTGTTGCTGCAAAATCTCCGTAGTTGGACGCAGCTGCGGGGACGACCAAGGCCCGGCAGGGACGGGCAGTTACTACTTGATTTGTCCAGAAGTAGCCTGGAAGCCTTTGTGCCCATCCACAGTGTGAAGGGGTAGACGGGATACAGTTGCCTGGCCCCAACCTCGGGACTGGGCAGAGAGCTTGGCAGAACCCTGCAGAGCGAGAACTGCCAGGCAGCAGAATGGGCCTGGCCTGAGAGTCACCCGCGCCAGCTCTGAGAGCCGTCGCAGAAACGCAGATGACTCTTCTGGGAAAGGATCGCGGCCTGTAACTGCCCGAGAGTTGGCCTTAAAGATGGCCGGAGCAGAGGGGCCCGTCTTCAGGTTTTAGTCCCCAGGGCTGAGTGCAGACGGGAGACTCTCAAAAGCCCATCTCTGGTGGTTCAAATTGGCATCTTCAGCCACAGATGGAAGCCGGGGTTGGAGACAGAAGGTTCGCCAAGTGTGGGCTGGGAGACTCGTCGCTGTTGAGGCGGGGAGTGTGGGACGTTACGGCAGCCCCCTACTGGGGCCTGCCGCCCCTGCCACACCATCCTTTCCACTTCTGCCAAGCGGGGGCTCTCCTCCTCCAGAGGCTCCTCCCTACAGCACCTTCGCTGCCACCTCCCCACCACCGTGGGACAAGCCGTGCCCTCGCGTGCTGTCCCGGGCAGTGCAGCTCCCTGGGCAGACGCGCCTGCCTCTCCGCCCGGCTGTTCCGGGCCTCTGCTTTAAAAGCCCTCCTGGTCTGGTGCAGAGGGAGCCCTGGCGCTGGCCCTGGCGCAGGTGCCCCTGCAGCGCGCGCAGACAGTGAGGGCCTCCCCTCCCCCCGCAGGTCATCTTTCTGTCTAAGGGGAAGGACGCCATGCAGTCGTTCATGATGCCCTTCTACCTGATGAAGGACTGTGAGATCAAGCAGCCTGTGTTCGGCGCCAACTACGTCAAGGGGACAGTGAAGGCCGAAGCAGGAGGTGGGTCATGGGGGACGCAGGGACATGGGGCTTCAAAAGAGGTGCTCTGGGGCACCCTTGACTGCTGCCTTGGGCCCTCAGCACCCCAGTCTTGTCCTCTTCCTGGCTCTGGGTTAGTTTCCAAGACAAGCCCAGGGCTGCCCTGCGCGCAGGAGTGGGTTCTGCTTGCCAGGACCTGGGGCTGCTGGCAGATGGCTGCTGGGCCACCACTTCGGAGTGCGGTCAGTGACACTAGCTCAGGAGAGATGCTCGCTGTGGCTGGGGACGTGCACGCAGCTGTCCGGTGGGCCCGGGGAAGAAGGATCTTCCCCCGAGTCCCGAGTAGCCAGCTCCCCCTCGGGGCCACCCAGAGAGGCCCTGCTTGGGGGCAGCTCTTGCGCAGACACCAGAGAGCGGGCCATGACGAACTTGCCACCCCTGCACCCGGCTAGGCCGCGCGGCTGTTGCCGAGCACGGTTCCCCCCGGATGACGCCAGGCGAGGGAGGCCAGGGTCCAGCTCAGGCCCCTCATGATGCGAGAGCTGCTCTCAGCTTGAACGTCAGTTGTTGCTTTGTTGCGTGTCCCCACTTCCGGGGAGCTGCTTTATTGGGGGTGGGAGGATAGGCTTGTTCCAGGAAGGAGAGGCCCCCCGCCGCCGCGCTCCCCTCCGGCCCCGCTCCAGGCGCAGACAAGGAGCAGGTGGCCGCACTGGGGCAGCCCCGTGGGCAGCAGGGAGGCAGGCGCCGGAGAGTTGGCCTTTCCCCCCGGCCTTCGGGGGCCTGGACCCACGCCCACACTGCCTCTTCCGACGGCCTTAGCGGCCTTAATGGGTTTCTGCCCTCGTTCCCTTGGCAGGCGGCTGGGAAGGCTCCGCGTCTTACAAGTTGACCTTTACGGCAGGGGGCGCCATCGAGTTCGGGCAGCGGATGCTACAGGTGGCTTCGCAAGGTACGGAGGCGCTCAGTGTATGGGCTGGGCCTGTTTGTGGTCTTGTTCGTTCACTTGAATTTAGTCACCTTTGGTCCGTGTTTTGAGCGCTCAAGTGCCAAGTCTGCGGGGCCCGGCTGGCAGGGCCGGGCACTGGGAAGGCCTGTAATTAGCACCGACTCTGTTCGATACTCAAAGGCCGGGTCCCCTGCCTGGAGCAGGTGGTGGACACTTTGACGAAGCTGTCTGGACTCTAGGACATTTACTGTGACCTCGTAAAAACAACCCAAACACGCTTCCGTGGCACACCGTCTGCAGTCTTGGGGGTGTTCCGCAGACAGCACCCCATGCGCAGACGCGCCCAGCTCCTTCTCCACTCACCCACCCCCCAGCCTCCAGCCTTCCTTGACCTCCCCCACCCAGTGCTGACCTCTCCTCCCATCCAGCCCTTCGCCCTGTCCCTGAGCAGGCTGCTCAGGTGCGGCGGGGAGTGGGGAGTGGGGAGGTGTCTGCTGTGCACCTTCCTCGGGCCCTGCAGCGCCCCTCCACCAGCACCGAGGCTGCTCTCTCCCCAGCCCCAGGCAGGCGACACTCACTTCTCTCTCCCCTTGTGCTTGTAGCCTCCCGAGGTGAAGCCCCCAATGGAGCCTATGGGTACTCTTACATGCCCAGCGGGGCCTATGTCTATCCCCCACCAGTCGCCAATGGAATGTACCCCTGCCCTCCTGGCTACCCCTACCCACCGCCCCCACCTGGTGAGTGTGTCCTTTGCTCCCCACCCACCTACCCACCAACCACCCCACCCAGGCCAGGGGGCAGGTCTGACGGAGCAATGGAGACAGGCCTCGGAGGGTCCGGGCCATGGGAGCCAGGCCCGGCTGCTCACGGCTCCCTGTGGCTCTCTCGCCAAGCAGAGTTTTATCCGGGACCCCCCATGATGGATGGGGCTATGGGATATGTGCAGCCCCCGCCGCCGCCCTATCCTGGGCCCATGGAGCCTCCAGTCAGCGGGCCTGATGTCCCCTCCACTCCTGCAGGTGAGGCCCTGGGCTGCCGGCCGTCCTGGGGGGCCAGCCCTCACCTTCCCTGGTGCACAGGGAGCCCCAAATGCTGCATGGCCCTTGGTCTGCAGCTACCTCAGGGGAGGCCTTGCCACGGCCTGGCCTGTGCCTCAGCCAGCGTGTGTCCTGGCCCCTCAGTACCTCGGTCTCATCGGCCCCCGGTGGGGTGGGTGGGGCACAGATGGGGGAGGTGTTGAGGCCGGAAAGGCCGTGGAGCGCGCGGGAAGGCTCGGGCCCTCCTGGCTGCTGTTTCACTGTTGGGTCTGGACCTTCCGCACTGGCTGCCGGGGGCAGAGGGGCCGGGCTGCTCCTCACAGAGGGGGCCGGGCTGGCCGGCTGCGCGGTGCTCTGGGGCGGGGGGACAGCGGGGCTCAGCCCGGGTGTGCTTGCTCTCACAGCCGAAGCCAAGGCCGCGGAAGCAGCTGCCAGCGCCTACTACAACCCGGGCAACCCTCACAATGTGTACATGCCCACGGTAAGGGGCGAGGGAGGGGCCCCTGCGCCCACGGTTGGCTGGGATTTAGGGGTGGGGAGACCGCATCTTGTTTCGAGCCTCCTAACGTGACCTTTCCTTTCTTTCCTCAGAACCAGCCGCCGCCGCCTCCCTACTACCCCCCGGAAGATAAGAAGACCCAGTAGGCCCTTCTCGTCCCTTCCTCCCTGCTCCCATTGCTCTTTCATTCCCCTCCCCTGGGGCGAGTCTGGGGCTGGCGGGGCGGGAGAGCTTGTTCTTCTCCAGGTGTGATGATAAAGCACTGACAGGAACTAGTGTGAGGGGAACTGGGGCCCCTGCGCTCGGGGCCCCCCACCCCGCCTCCCACCCTAGCGCGGAGCCCAGGCGCTGCTCAGCGCACTTCCCTCTCACCCTCTCCGGGGCGCTCAGGAGCGGGGGGTGTCCCCTCTTCTGTGCTGCTCCCGGAGCTCTGCCCATGGCGGGACTCTCTGGCCACCTCCTCGTCTGCCGTCCAGCGCCCTCCTTTGGTAGCCACTTTCTACTCCAGCCGGGCCGCTCACATTCCCCGCGCCGGTCCGCTCGGGCCCCGCCCCATCCCAGGTCTTGCCCTGGTCACTCTCGTCCCTGCGGGGGGACCTTGGCGCTGTAATGGGAGCTGGCAGGGCTGGGTGACTTCAGAGCAGGCCACTCTGCTTCCCTCTGCTGTTTCTGGAGCTCGTCTCCCTCCTCTCGTCGCTGCCCTCTGGAAGGGACTTCTCGGACCAGAAGTGGAGCGTGCATGTCTGTCCCTTCACGCCACTTGGGGGCTGCTGGGTGGGCGGGAACCGGGCCCCACGTCCCTGGGGTCCTGGCCAGGCCTGTGAGCCGACCGTGATCTCTCCCCTGCCCTCGGCCCCCCTTTCAGCGTCACGCCTGGTCGGTGACGTGCCCTCGGATGCGCTCACATTTGCTCTCATTTGCTCCTGGACTGGCTGTGAAGCGAGGAGATGGTTATTTAAAGAGAATTCCCTATTTATTTGACAAAAAAAAAATTCCAGTTAATATATTAATGTGAAATAAACCTCGTTTGCACCTTGATTTGTTTGCTGAAAATGTGAAGTAGTAAAAACGAAGTACCTGGACCCTGCATGACTCTGTGTGCTGACCTCTGTGCTCGGGCCGGCGGCTGCTGCCAAGGGCCCTGGGGAGAGCGCGTTCCCTCTGTCGGAGCCCCTTGTTCTGGGGCCCATTTGCTCTCAGGCAAGCTCTGTCCACACTTCCGGGCAATTGCTTAGCCACTGAGCCCACCCGTTGATTCCCCTGGGGCCTGGCTGGCAGCGACAGGGCAGCTGGAGGGCAGCTCCTCGAAGGCCCAGCCCAGCCCCAGGCCTGCAGGTGTCAGAGGGAGGGGCAGCCCTCCTCGAAAACCTTGGGGGGAGGGTGCCAGTCCATGCCCTGGCCTGCAGGAAGGCCCTGGGTGGGGCACCCATGGGTCTCCAAGCTCTGAAACAGCGGAGTGTCCACTTCCCTGTCCTAGAACAAGTCACCCTCTCCAGAGAGGCCAATGGCACCACCTCCTCAGCTTCTTCCTTCTGGCCGGCCCCGCCCAGGAGCTCCTCGGGTTGACCAAACCCCCTACAAGGGCGTTTGAAGGGAGCACCCTCCTGGCCGTCCTTGCTGGGACAGGGGCCGAAGGGCTGTCCTTGCTGGGCACGGGCTGGGCCTGTCACCTCAGTGGAATGTCGCCGGTGGGGTGGAGCAGGCTGAGCTGGTCTGCATTTGCCCGCTGGGGAGACGCCTCTCTGGTGCCCCCACCCTACCAACCCCCATGGGGTTTCTGAGGTGGGTGTGAGCCCCATGCGTCCGGCTGTGTTCCCACCATCCCAGCCCAGCTGGGCGCAGAACTTGAGATGGGGCAGGATCGCCCTAGACGGCGCTGTCGCCCCCTGCTGGGGAGCATGGGACCCTCCCCCCAGCCTCAGGGGGATGGTGGGGTGGGGCCGGACCCGCCCACTGGGTCCACCTTCTGCCTCCATTCTGGGAGAGATCTGCGCAGGATCCCACTCGCTGGAGGCAGGAAGGAGCAGGGCCCTCCTGAGGTGGTGAAGCCCTGGCCACACCCTCCCCCACAGCCGCCATCTCCCCTCCGTTGGCACAGGGTGGCAGCCTGGGCGCTTTGCATAATCCTGTGGCTTCACTATCTTCACCCAGCGTCAGCGGGCACAGCCAGGAGGGCAACGCGGCCGCCATGGCGACACCCCTCTCCCACTCGCGGAGGCGCCCTCCCCTCTTGCGCCAGGCCATCAAGATAAGGCACCGCAGGGTCAGAGAACAGGAGCCTTTGCCCCAGAGAGCTCAGGAGGTAGGAGTGACCCCAATGGGGAGAAGTACCCAGCCTGGGTGGGGCTCTGCGTTCTCCGGGCGCACGGCCCCACCTCTCTGGCTGGGAGTGAGGGTGTGGTCCCCTCTCCTGCCTCCTCCAACCCCTGGGTCAGCAGAGCAGCAGGGGGTCTGCCAGGTGTCCCCTGGGCCTCAGGTCAGGGGTCTGAGCCCCCCCAACCGCTCCGCTGATGAGCCCACAGCTGCTCCAGCTCCAGTCACCAGCAGGTGGGGGGGAGGCCCTGTTCAGGCCAGCTTCGCAGCCCCAAGCTGGCTCGGTGTGCCCCCAGTTTCCCACCTCCACTTTTGGGCCTCACTTCCGTTGCTGGGGTGTGAGCAAAGACACCCGATAAGCAGCAGTTTCCTCTCGGTGGGGGGGCGGGGAGGAAGGAAGATCGGGGCCTTGAGATCTCAGCTGTGGAGCCTCCAGCGCCCATGGACCCCAGCCACAGCGGGCCAGGGGATGGGCTGGGGGACGAGGAGGGTGGCCCAGGGGCCGGACCCCCGGGAGACCTGCCCTGGGAGCAGGTGTGCAGCCCGGAGGGGTCAGAGGCTGGGTGCTGGGCTGCTGCTGGCTGAGGCCTGGGCCTGCCCTGCCCCGGCCCCAGGCACCTTGTCTTCTCTTACTCTCTAGATCAAGCCGCCATCCCACCACCTGTCCCCTGAAGAGGTAGGCAGGGGTGTGGTGGGGGGCGGGCAGGTGCTGGGGAGCTGCCTGGCATCCTCCTAAGACACCCCCCTTGGCTACTGGCCAAAGCTGATGGCTGCAGCCTGGGAGTGGGGGGCTTCCTGCACCACCCGCATCTGGGCCTGTGATGTGGGGGTGGGGGTGGCTGGCGGGCTCAGCTCTGCGGTGTGTGGACGTGGATGGGGTTCCTGCGGTGATCCTGTTGCATCTCAGCGGGCCCTGCTCTACGAGGAAGCTGTCTACACCGTCCTGCACCGCCTGGGTCAGCCTGAGCCTGGCCACGTGACCGAGGCCTCCGAGCTGCTGCGATACCTGCAGGAGGTGAGCCCAGCCCCCACCCAGCCGGCCGCAGCTGGACCCGGGAGCCCTCTCCTCCCTCCCACTGGCCTCAGCCTGTACCCCAGGCCTCCTGCTATCTTCCCCCACGCCCCCAGGCCTTCCACATGGAGTCTGGGGAGCACCAGCAGCGGCTGCAGCAGGTCCAAGCGCTCCAGGTAACTCTGGTTCAGGGCCAGCCTGGGCAGGATGGGCTGGGAAGCCCAGCCCCCCCGGCACTCAGGTCTGCCTCCTGTCCCCGCAGAAGCCAGTATTCTGCCTGAAGGCGACAGTGAAACAGGCCAAGGGCATTCTGGGCAAGGATGTCAGTGGTGAGCGGGGCTGGCGCTCCGAGGCCTTCTCCTGACTCCTTCCTCTCCCCATCACGGCCTGTCCCAGACCTCCTGGCCCATTCCCAGACATCACCCCAGGCCCCAGCCCCCCACCCCATCTGCCCTGGTGCTGCTGGCCCCTGACCCTTGGAGTCCTCTTCCCACAGGAGGCGGGATGGGGGTGCGGGGGCCCTCATGGACCTCAGCCAATGGCCTGGCTGCCTTGTCCTCGCCCCTCCCTAGGGTTCAGTGACCCCTACTGCCTGCTGGGCATCGAGCAGGGGGTGGGCGTGCTCGCGGGCAGCCCGGGGTCCCGGCGCCGGCAGAAGGCCGTGGTGAAGCACACCATCCCAGAGGAGCAGACCCACCGCACGCAGGTCATTGCCCAGACGCTGAACCCTGTCTGGGAGGAGACTTTCATCCTGTACGTGAGCCGCGCGCCCACCGCCTGCCGGTCAGGGGTCGCCCAGTCAGTGAGCGCGGCAGGACTTCCTGGCTCCGGAGAGGGGGCACCTCTGGGCCTGGTCCGAGGCAGGGGCAGACAGGAGGCCGGGCAGGACAGAGCAATGCCAAGGGCCGCAGGGACCGGTGGGGCTGGGGGGATCCGGCGAGTCTGGGTCCATCTGCGAGGTAGCCCGAGCCTCGCCTTAAAGGAGGGACAGGAGGTGGGTGGGGCTGCGAGGGATGGCAGCTTGGGGCAGGCTCTGGGCAGGAGTGACCGGTGGCTGGTCAGGGGGGTCTGCCTTCGGCCCGGCCCAGACTGTTAGCCACGCCCTCTCCCTGCAGGGAGTTCGAGGACATCAGCAGCGCGAGCTTTCATCTGGACATGTGGTGAGGACAGGCCCTGCCCACGGGGCTGGCAGGGGTGGGTGTGGGGGTGGCAGCGCCTCCTCCCAAGGGGGTTGGGGCACCCGGGACACCCCGGTGCTTCCCACTCGCATCTCTGCGCCAGGGACCTGGACACCGTGGAGTCTGTCAGGCAGAAGCTCGGGGAGCTCACGGACCTGCACGGGCTCCGCAGGTGAGAGGCCGCGCCACAGGGGGCTGGGGCTCTGCCCTCCCCACCCGGGCACAGCTGGAGCGAGCTGCAGGCTCCGTGCAGGCCCGGGTGGCCGCAGCTGCGGGGTCGATCCCAGTCTCTGGGTCCACCTTCCTCACGGGACCCCAATGGGAACAGGATCTTCAAGGAGGCCCGGAAGGACAAGGGCCAGGACGACTTTCTGGGGAATGTGGTTCTGAGGCTGCAGGTGAGCGGCACCAAGGGGCCCAGGAAAGAGGTGGGGGGTGATGAGGGCCTGGGGAGTGTCTGCCTCCTGTCCCCTCGCCTGCGCCCCACCGGGCACCTCACGCTGCTCATGGGCACGGGCGTGTCTGCCTGCGGGGCCAGGACCTGCACTGCCGGGAGGATCAGTGGTACCCGCTGGAGCCCCGCACCGAGACCTACCCGGACCGCGGCCAGTGCCACCTCCAGTTCCAGCTCATTCACAAGCGGGTAGACTTGGGGCCCGGGCCAGGGGCTTCCTGGAGGCCGTGCTGGGTTGGAAGGATGGGCGGTACCGGTGCAGGCCCCCTGCTCACACCACCCGGGCTCCCCGCAGAGAGCCACCGAGGCCAGTCGCTCCCAGCCCAGCTACTGGGTGCACCTGCACCTCCTGCAGCAGCTCGTCTCTCACGAGGTCACCCAGCACCAGGTACAGTCTGCCCTGGGTGGCCGGGTCAGGGCCTGCCGCCCACTCCTGACACCCTCCCTGTGTCCCCTCAGGCGGGCAGTACCTCCTGGGATGGATCTCTGAGTCCCCAGGCTGCCACCATCCTCTTCCTCCACGCCACGCAGAAGGACCTGTCTGACTTCCACCAGTCCCTGGCGTGAGTGCCCGGCCCCGGGGACGCCTGTCTTGACCCCAGTTGCATTTTAAGTTTTGAATCAGCTACCAATTTTTAAAAAAGATTTTCATTTATTTATGCACACAAGAGCTGGGGTATAGGCCAGAGGTGCAGGGGGTGAGAGGACTCACCAGAGACAGAGCGGGGAGCAGAACAGGCAGACTGACTGAAATCCACTGCTGAGGGGAGCAGCGGGGAGACAGGAGGGGTCTGCTGCACCATGTGGGTAGCTCCCTGGCCGGGGATTGAACTCAGGCTCCAGTGGCTGGTGACAGCTTCACAGCGTTGAGACTTTGCAACCCTGCACCCCCAGAGAGGCCCCCTCAGCAGCTAACTCTTAATTCGCTGGAGCGTCCCTGTGCCACCCGCTCCTGCAGACCTGCCTGTGTCCTGCCGCGGGCTACGCGTGCAGGCTGTGCTGTTGGGTGGCAGTTGGGCCCAGGGCATCACGGTGCCACCTGCCCGCTTCACTCCCCCATCGCCTGAGTCCCCCGACCATTTGGTCTCCGCCCCAGCCCCAGCCCCAGCCCCAGCCCTGATCCCCGGTGCACAGCCTCGGGCTGGCAGACCTGTGCACTGACCTCGCCCGTCCGTGTGGAGGGCCTGTCAACCCAGCGCCACCGGAGGCCTGGGGAGGCCAGGAAGGGGCACACTCGAGGTCAAAGACCTTTCAGTTCCCATGAGGAATGTAGAAGCAGGGGGCACCCCCGGGTGCGGCAGGCGGAGGAGTGAGGTGCTGCCTGGGACCAGGCCGACACTTGGCCTTCGAGGGGGAGGGGAGGGGCAGGGGCTCGGGAAGGAGGACAGCGCCCAGGCCCCGGGAAAATGGGCTTTCCTGAGAGGGGGACGTAGGAGCCCGGACGCTGGAGCAGGCTCGGAGCCCGAGGGTCTAGTCTGACTGCGGGGGCCCCAAGCGCCTTACGTGGCGGCCGCTGGGCCCCCCACCCTCTCCGCCTCACCCCCACTCGTGTCCCCGAACATCAGGCGTGCCACTTGCACTCAAAGGCTCAAGTTCCAAATCTGACTTTTCAAAAGAAACAGGAAACCCTGAATTCTTAGGCCGCAGACGCCTCTCTTTCAGAGGCGGGGGCCGCGTGCGCGTTTGACAAGCCCCCGTGGGAACAGCCAGTCCTGCGCTCGCCCTCCGCCTCTGCCGGGGCCCGGGGGTCCACAGGAGACTTCCGGGGAGGCGCAGCAGGAAGGGAGGTGCCCCCTGGCCGGGCTGAGGGCTTCCTGTCTGCCGCAGGCAGTGGCTGGCCTACAGCCGTCTCTACCAGAACCTGGAGATCCCCAGCAGCTGCCTCCTGCACCCCATCACCAGCATGGAGTACCAGTGGATCCAGGGCCGGCTCAAGCAGGAGCAGGTGGGCGGGGTGGGGGGGCAGGGATCAGGGGGGATGCTCGGGGCTGGGGCGCCCCCGTGACCTCCAGGCCCCTGGCTACAGCTGGAGGAGCTGGCCGCCTCGTTCAGCTCGCTGCTGGCCTACGGGCTGTCCCTCGTCCGGCGGTTCCGGTCTGTCTTCCCGCTCTCCGTCTCCGACTCCCCAGCGCGGCTGCAGTCCCTCTTCAGGTCGGTGGCTCCCCGCGACCCTCGCTCAGTGGGGCTCCCGCGGGAGGAGGAGTCGGGGTCCGGGGCCTCTCGGACCCAGCTCTGTCTCTGCAGGGTGCTGGTCCAGATGTGCAAAATGAAGGCCTTTGGAGAACTGTGCCCCGACAGCCCCCCGCTGCTTCACCTGGTCACCGAGGCCCTGCGGGTATGGGGCCCAGCCCGGGAGGGGGCGGGCTGAGGCCAGGGACCAGGCCCCTCCCTGCTCACCGCCTGTGTGCCCCCAGGCTGGCACTGCCGAGTGGTTCCACCTGAAGCAGCAGCACCATCAGCCCATGGTGCAGGTGAGGGGCGAGGACAGGGGCCGGGCGGGTGGGGTGCCTGTCCCTCGAGGCTCTGCTCAGGCCACCCCTGTCCCCGCCAGGGCGTGGTGGAGGTGGGCAAGGCCTTGCTGAGCCTGGTGCAGGACATCATCGGCGACCTGCACCAGTGCCAGCGCACGTGGAACAAGATCTTCCAGAAGTGAGCAGGTGGGGGGTGGGGGGGGGCCGGGGGGGCCGCCGGGCTCAGTCCCGGAGTCTTGGGGTCACGTCCGGCTGCCTTCCCTGCAGAGTCCTCAAGATCGACCTTTTCTCCACGGCTTTCCTGGAGCTGCAGTGGCTGGTGAGTCTCTCTGATCCTGCTGCGCCGCCCCCGCGGGGCCCGGAGCCCACCCCCCGTCTCCCTCTGCAGGTGGCCAAGCGCGTCCAGGACCATGTGGCGGCCGTGCGCAGCCCCGTGTCTCCCGAGATGGGCGAGAACCTGTTCCAGCTCTACGTCAGCCTCAAGGAGCTCCACCAGCTGGGCCAGGCCTCCGTGCGGAGGTGGGCGGCGGCTGCAGGCGCAGGGGCGAGGAGGCTCACGGACCCTCCCCCAGGCTGAGCCTCGGCTCTCCCCAGGGACCGAGCGATGGCCCTGGATGGCTTCCACCGCTGGTTCCAGCTGGCCATCCCCTCCTGGCTGCAGAAGACGTACAACGTGGCTCTGGAGCGGGTGCAGCGAGCGGTGCAGATGGACGAGGTGGGGGCAGGGCCTGGGCGGCCGGGGTCTCCATCTTGGGGCTGGGGCTACAGCTCTGCTCCCACCTCCAGGACCTCATAGAATGGGATGACCCAACTGAAAGGTGCTCTTGAGGCCAGTTGAGGGCAAACAGCTGACTCCTGACATCCTTGGGGTTCACTGTGGCTCCCCTTTACAGACTGATTCTTGCAGCCAGTGGGGGTCCGGCCAGAGCCTGGCTTGTTCCCCTGCAGCCCCCAGCCCAGCCCTGTGCTTGCCAAGGAGGGAGGGCGGGGCATGGATTTGGCCAGCCCTGAGCCTTCCTGTTGGCTTCTTCCCTGCCCCCAGCTTGTGCCCCTGGGTGAGCTGACCAAGCACAGCACCTCGGCAGTGGATCTGTCCACCTGCTTCGCCCAGATCAGTCACACCGCCCGGCAGCTGGACTGGCCTGACCCTGAGGTGGACTTCATGATCACTGTCAAGTTCGTGGAGGTGCGGCATCCTCCACCTTTCCAGGACAACCTCATTCCCGCCCCACCTTGCTTCTCCCAAGCTCTCACCCCAGCAGCCTCCAAAGGCCTGTACTAAAGCCCCCCAGTGGCCAGGATTCCCATATATCCCTCCTGGCCGTCCCCCCCATTTGATCATCCCCTCTAACCCCTCCCCAGGACACCTGCCGGCTGGCCTTGGTGTACTGCAGCCTCATAAAGGCCCGGGCCCGTGAGCTCTCTGCAGGCCAGAAGGACCAGGGCCAGGCAGCCAACATGGTAAGGCCAGAGCCGCGCTGGGCCTGGGCAGGGGTGGCCCCGCGGTCCTGGCAGGGGGGGCGCTGCATCCTGTGCCTGGCCTGCCCCCAGCTGTGCGTGGTGGTGAACGACATGGAGCAGCTGCGCCTGGTGATCGGCAAGCTGCCCGCCCAGCTGGCATGGGACGTCCTGGAGCAGCGGGTGGGGGACGTGCTGGAGCAGGGGCAGCTGCAGAACACGCTGCACGCCCAGCTGCAGGGCGCACTGGCTGGACTGGGCCACGAGATCCGCACAGGAGTCCGCACGCTGGCCGAACAGGTGCCTGTTGGTCCCCAGAGTAACCCCGCCCTGCCCACCCTTGGCCCGAAGCCCCCCAGCAGGGCCTGGGCTGATACCCACCCCACCCCAGCCTGAACCTCAATCCATCCCCCAACCCACCTCTCCTGACCTCCGCTCACGCCCTGGCCTCCCGCCTGCCGTCGGTGTCCCCAGCTGGAGGTGGGCATCGCCAAGCACATCCAGAAACTCGTGGACGTCAAGAAGTCCGTCCTGCCCGAGGATGTGAGTGGCCTCCTGCTCGCCGCCCTTCCCCGCTCCGTGGCCTGAGATTGCAGAGGGGTCGGGCGGGCAGGGGACTGAAGGGGGTGGTGGTGTCCGAGAAGAGTCCCCCAGGCTTGGGCAAGGAAGGCTTCCTCCCGGGAAGCTGAGGGGGGCAGGGGCGGGCCCCCCAGGCGCTCCCCGCACTGACGGTCACGCGCAGCCGCGGCGGGCAACCTTCCCAGCGGCTGCCGGCCTAGCCGTCGTGTCTGCAGAGCCGGCCGGCCGCGCCTCGTGGGAAACGCCCTCGACTGTGCGGGGGAGGCGGCCGTGACTTCCTGGGCGCTTTTCCATGAAAGGCCATGGGCAGTGCCGGTGAACGAGCACAAGACCCCTGGCTCCCCGGAGCTGCGTCTGGCAGGGGGAGGGCAGGAGTGCGACGTGAGCGGGTCGAGCTAGAAGTGCAGCCGCGAGCCCCAAGGACCAACGCGTGCATGTGTCCACGCTCATGGGCCTGTGCGGACGCGTGTGCACACGCGGTGTGTTCCGGAGCCGGCGTGCCAAGGAGAAACACAAACACAGGACAGGCGGGTCGGGGTTGTGAGTTTGACGGCGGTCAGGGCAAGCCCCGGCAGAGGGGGACGCCACCCTCGGAGAGGCCAGAGAAGACGAGGGGGTGTCCGGGGCGGGAAGCGCCAGAGCCAAGGCCCTGAGGCAGGCCCAGCTGGGCAGGCTTGAGGTCTAGAGCGGAGGCCGGGGCAGCGGCTGACGGGGGCAGGCCTGGCTCTGCTCCTACGGGCGTTCGACCGCGTGCGGGGGCTCCGGCCCGCTTCCTCCCGGCGGGGCAGGCTGTGGGGTGGCCGGGGTGAGCCGAGCCGGACCTCTGGCCGCCCTCTCCCCAGGCCATCCTGCCGCTGATGAAGTTCCTGGAGGTGGAGCTCTGCTACATGAACACCAACTTGGTGCAGGAGAACTTCAGCAGGTCTGCAGCAGCCGCTCCGGGCCCGCCTCGGCTTTCCTTCGGGGGGAGGCTGCCGCCAGCCGCCGCTTCCGTGCTCCCAGGGACGGGGGGCACCCGGCCCAGCAAGCCCGCCCATCCATCCTAGGCCCCCAAGCCCCGGGCCACCTTCAGGGACTCCCCACCCCGCTGCATCTCTGCCCTCCTAGCCTTACAGGCAGCGGGGTCCTCTCCTGCCGCCCGGGGACTTCTAGGACCTCCCTTAAAGCAAGGCGCGGCACGCGGGGCAGCAGGAGGCAGAGGTCAGGGTGTGGGGAGGTGTGGGGCTTGAGCAGATGGCGCCAATGGCCCGAGCCCTTTGGAGGACTCTGAGTGCTGTGAAGTGCGCGGGCCGGTGGCAGTGGGCTGCAGGCACCATGACCTGGGGGCCACTCGGGGCCCAGCAGGCTGCCCTCGGGTCTCCAGAGTGGGCCCCAGGAGCCCGCCTTCTTCACTGACTGACCATAGGCGTCCATAGGGGACCACTTGTTCCACCGAGATTTTCACCTAAAATGGAAGTTACTCTCCCCCAAGACGCGCCTGCCGCGACAGCCCCAAAGGCCCCTGGGACTGCGGCGCACATCAGCGCTCAGAGGCTTTGCCTGAGTGAGCTGCTGCCGATTCTTTTTCTTTTTTAAGATTTTTTTTTTGTTTATTTATGCATCCAAGAACTGGGGGGCAGGCCAGATCTTTGGGGTGGTGAGAGAATTCACCAGAGACAGAACGGGGAGCAGAACAGGCAGACTGACGAAACACGCTGCTGAGGGGAGCAGTGGGGAGACAGGCGAGGTCTGCTGCGCCCTGTGAGGAGCTCCCTGGCCGGCCGGGGATCAAGCTCAGCCCGTAGCGTGCAGAGACGTGAGCCCTGGGCCACCAGGGAGGCCAGAGTCTTAATCACACATTTAATTTTGTCTTAACTTCCTGCCTCTGCTTGGCTTGGGGCCTTTGAGTCGTCCCAGGGCGTGTCAGGGCTGTGGCTTGATTGTTCTTCTCTCCTCCCCGCGGGACGTCCCACGCCCATTGGCCACTCTCACCTCAAATCATGATTCTGTCCCTGGGGGACAATCAACAATAAACAGCCCCCCTTGTTTATTGTTTTTTGATAATCCTGCCAAGGATTTTTCACTAGGTTTGAGATACTTAGGGTGGGACCGGCCCCGTCTGCCCCCCGCTTACCCTCCTGCCCGCAGTCCTGACCCCAGCCTCACCTGGGGTGCAGGTGGAGGTGGAGTGTGAGGGTGGGGAGCAGCTGGGGCGGGCCTGCATTCCACGAGGCTACCCCTGTCTCAAGAGCATCTCTGCACCCTCCTCTCCCGCCCTCCTGGCCGTGTCCGGCTCTGCCCGCGCCCCAGCCTTCTGGCCCTGCTCTGGACCCACACGCTCGCGGTGCTGGTGGCCGAGGCCGCCTCCCAGCGGACCTGCCCCCTGGCCTCCAGCAGGCTGAAGACAGCGCTGCAGGTAAAGCGCCAGGGCCACGGGGCTCACCCGCTGGGAGAGGGCCCGGGCTCACCCCCGCTGTCTCACCCCTAGAACCTGGAGATCTGCTTCTACGCAGAGGGTTGTGGGCTGCCGCCCGAGGCCCTGCACACGGCCACCTTCCAGGTAGGGCCCCTGAGGGCTGATGGGACAGGAAGTCGGGCTCGCCCCCAGCCAAGAACACCTACATAATGTAGACGGTCCAGCCCAAATGGAAATGGGCACCATTTACCCCACACTTTTTTTTTTTTAAAGATTTATTTATTTATACAAGCACTGGGTACTGTCAGAAGCGCGGGAGGGTGAGAGGATTCACCAGAGCCAGAGCGGGGAGAAGAACAGGCAGAAGGACCGAAGGACACTGCTGAGGGGAGCAGTGGGCGCGGCAGGAGAGGTCTGCGCGCCATGTGGGACCCTCGCTGGCGGCCGGGGATCGAACCGGCACTGAAGAGGCTGCGGGCAGCTTTGCAGCCCAGCACTCAACCGCTGCACCACCAGGGGAGGCCCTCCCCAAAATGTTTTGAAATTTTAAGACAGCAACAGCGGAGCATCAACCAAGCGTGGGGTCTTGTCAGCCTGGGTGGGGCACACCTGGGGAACCCACTGAGTGAGCGCCTCTGACACTGCTAGGGCACCTGCGGGCGTGTGCCCTGCTGTGGCCCCTCACCCCGGGGCTTCCCAGATCCACGGACGTCTCCCCGCTGCTGGGAGCTCCCAGGGCTGGTGTCACAGTCCCTGAGGTCTGGCCGCGTCCCCTCCCCAGGCTCTGCAGCGGGACCTGGAGCTGCAGGCGGCCTCCAGCCGGGAACTCATCCGGAAGTACTTCTGCAGCCGTATCCAGCAGCAGGTGAGGCTCCTTCCCCAGCACCCAGCGCCTGGAGCCTCCCTGGCCTGCCCCGGCCCAGCTGACGCTGCTCACGCCCCACCCATGCACAGGCCGAAACCACCACTGAGCAGCTGGGGGCTGTGACCGTCAAGGCCTCCTACCGAGCCTCGGAGCAGAAGCTGCGTGTGGAGCTGCTCAGCGCCTCCAGCCTGCTGCCCCTGGACTCCAACGGTGAGTGAGGCTGCCCAGGGCCACCCAGGGCCACCTGCGGTCCCCCACCTGCTCCCACGCCTCTCAGGAGCCCAGGTGCTGCTCCCACGCCCCTCAGGAGCCCCGGCGCGCTTCCTCCGGAGTGCCAGCAGGGGGCAATGCAGCAGAGCGGGCCTGGCTTCCGGGCTGGGGGCCGGGGCTCAGGTGGACCTGGGGAGCAGCAGTCAGCATCCTTCCCGGGGCGCGCTCCACAGGCTCCAGTGACCCCTTCGTCCAGCTGACCTTGGAGCCCAGGTATGAGTTCCCGGAGCTGGCCCCCCGGGAAACCCAGAAGCACAAGAAGGACCTTCACCCCCTGTTTGATGAGACCTTCGAATTGTGAGTGGGTCCCCAGCTCCTGGCCGGGGTGCAGGGGCGCCCTGGCGACACCAGCTCTGGGCCCTAGGAAGGGGGCATGTGGGGCGAGAGTTTGCTAGCACAGGCCCAAACCTGCTCCCAGGGGACTGCGAGGCTTCCCGGGGAGGGCCGGTCTCCGCGGCCCTGCTTTCCCGTTTCCGCCGGCGGCACCCGCAGGCCTGAGACCGGCCCTGCCGAGCGGGCCCTGCCGCCCTGTCCCGCCGGCCCGCGGCATCCTCCTGCCGACCTCGGCCTCGGCCTGTCCGCGAGAAGCAGGGGCCCGGTGCCGGGCGGGGGCAGGCCGCTGAACGACTGCCCCCCGCAGCCTGGTGCCCGCCGAGCCGTGCCGCAAGGACGGGGCGTGCCTCCTGCTCACGGTGCTGGACCACGACACGCTGGGGGCCGACGACCTGGAGGGGGAGGCCTTCCTGCCGCTGTGCTCGGTGCCCGGCCTGACCGGGGCCGAGGAGCCGGGCGAGGTGCCTCAGACCCGCCTGCCCCTCACCTACCCCGCGCCCAACGGTAGGCCTGAGCCCCGCACGTCCCAGGTGCAGGCCTGGCCCAGCACGAGGGTGCGGGGAGGGCGGGCGGCCTGGGAGGACTCAGGGGCTCCCGGGAAGGCAACCGGCTGGCCCGGCGGTGGCGGCTGCTGCGTCCCTCTCCGGCTTGATGGGCGCCAGGGAGCTCGGCGGGGCCCGGCGTGTGCGGCTCCCCCGTGGCCAGGTTGCCGCCACGTTCGCCCGGGAGGAGGGGCGCCGCTCAGTGACGGGGGCCGTCCTGGGGAAGCGTACCCCCAGCTTGGTGACAGGAACTGGTGTCCTTTGTGGGTGTAGATGAGGGGCCAGTCCCGAGCACTGACTAGCTGGCCTCGGGGCCTGTGCAAGGGGGCAGCGGCAACCCCAGGCGCACCCCTCCGCCTCTCGCACTGCCGCTGCCCGTGCCCTTGGCCGGGGGGCGCCCCAAGCGGTTTCTAGGTCAGCTGCAGGATGGATGGGGCAGCCCTGCGTCCCCTGCCCCCTCCGCCACGGCCTCCCCCAGCGGCTGACCCCCAGCGCCTCTCTTCGCAGGGGATCCGATTCTGCAGCTACTGGAGAGCAGGAAGGGGGATCGAGAGGCCCAGCAGTTTGTGAGGCTGCGGCGGCAGCGGGCCAAGCAGGCCTCCCAGCATAGCCCTCAGCCAGAGCAGTAGCACTGGAGGCTGGGCTGGGGTTGGGTCCCCGGTAGGACAGGCTTGCCTGAGGAGCCCGGGGCTCCTCATACCCCAAAGGGTCCAGGGCGTCGTGGGAGCGCCAGACACAGGAGGCCAGAGAACAGCCCCCTCTGGTCCTCTGATGAGAGCAGGGCCCACAGGGTGGGGGTGCCATTGGTAATATTTATACTCCCTCCTACCCTTCAGCCCTGGCCTGTCTTCTCAGTGGCAGAACTGGGGAGGGAGGCGGGCAGCCATCCGGCCTGGCATCTCCTGCCTCTGCTCCCCTCTTTGGGATCAGCTTCCCTGAAGAGCAGGGTCTCAGCTACTGCCCCCCAGCGCGCCTCCTCCAGCCACTGTGGGGAGCCTGGCCCCCTGGGCCCTGTTTCAGCACCCCCACCCAGGCTCATGGGGACAGAGGCTGCAGGCACATAGGCTCCCAGGGGAGGCAGGGGGCCCTCCTGCCAAAGACTGGCCACAGCTGCCCTGGGAGGGTGGCCGACACAGTGAACGTAGCCCAGGTCCGCTCCTGAGGGGGCCTGCGGACACCCAGGCTAAGGCACCTCAGGCCACGGGCCTTCTTGTTCTGAAGGGGTGAGAGGCGTCAGGCAGTGGGGCTGGTACGAGAGGCGGGCGCAGAAAGGCCAGCCTGGCTGTGTCTGCTGTCACCTCCTCCCTGGGAGGTCACCTAGAACCTTTCTTACCAAAAATAAAAAAACAAAAACCACCCATTGTCCTCTTAGACCATATACCGTTGGCCTGTAGTGGGCCCAGGTTGCATGAGGCCATGCCAAGCCCCGGTCCAGCCTTCTGGACCGCCTGAGCTTCCACTCCAGAGAGGGCAGGTCGGGGTCAGGTGCCAAAGCAGGGGCTGGGACAGTTGGCATCATGTCTCTTGGCCAGGGACTTTGAACAGAAGTATCTGGCGCATCAGTTTCTGCCAGCAAAGGCAGTAGGGGCACCATGAGCAGGGGTTGCCCAGGAGCCAGGCTGAGGCGAGTGGCTGCTCCACGTAGCCAGGCTTACAGGAGCGGGGGCCCAGCCCTGCCTGGGAGGCGCTGCCCGGGTCTGGGAGCAGAGGCTCGGCGCTCAAGCTAGCTGCGTGACCCCGGTTGAGGCACTTAACCTCTCTGCGCCCACACGGAGCCTGGAGGGGGCGGGGGCAGGTAAGATCAGCTCCGAAGCCCCTTTCGGCTCGGAACCTGCGACATCTAGGGAAGAGCCCACGAGGTGGCTCCCCCACACCCCACGCCAGCCGGGGCAGGGGTGGAGAGTGGCTCAGAGCGCAGCACCTGGTAAGGGGGGGGCCAACCTCCGTGGCTCATCCTGGCGAGAAGGCCCGTCTTCGGAGAAACGAGGGGGCCGGGGTCTCTGGGAGAAGTAGATCGTTGCAGCTGAGACAGCCCCGAGTCGTAGGCCCGGGAGGTCTGTGTCCAGGGCGAAAGGTCCCCTCATCGACCCCACCCGGCAGGCCTGGGTCAGGGGGCCGAGTTGCCTGCCTGGCTGGAAGCCGGGTTCCGACCACCAGGCCGGCTCGGCTCGCAGTCCGGCGCCCCCCGGGCGGCCCTCTCCCGTGCGCCCCACGTCACCACACTCCCACCGCGAGCTGCGAGTTCATATTTTATTTCCAATAGGTTTGGAGCTTTGTTGATTTTTGCATTTTTGTAAAAAAAAGTTTTCACTTAATTCATTGAAAGCCCTTTCGTGCTGAGCCCAAGGGGGATCCAGGCTGGGGTCAGACCCTCCGCAGCCCTCTGGCGCCCACCCCGGCCCCCGGTGCTGGGAGTGGGGGGGCCTCCCTCCGCCCGCGCTGCCCTCCCGCCCCTGCTGTATCTCTCTGTACAGAACAATTTTTTAAATGGAAGCTAAGACACAATATACATCGGACAGGCACGCACACACATGCACACGGCGCCCGCCCCCAGCGGGGAGGACGTCAGCTGCACTCGGAGAGCACCAAGGAATGCATACGGAGCCCCTCCCGGCGGGGAGGGCAGGGCCTGCGCCCCCTTGGTCCTCACAGTCCGCGGCTCCTCCCCACCAATGCCCTGCTAGCTGCCAGAGGGAGGGGGCGGACAGCACGAGGGCCATGCCAGAAGGGGGACAGCTGAGGACAGCCGGGGGATAACAGAGGGCAGTGCCAGCCTGTGGGGGCCAGGGGGCCTGCAGAGAGGCTCGCGGAGAGGACCGGGGCGGGCCCAGGCCTCAGGAACCTGAGGGGTAGCACTCCTGGGCCTTGCCCCTCGAGGAGCGTCAAGGGCCCAGGACGGGGACGGGGGGCCAGCCCCGCACTCAATACACATTTGGTAAACCTAGGTGCCAGGCTGGCCCGGACCCCGGCGCACCCCTCAGGCCTCACAGCTGGGGACCAGGTCTGCTCCCGGGCGCCCCACACGCCTGGCCTGGTGCGGCGGGGTGCAGAGCCTGCCCCGAAGGCTGCCCCCTTCCCCTCGGCCCCTTCGGGCTTCCCCCCCTTCCCTGCTCGGGCCCCAGGAAGAAGTTAAAAATAGTTAGTTCCTACATAAAAAAGAGACAAAAACAGATTCCCTGCCAAAAGGCCGGCGGGAGAGGGGACTTGTCTCCGCTGTGGGGAGGTGGGGGGAGCGGGGGTTGGACTGCAAAATAGGTTCTTCTTTTAAAAAGTGCTTGGTAAGTCTGTTTTAAAGTGTGTGTCTATATCTACATACAGATATACACACGGACACTGTTCACACACTGGCCACCACGCATACCTGCACGCGCACGGAAATGTATACATATACAGGGTCATATACATATACATACATACATACATACATACATACATATATATATATACTTTAAAAAGTCCTAGGTGAGAGGGTGGGCCGGGCCGGGGCCGGGCCTGTGGGGTCACGACTGGAGGGCGTGGGCCCGGCCCGGCTGGCAGACGGGGCACTCGCTGCCCTCGGCACAGAGCTCGCACAGCACAGCGTGTTGGCACGGCAGCACCGCTCGGTTCTGCTCCTGACACTTAAGGCATTTCACCGACTGCATGTGGAACACGGCCTGCGGGGAACAGGACACGGGTCACGGAGCGGGCCCCCCGGCTCTCACTTCAGCCCCTGGGGTCGGAGCGTCATACTGACAGCGTCCCCGTGAAGGGGAGAACGCTCTGCCTGCTGGGCCACCCTGCTGCCAGGCACCCAGCCGGACACCTGTGCGTGCAGACCACAGAGCTCTGGGCCGGCCTCTCTGGAAGGTCTGCTGCTGCGTGCAGCGCTCCCGGAGAGGCAGCCTGGCCCAGATCAGTGCCGGCCCTCAGAAGTGATGGCGGCCGGGCCTCCCTGGTGGCCTAGGGGTGAAGTCCCAGTGCTCTCACCCCTACGGTCTGAGTTCGATTCCCGGCCAGGGAGCTGCCCACACGGCGCAGCAGACCTCTCCTGTCTCCCCGCTGCCCCCCTCAGCAGTGGATTTCAGTAGATCCACCTGTTCTGCTCCCCACTCTGTTTCTGGGGAATCCTCTCACCCCTGCACCTCTGGCCTGCACCACCCCCGCTCCCGCCAGTTCGTCTATAAAAAAAACGAAGTGCTGGTGGTGGGCACCAGGCTGTGCACCTCCACTTCCTCCCTCCCGGGCAGTGGTGGACTCCTCCTAACTGCCCTCCAACAGGCCGGCCTCTGCTGGCCCTGGCGCTAGGCAGGACCACTCAGGAGGTGGCCATCCCTGGAGCAGCCAGGGCCCCTCAGGGGCCCGTGTCCCACATGCAGGGCCCACATGCAGGCCGTGTTCCACATGCCTTGGCCCACGCACTGGCTAAGGCGATGGCTCCCCCACCGGCGCTACCCTGACCCCCGGGGCTGACCTTATCCACTTGCTCCAGGTGGGCCCGCAGCTGCTTCTGGAGAGAGTAGAGAGTGGAAAGCGAGAGGGCCTCCAGGTCAGAGAAGGCGGGCAGAGCCTGCGGGTCGGGGCCCGAGTGCAGCCGCTCCAGCTCCTCCTGGAGCTTCTTCACCTGAACCTCCAGCGCATCCCGCTGCTCCCGGGCCAGCTCACACTCGGCGCCGGCCACACTGGCCCGCTCGCCGGCCTCCTCGGCCTCCTTCTTCCAGGCATCACAAGCCTGTGGGCCCAACAGGCAGCACCTCATCACGATGGGTCCCTGCCCCTGCCCCCTGCCCCCCGGGAGCCGGTGTGGGCCACTGGGGCTGTAGGGCCTGCTGGGAAGCTGGGTCAGCTGTCTGGGGAGGGGGGCAAGGAGGAGCAGATGCTGCCTGCAGAGAAGAGAGGTTTCAGGACACGCCAGAGAGCCCTGTGGGTAGGGAAAGGCGGCCTGAGGAGAGCTCTGCGAGCTGGCCAGCACCTCCAGGGGCGGGCAGGCTTCGGCAGGACAGGGCTCAGCTCAGAACCTAGAACCCCAGACCCAGGGGCCTGGAGAGGCAGGCTTCTCGGGAGAGGCAGGGGTGCTGCGGGACCAGAAAGGAGATTCAGGGGTGATCCTGGCCCGGGACACCAGCCACCTTGGTCCCAATGGGCAAGATCCCGATGCCTTCCCATGCATGGGGGACATACAAAACCGAGTTTCTGCCCTGTGCTCCAGGACCCCTGGCCTCTCCCAACCCCCAGCCGCCGGGGCCAGGTGCCAGCAGCCCTGGGGAAGGCGGTGGGCATGGGCCGTACCTGCTTAGCCTGCTTCCAGGACTCCTCCCACTGCTTGATGGTGCCATTGGCTTCTTCCAGCTCTTGCCGCAGTCGGGCCAGCTCGGCAGCCCCTGGCCCTGACAGGAACGCAGGGGAAGTGCCTGGGGAGAAGCTTCCAGAGGCAAAATGCTCCCAGATGCTGCTGTTCATCCCGTTCAGACCTGCCAGAGAAGGGGGAGAACATCAGGGCCGAGGGCCTGGGACCTGACCAGTCTGCCCAGGGCTGGCTGAGTAAGGCCCCAGGGACTCGGGCTGAGGAACACACAGGCGCCACGGCCGAGTCACATCAGCCGCCTGTCAGCTGCATTTGTAAAACCGGTCCCTCACTTGCTCTCAGGGAAGTGCTGCAGGAGAGCAGCCTGGGAAGGTGAGCGCTTTTAGGCTTACGGGGAGGGGATGTTTTTATGCACCCTGAGGTGAGGCCCATGAGGAGACTCAGAGAAGACAGACCAGTGCCTCCGATGCTGAGGCTGGCAGAGCTGGCTCAGCACGAGCGGAGAGCCCTGGGCCCCTCCCCCGGCCTTGCAGCAAGGAGGCTGAGCTAGTGTGCTGAGAGTCCACTCACAGCAGGCGGTGGGGCCCGTGTGGCAGGGTGTATGGCTATAAAGGCATTTCCCCACAAGCTTGGCTGCTCTCCCCACCCCCACAGGCATTTGCAACTCCACCTGCCTTGCTCTCTGCCCTCTGGTCAGCCCATCTTCCCGAGGGGGTCCCCTATCCACCCCTGGCCTCATTCTGCCCCACATCCTTCCAGAATTCTTCCCTGCTCCTTTTCCCATTAATCCAGCCAGGATGTTCCAGAACCAAATGGGTTTACGACAGTCTGTCCTGCAAACACCACAGGCGCACGCACAGTGGCAACGCAGGCCTGTGGAGGCTGCACTGTTTCGGCGCCTGTCTGCTTTCAGAGACGCACCTCGGGTGCAGAGGGCCCACGAGACCATGTCCCGCCGGGCTCTGCCTCTGGCCCACACAGTAGTGACCGCCCCTAAGTCTGGTCTAATGTCTGCCCCTTTGCCTCCCACCAGACCTGGCTCCTGGCTGGCAGGGCCAGCTGCACTCACACCAAAGCCACAGGACCGCTTGGTGACTGTGGGGAGGCGGGATGGTGGGGCAGGTCAGGCTACAGTCACGATGCCTCGAGAACATGGGGCAGTTAGACACATCCACACTGAGCAGTGAGGACAACAGCTCGACACAGAACAGCCACCTTCACAACTGGAAAAGAGCTGAGAAATCCACGGGCTGCCCCACCTCGGAGATATGGGAAGGTCCCAAATTTGGTCAGAGGGTGGCTCGGCACCCAGCACTCTCAGGGGAGGGGAGTCTGATCTTGAATAGTTTGCTAAGAAGCAGGCTGAAGTGCTGTGCTGTGTACTGAGGTCACCTCAATGAATCTACAGGCCAGCCCCAGCCACAAGCCAATGAAGACCCTGGCCCAGGTCACAACCCTGCATCTAACCACCGTGCCCTCTGGCACCCAGTCCACACGGGGCTAACCCTGGGTTTGCAGTCTTCGGGCCTAGCGTGGATCCTGCCAGGAAGGCCACCCTGGGCCTGGGGGGCGCTGCTTGGACTTCTCCCTTGGCCCCTTGTGGAGCTGGCTGTTGTGAGCTCAGGGCGGCTGAGGAGCTGGACACAGGAGTAAAGAGAGGACCCAGACCAGTGAGCCTGAGGCCAGGGTTCCTGGGCTCTGGCCCTGGCACTTCATTCACATGATTTTGTTCAGGCCTCACGACCACTATGAGGTGGTGCTGCCATTACACCTTTTTATAGCAGAGGAAACTGAGGTAGAACAGCTCAGTCGCCTGTCCAGGTTCACAGGGCTGAGAGAGCTGTGCTCAGGCACTGACCTCACCTCCAGGGTCACAGCCCCTGCCCTACACTGGTTCTTTGCTGCCTTTGGCCACAAACCACATGCGCGTGCACACACACACACTTGCACCCCCCACCCCAAAACACTTTCCAAAAGCCCAGGTTCTTGCCTCATCCCAGAAGCCACAACCTCTCTTACCCAAAGATCCGTGTGATGCCGAAGTCCCCAAAAATGTGTTTTCTGACTGGCTCAGGTGGGCCTGCGGCTGCTGCAGGAAATGTGAGGAGAGACTGACAGGCGGGGAGGGGGAGGCCGAATGGAAGGAGGCGGAGCTGCCCAAGGAGCCAGGGATGTTGACGGGCGCAGAGCTCTGCAGCAAACTGCCGCCTGCAAGAGGGCAGAGGGCCAGAGTGAGGGGGGCAGGCAGGGCCCCAGGAGCCTCCCACGCCACCCTGCCCGACCACTGCCCATTACCGATGGTGATGCTGCCCGGGTGGGGTGCTGTGCTGTTGTCAAAAGTCTTCTCCAGGGCGGCCACCCCAAACTCGTTCAGGTCCAGGTCATCGAGGGCAGACTCTAGGGACAGAGTGAGCCGGTGTGAGCCCCGGCCTCACCATCCACACAGCCCCAAGGCTCCAGGCCTCACCTCCTGGACCACCGGCCCTTCACTGCCTGCCTCATCCTCACATTGAGCAGCGGGCCGGCTGGCCCTCTTGAGCCTCTGTAGGCGCTGCAGCCTAGCCAGGCAGGTGCAGCCCACAGGAGTCTGATGCCCCGGGAGAGACTGAGTGCCAATGCCGGCCCCGCCTCCGACGGAGGTCTCGTCCCGATGCTGCAGTTTGTGCAGCCCACCCCGGAGCTGGCTGAGGGCAGGCAGGTCTGAAGCCTCAGTAGCTAGTGTTGAGCGGGTGCTGTCTCCCCTGCACCCACTGAAATAGGCTGGGAGGTAGGAACAGAGTCCCTCTCCGAGGGCAGAAGCACTTCTTTGCCTCTGTTACCCCAGTGCCTGCAGTAGGAGCTGCACAAAGAGGACCATAAGTGACCGTTAGGAAGGGCAGTGGCTTCCACAACTGGAACTCCGGGGGCAGCATGTTCGCAGTCCCTGCCCGAGGATGCCTCTGGTGCATGAGGGCAGAATGACCTACCCACAGAGCGGTGCTGCACCCGCCCAGAGCAAGCGGAAGGCCAGTTTCCCCAAGGGCTGGCCTTGGTCCTGCACCTTGGGCTCGGAGCCCCTTTAGCAGAGGGCCCACCCCCTGGCTCTCCCAAGACGGGTCTCAGGTGACAGGCATGCTGACTGAGTCTCACTCTGGAGACCTGGTGCCTCGGACGGCAGACCCAGTCCTGGGCCGGGCAGCGGAAGCGCCTAATTACCTATGACTGACTCTACCGTGTCGCTGGTGGGGTAGAAGGGCAGGGCATTTGCATTCATGCCAGGGACGCTGCTGGTGCCCGCTGGGCTAGGGGGAGTAGCTGCCAAGCTGGAGGTGATACTAGAAGAGATGCTTGAGGTCAGGGGGCTGCCCACGGGGAGGATGCCCAGCATGTCCTGCAACGAGAGAGCAAATAGAGGTGACGGGAGGTCACTGCAAAAGCCGTGGTGTGGGGCAGGAAAGGTTGGAGAAACACTTGTCCCACGCCTGGATGGGGACTGCCACCCCCTCCGAGAGACTGGAGGAGAGGTGCAGCTCGGGGGCTGCAGGCCCGCACACCCCTCAAATCCTGCAGAAGGAGGGAGGAGGCCAGTGCTCAGTATTTTTTGAGTGAGTGAGTGCAGGAGGCGAGGGCCGGGGCTCCACCATCGCCCTGCCCTTGGCCTGTGGGGAAAGTAGTGCCCCCCACTCCCTGAAGCCTCCAGGGGTTCTGGGCCATCTGCTCCCAGTGGGCACCCGGAAGGGAGGCAGGGCTGAGCTCTGTACCTGTTTAGGTTGAAGCAGAGGCTGCTCTTGACTCCTGGGTTCTAAAGAGTGGGGTTTTAATTTGGCCTGAGAGAGAAAAGTCAGGGAGCAGCAGATGAATGTGGGGCTGGGAGCCCAAGTTCGGGAGTGCTCCCGAGCACCAGCCTGCCCAGCTCACCAGGGCTGCAGGTGCCAGGGGCAGGGAGGCATGGGCACCTGCCAGGCAACCCCCTATCTACACGGCCTATCCTACCTCCTCCTCGCTCCTGCTGCCCCTACTCCAGGAATCAGGGGAGCTGCTCCTCTCCTCCCAAGTGACTCCACCTCTCAGCTAGATGCCGCTGGGCCCTTGGCTCTACTCTCTAGACCCTGCCACTGCATCCAAAGCCCCTGCTCCTGTCGGCTGGCCTCATGGCACTGAGCGATGGCTCTGCCCCTCGAGCCTCCTGTCTTCACACATAATATGGGGCGGCTCTGCTCCTTGAAGAGCTGTCTTGAAGGGCTGAGGAGCGGGGCTCCCCAGAGCCGGCCTTCTCGGGCCCCAAGCAGGAGGCAACTAACCCCATCGCCTCGGAAGCATCGCCTGCTACCCCTCTCAGCCCTTACCTGGCATTTGAAGTTTTTCAGGTACTCGGCTCCCACCTGGTCTTCCCTCTCGAAGCCGGGTGCCTTCTTATAGCTGCCGGGGGCAAGGCCGGGCTCCCCAGGAAACACAATGCCTTCCAGGTTGGGGGGCTTCCTGACAGAACCCGGTGGGGAGCCACAGAGGTTAGATGGGCTGCCTAGGCTGCTGTTTCGACAGAGGAGCTGCAGAGGAGGCAAGTGGCTGGTGGGTACCCTGCCGGCTGGGATGCAGCCCGGCCTCCGTGCCCTCCGCAGAGGGGGCGTCTTCAGATGGGCTCAGTTCCACTTTCACCGATGGGCAGCAGCCACCACCCCAGGACCCCAAACCTCATGAGGGAATTGGGACCGAAGGCTCGCTCCCCCAGCGCTACCGAGATGGACCAGCACCGGTTCCAGGGAAGCTGCCCCACCCCCGCCAGCTCTTGACAGAGAAAACTCTGGGTCACAAAGGGCAGAACCCCTTGGCCCAAGGCCAAATACCAGGGCCTCCCTGCCCCCAACAGGCCGTGAGGGTGTGGGGGGCATGCGAGGCAGGTGTTGGCCCTGGGCAGGCCTGGGGGCCCCCCACCCCCTGGACAGGCACGTACGGCGCTGAGGTCAGGGGCATGCGGGCTGGAGGGGCTCACGGGCACCGAGTCTCCGGCAGCAGACGGCATGTACAGGACGGGACCCGGCTGGGTGGGGCTGGACACGGCAGAGGAGGGCTGCAGGTCGTCACTGAGGGAAGGCTCTGGAAGGGGCAGGGCAGGGTCAGCAGGCTGCCAGGCACCCCCTTCCATCCACAGCCGCGTCGCGGCCCCTCTCCAGGCAGACCACGCCTGCCCCTGCACACGAGGGCAGCTCGCCCGGTTTCTGTCACTGTCGTGTGCGGAGCCCCCCGTGGGACTGGCATGTGCACTGTGCGTCTGCACCGCGACTGCAGGATGCAGGCCGGGTCCCGGCCCCCGGCTTACAGACGCAGACGGCGCAGAGAGGTCAGGTCCGTCTCCCAACGCGACCCAGCCGAGAAACAGCAGGGCTGGGATTTGAATCCGGTTCTTTGGGACTCCAAAGCCTGAGTCATTAATGGCACTTGTTGGTGCTGCCTCAATCGAGGTCACAGTGCCCACGGCGGGGACGCCGTGGCGTCAGGAAGACACTTCTCTGCCTGGGGCCTCAGCTCATTTTTCACTCTCATCCTGGAGAGGCGGCCTGAGCCGGGAGGAGGTGGAAGAGGACCAGGAAGGGGCCTGGGGTGGACAGTTTTCACTTGAGTCCCCTCGCTGCGGCTGGGAGGGTGGCCAGGGTGCGCGCGGAGACGGAGCAGCCCGAGCGGCGCAAGGCTGCTGTGCGCTTGGAACAGGCAGCCTGAGGCCGGGTCTGCGGCTGGGCACACGCGCACCAGAGACCGAAGACTTAGTCCTCAAAGACAAGGAAAGTAGCTTTATGCTTTGATGTTATTTTTGAAATAACATTTTGTATTAGATTAAAACATTGTTAAATTTAACGTAACCTGTTTCTCTCTCTCTCTCTTTTTTCTCTTACTAAGAGGACGGGGTGGAGGGGGTTCTTGTGCTGTATTTGACTGGACAGCTCAGCTCGGCCGGGGCTCAGCAGGGCAGTGCTGGTGCCTTAGTGAGGTCACGGGTGGCCCTGCCGGGCCCTACAGGGACCTGGGAGTGTGCCTCCTGCGGCCAGGGACGTGGGCCTGACTGAGGGCAGCCTGTCTTGTGACCCTGGAACTCCGGGGCTTTGAGGCCAGTTCCGAGAGACAGAGCAGTGGAACTGCCAGCGGGGACAGTGTCCTTCTGGTTGGGGGAGAGGCCCCTCCCCTGACTGAGAAGGGGTGGATAGGGGCGCACCCGGGGGCCATGGGAAGAGCTTACGTTCTACGTGGGCGAAGGCGCAGAAGGGTCCGCGGGGACAGCTGCCCGACTGCTGCATGTCGTTGCACTTGGTGGATTTATAGATCTGGTGGGCAGAGCAGAGCAGTCAGGCTGGGACATAGGAACGCGGACGTGGGAAGCTCAGCCTAGCAGTCTCTTCCTCCTCCATTCCACACCTTCCCCAAGCCTCCCCACCTTCTTACTCAGACCCCAAGACAGACACTGCCACCCCCATGCCAAGGCCGCCCTCTCTTCTGGGTGCAGGACCGAGCAGCCCTGACCCAGGGGCCTTCCATGCGCTCTTTACTCCTGGTCTCGGCCATGGCTGTGACCGCCAACTGTGCCTCTGGGTATCCAGGGAGCCAAGATCACGGCCCACACCCACCAACCCCAAGGCATGCTGGGTAGGATCTACGCTGAGCCTAACTTTCCCACCTGCCATCTGCAGTCCGACAGGCGCTGTCAGTGAGTATCTCAGGGTTCTGGCCTCTGCAGAGCTAGGGGCGGGGCGGCCTGTGACTCCACGGACCCCCACAAGGTCTCAGCCCACTGACACGGCCCAGGCCGCACATTGGGGCCAGTAGGTCAGGAACTGCCCTAGGGAGGTTGCTGGCACCCTAATCTAAAACAGGGCGGCCAGAGGGGCATGCTAATTTTTAAAACCCAGTCACTGGATTGTAAACATCCTGAGTGGTACAAAGGCGTGAGCGGCACACCATGCCCAGTCCAGTCCTCCCTGTCAGGGGGCCTGTGGGAAACAAAACTGGGAGCAGAGGGTCTCTGTGGGCCCAGAACAGGGAGTTCCAACTGAGGGAGCAGGACTCCTTGAGGCGCCGTGCAGGGGAGCCTGTGGCTGTGCGCCCTCTTCCAGGACGGTGGCAGGGAAGGTCCTGCTAGATTCTGCCCAGACCCTTGTTTCCCTCCTCACTTCTGAAAAATGATAAGCTAGGCCACCCGCTGCCCGCCAAAGGCCCAGCCCCAGCCCGAGGGCCCACCTCCGGGTGGAACTGCTGCTCCGTGCGGGTGTGGCAGTACTGGCAGGCGTCCCCGTTCTCACACTTGCCGGGGTCTCCCCACTCATCCCCGTGTTTTACGTTTGGACACGGAGACGACCTGGTCCCGGAGGGTGGGGTCAGATGGAGAGAGATTAAGATCTGTGGGAGGCCAGGTAGACCCCGCCACAGCCCCTCTCTGGCCTCCCTACCTGGCAACACCAGGTTCAAAAATAGAGAGTAGCTGCAGAGGGAGGGTCATACTGAGGCTGGAAGTCGGGACCGTGTCTTGGCCTAGCCTGGTGGCGTCACCAAGGACAGTTTTATTGCCTTTGGCCAGGCCCTCCCACCAAGCTGCAGCCCAAGGAGGCCCCGCTACAGTCACGATACTTTCCACAGTGTGGGTGGGCCTAGCAGAGGGCCCTTGGGATAGAACTGGAGGCACCTCAGATCATCTGGACCAGGCAGGCTCCCCTATCCTGACTACTCCCCCTTCCTCTCCGTGATCTATGATGCCAGGGCTGAGAGCACAGAGGAAGCAGCCCCCACCAGGACCCCCCAACCCCCCAAGGCTGGCCTACTTTGATAAAGCACCTGTATTTGTGCTTCCGGGGGCTCCGCCGTCGGTCCTTGCTGTTGTGGTAGTACGGGCAGGCATAGCCCTGGCGGCACAACCTCGGGGGTTTCCTGCACGGCTCCGTCTTATAGTTGCCCAGCACGTAAGTGGTCTCTGCACAGGGGCCAGAGGAGGGGTCAGGCAGGTAGGGCAAGGGAAGCGGAAGGAGAGGTCCCTGGGAAAGGGCCCAGGAGCTGAGGCTCCTGGGAGAGGCAGGAACAGGGACATTCCTCATGGGGCAAGGCCATGACGGACCCAGTAGCGAGGCCACTGTAGAGACACAACTCACAGGGAAGTGGGCATGTCACTCACACCCACGCAGGAGCACGCATGTTTCCAAGCCCCCACGGGGCATGGGCAGCAGCAGGGGTGACGCGAGCAGTGCAAGGTGTATCTGTGGAAGCCCCCCCAGAAGGCTCCCCCCAGTCACGGGGATATAAGGTGGGGTAGAGGTAGGGGCTGGGGTTGGAGAAGGCACAGCGGCTCAAGTCCAGTCCTTGGACAGCCCCGGCAGGGGTGGGAGGGGGCCCGGCCATCTGTGTGGCCGCCTTTACCTTGCCACCGCGGCTCCTCACTGAGGATTTTTTCTATCATGGCATGGCTCGCGGCCCCAGCTGACTGGCCCTCGACGCTGCTGCCCTCGACTGTAGTCTGGCCGTTCTGCAAAGCCTCCATGGCCTGGAGCTCCCTGGGAGGGGAGGCGAGCAGGGCGGGGGTGTGGGTGAGCTGCGTGTCTCCTGCACCACGCACACCGCTCCTCGTGCGCTCCCCAGGCCACACCCGCAGTCATGGCCCACCTGATGTCGTAGACAGGGGAGCGGAGGTCATGGGGCCCGTGGGCAAACGCACAGTGCAGGCCGTTTTTGGTGCAGTTGCCTTTGGAGTCCGTCTCGTGGATGCAGATCCCAGTTTTGTAGTAGCGCAGGTGGTACCTGCGCTCGGTGTCCCCTGTGGTCCTGTGCAGGAACGGGCACCTGCAGCACGGCAGGGGAGTCACTTGCCTGTGCCCTGTAGCCTGAGCTCTGCCCTCCCGTGCTTGCTGAAGGCTTTGCCCTCGGCCCCGAGGGGGCACTGCTGGTTGAGTCAAGGAGGCCGGCGGTGATGCCCCGCACTGGGAGCAGAACCTCCCACCCCCGCCAGGAACTGGGGAGCGCCCAGAGAGGCCCTGGCTGCCCTCTGGGCAGGATGTCCGAAGGAGCCCAGTGTTCCCACTGCAGCCGCCACTCAGCAAGTCCTCTCTTAGCAACTTAGCCAGGGCCCAGGGGCATCCTGGAGATGCTGCGGGGGAAAGCCTGTGCAAGCAAATGCTGCCCAGCCCAGAGGTCCCATGATGGCTTCTCACAAGGGCTGATTCTGCGAGGGGAGGGGGTGTGGCCATAGGCCGTGACTTCTGTGAGAAGAGCTGCTACAGAGGCATGCAGTGAGCTGCATCCAGAGAGGCCCTGGCTGCCCGTCACCACCTCTGCAAGGTCAGTAAGTGACAAGCAGCGTTGAGCGTCCCAGGCATGCCGCCTCCTTACTTGCGTGTTGCACCCGTCTCTCCCCAGAGCTCTGTAGTAAACATCTGGGGGATCTGAGGAACTAGAGAGGCTCTGCCTTGAAAGAGCCTGCCCAGCTGGAAGGGGGTGGGTGAGCGGGTAGTGGTGAGCTGGGGAGGGGGTTCTTGAGAGCTGCACAGATGAGGAAAGAATGCGCAGGGAGCCACTTTGGTTGAGATGTGGCCCTCAGGCTTAGCGGGAGACAGGCCTGTGGAGGGTTTCCCAAAAGCAGAGCAAGGGGAAGGGTCTGCCCAGAGGATGCCAGGTTGGAGTCCAGGTCCAGGCCGTGCAGAGGCGGCCAGGCTGGAGAGGCCTCTCCCACGCCTCCAGGTTTCCTGTGTCCCCTGGCCTACTTGGAGGACATATGGCCCAGGGAACGCGGGGCTCCCGTAGAGGCAGGCTGGGGGGGCGGGGGCACTTACTCGTCGCCCTCCGGGCAGAGGCCAGTGGCCTCGTCGTACTTGGTGCAGTAAACGTCGGGGCTATAGTTGAAAGTGCCGTCCCGACGACGGATGGACCGGCGGCGTCGCTGATTCACAAAGTGCCAGTGGAAGCAGGTGTAGGGCCGATGCTGCGTGCATTTGTGTTGCACGAAGAGCGGACACTGCTCCGTGCGGAACTCCTTCAGGTACCTGCGGGGAGAGCCCCAAGCCAAGAGTTAAGTCCCTCTTCCCAGCAAGAAGTTAGTTGCCACGTCCCCCGAGGGCCCTGCTCTGGGTGTGCATTCCACCGAGACTTCAAAGCACAGTGCAGAGCCAGACCTCGGGGTCTGTTCTCTGTGCCCTCTCTGAGGTTCCAGGAGTGTGAGGAGCCACTCCCAGCTTCCCGTGGCATTCCCTGCGGCCCACACCCACCTGCCAGTCCCCAGAGGCTGCACCCATCTGTCACAAGGATGGGCCTGGGGCTCCGGGGTGAGGGCCGACCGCCCAGGTCACAAGATGTCCTCTGGACAATAAATGGCTCCCAGACATTCCCAGCACTCACCAGGTAGGTGTGCCCTGACCCCAGTACTGGCCTGACCCCAGTACTCACACGAGTGCTGCAGCAGTGGAGTGATTTGCAGCCTGACTGACCTGGGGACTGGGGGGGAGGTCTCCTCCCAACCATCATCTCTCCCCTTTGCCCTGAATGTTAATAGCAAAGACACCCTCGACACACCCGGAGAAGGGAGCCAGACCCACTTACCCCATCCCAGAACACACGCGGTGTCCACTAGCTCTATGTGTCCACGTAGGCGGGCTCTTAGGTTCAGGGAGGGGCAGGGGAGACAAACAGGCAGTGCAGTTCTCTATTCATTCTCTGAAGCCCTAACGTGGGCAACAAGCTGTTTGACAGAAGGCATTTGAGGGGCCTCCCTGGTGGCGCAGCGGTTGAGCGCTGGGTTGCGAAGCAACCCCGCAGCCTCTGCAGCGCAGGTTCGATCCCCAGTCGCCAGGCGAGGGTCCCACATGGCACACAGACCTCTCCTGCCGCCCGCTGCTCCCCTCAGCAGTGTACTTCGGTCCTTCTGCCTGCTCTGTTCCCCGCTCTGGCTCTGGTGAATTCTCTCACCCTCCCATGATTCTGACTGTACCCAGTGCTTGTATAAATAAATAAATAAATATTTAAAAAAAAAAAAAAAAAAAGGCATTTGATGCCAGCAAAGATGGTTCTAGAAGGTGAGGGTGTGTGCAGAACCTAGCAGGTAAGGCAGTCTCGCCAGTGTCTTGAGTGCCCACTGGGCACACGGAAGGTGTGGGGACAGGTAAGGTCAGGGACAAGACTTTCTTTAATGCGAATGAAGAGCTGAACCTCCACCCCACCCCCCATCTTAAGTGTGCAGGTATGTACTGGCAAGGAGAGGCTGGGACAGGGTGCTCCCCAAAGGGCACAACTAGGGTGAGGGAGTTAACTGGCAGTTAAGCCTCCAAATCCAATCGTGCTCATTCAGCACATCTTTACTGAGCACCTACTAGGTGAGGGCAGTGTGGGCACCGAGGACACTGATGAGGAGCAGGGCCCAGCCATACCAGGTAACCCACATTTTCACGGGCGCTTACAAGCGAGGTTGTTCAGGCTCTGAGAACCCAGAGGAGTGTCCTTGACCCAGGCTGGACAGAGGAAGGTGGAAGGAGGGTGAAGAATGTGGGGTGTTTCAGGCAAAGGGAACACCATGAGCTTTGAAATGGTATGTCTGGGTCCAAGAACTTGAAGTGCCTTTGTGGGATACGAGAGGGGAAAAACTGAGGTACAGGAGAAATGATGAGGTGAGGCATGGGAGGAGCCCAATTTTAGGGTTATTACCACAAACCCCAGGCCCATTCTGAGACACTGCACAGAATTCAGGAAGGCGAGGGCCTCAAGCTTTCCTGTCCCCTGGGCACTGAACTGCGATACCAATCCCCCAAACTAGGCTGGTCCCTCTCGTGGGCAGCGCCCTGACTGTTCCTGCTGAGACTCACTCAGCAGATGACAGGTGGGAATGGCAGAGGGCACTGTGGAGTCCCGGGCCAGGAGCTGGATGTGGTCAGGATGGGCAGATCACGTACAGGACACTCAGTGAAAGAGAAATCTCAGATACACCAAGTATTTCATGAGAAAACGTACAACTGACCTATTGTGTATCTGAATTCTGATCTAACTGGCACCGTGTTTTTATTTGCCTAATCAGGCATCCCTGAGAGCAGTGCCTGTTTGGTGTCAGCCCTCCGTGTCCACCTAGGGAGGTGGGAGAACTCCCCTCAGGGGAAGAACCCTAGGATGTGCTGCCCCTGGTTTGGGCACAACCTTGTCCTTTTGGAGAAGGTACTGGGCAGCCTGCCTACTTGCGGCAGCCATGTCCACAGCGCCACACATAGATGCTGTGGCTTGAGGGCACGAGAAGCAGGGATGCCAGAGAGGACAGAGGAAACACATCACCTCATTTTAAGCCTCTTCATTTCCACCCCATTGCCACGGGTCAGGAGCCTGGCACCTTCCAGTAAACCTGTCTCTTTGCTTCAGCCCTTCCCGTCCAATTTACACTGCACAGGGCTGTGCTCGTCCTGGAGCTCACAGTGAAGGGACTTTCTTAAACACCTTCAGCAACCCCAGGAGCAACTGATGAGCACCCACTGCTCAGCCTGGCGTTCCAGGCTCAACGTGCCTTTCCGCCGCGGCTCCCCGGTTCCTCTCCATGCCAGCCGTGAAGCTGGAGTTCTTGGCGTTTGGCAAACAGAGCTGTAACTTGCCTAGCGTTCCTGTCCCCTTCCTTACCTGTAGAAATCTGTCAAGGCTGAACTCAACACTGTTCTGAGGCACCCCTCCATGAAGCCTTCCTTGAGGTCTCAACTCTCCTCCCTGCCTGCCCTTGTCCTCAGGGGTAAGTAATCCTCTCCAAGTGTTTACGTCACTCGTCTAGACACTTACAGCCCTTACCCTGCACTGCATATTAAAATGTGTGTACTTTTCTCTACTAAATTATAAAGTCCTGAGAGCAAGCATCTAAGAAGTCACCACAGTGCCTTCAATGAGGCAGGGTTAAAATGCCAAGTCTGCCAAATGACAGGCCGAGTCCACAAGGCAACACTACAAGGCACCAGCAGGCAGGGCACTGAGCGCTGGAAACCGTGTCCTTCCCTTGTGAAAGGCTTGACAGTGCAGAAAATGGTCCCTGAGGGAGGGGGCAGACTTCCCTGCAGGAAGCCCGCATGGGGGAGGGGCTGCGTGACCGGATCTTGGGGGAAGAGCACCCACTTTCAACCCACTATGACCAGACGAGGCAAGAGTCTAAACTTGTGCGTAAGTCACTCAGAGCCGTGCCACCGCGACCTGAGCGCCGGAAGGGGTGGCTAGCCTTCCCCTCCTCGCGCGGCCCCTCCAGCCGGTGAACAGGCAGCCCAGGGCCGGAAGGCGAGGACAGGCGCGCTCCTATTCTCATGCACTGGGACGAAACCTCAATTTCCCATGGAAATGCACTCCCTGAAGCCCGACCCGTGGAGCCACCTCACAGGTTTGAAAGCACGAGAGCTAAGAAACCAATAGGCTGAGGCACACTCCTCAGTTCAGCCAACTCTCAGGCAACTCAAACTGTGGGGTCTAACCAAGAAGGGGGCGAGAGGGGACAGGGCCATGGGGCTGAATTCCTCACACCCCCACCTCCCAGAAGACCCACCACGCTCGAGGGTAAGCGCCGAGCAGAGAAACACAGGCTAGCTTCCCCGCGCGCCGTCTCAGGGGCTGGGATGAGTCAAGATCCGCGAGAGGCCCTGGGCTCGGCTCGGCGGAGAAAGCCACCCTTTGACCCGCGGGCAGAGGGGCAGCAACTGTGAGCGCAGCCCCCTGGCTGAAGAACAGTCTCTGGAGTCCACCCCGCTGGGGCTGGCTTCGCATCAAAGGTGTCCTTCCCTCCTGGGACATCACTCACTCGATCCTACTCACCGTCTATCTGTAAATGTTAAATATTGTCATGAGAGAAACAGCCACTTTACAAAAGAATTTGGAGAAGGGCGAAAATCACCCTCAATCCCACTACAAATAACATTAGCTTTTTGGTAAATTTTCTTCCCGTACCACACTGCTAAACTGCTTTGCTAAACTAATACTTTTCTTTAAAAACTTTTCAAATCAGGGCCTCCCTGGTGGCACAAGGGGTTAAGTCGCAGCACTGTGAAGCTATCAGCAGCCACTGCAGCAGGAGTTTGACCCCCAGCCAGGCTGCTGACCAACACGGCCCAGCAGACCTCTCCTGCCGCCCCGCTGCTGCCCTCAGCAGTGACGAAACAGAAGACTGTTAAGATGCCTGACAGGAAAACCTGGCAAGTTTGGAGACAACAGGGAGCAAGCAGCTGGTGCCCTAAAGCGCATCTAGCTCCCCGCTGCCAGAGGAGGGGCCCGCACAGCCTCCTCAACTCTACCTGCCCAGCCGCCACTGGCCAGCTCCTCACCCTGCCCAGCACACCACACTCCAGAGCAGGGTCAGCCAACTTTTTCTGCAAACTTTTTCTAAAATACCGGATAGGGGGCCTGCCTGGTGGCGCAGCAGTTGAGCGCTGGGTTGCAAAGCTGCCCGCGGCCTCTGCAGCGCCGGTTCAATCCCTGGCAGCTCCCTGGCCACCAGAGGAGGGTCCCACATGGCGCGCAGACCTCTCCTGCCATCCGCTGCTCCCCTCAGTAGTGTACTTCGGTCCTTCTGCCTGCTCTGCTCCCTGCTCTGGCTCTGGTGAATTCTCTCACCCTCCTGCGCTTCTGACTGTACCCAGTGCATGTATAAACAAAACAAACAAACAAAGAAATAAAACATGCCTCTATTAAAAAAATAAATAAATAAAATACCGGATAGTGTTTTAGACTTCGAGGGCCAAACCGAGATGTTCTGTACCAACATAATGAGAAGCCAAATTTCCACAAATTTTTATTGATGAAATAAAAAATAACTGACTACAAAAAAAAAAAAAAAGAAAAGAAAAATAAAGATAACTGACTACAATGTTTGGTAATACAGTCTAGTGGAGAGAATGGACTTTTTTTTGTTAGTGTCAAAACTGCACTCTCCACTTGCCACAGAAAAGGCGATGCAAAGCTTCAGAAGGAAATGAATCAAGTTCTGGGCATCAAAAACTCTCCTTCAAACACTTTTCGTCATGAAAATAAAGAAAATTCTCTTCTCAGAACCTCATCAACGAGGGCAACGCAGACCGCTGCTTCTCTCTCGTGGCCTTTCCAGAATCACCGAGTACCAGCTGAAAAACCTGTTCAAGATGTCGCCTTACTGTTCACACGGCTGCTATTACTTATGGTACATGTTCTGTAAGGAGGTGGACAGCGTTAACTTCCCATCCTTAGTACGTGAAGAAGTCGGACACACCCATTTCCTTCACCCATGTCCTTGTTGGTGACTCCTCGATGCTCACTTTACCACCTCCTGCAAACCTTCTTGCTCTCCAGCTATTTATAGTTCATCCCACCACGTCAGCATCCCTAGAAAATCACTCTCATCATTAACCCCTATTTCAAGCCCTTAGACAATTTCCAAATTCTAATCTCTGGGTTTTTCAGTTTGACACTTAGTCTTTCTAATCTGAAATTTTTATATAAGTGAGGCTAAAACAGCTTAGCTTTGGCTAAAACAATCTGGCCTCGCCTTTGCTGTTCTTATTAATGTCCATTCTCCTACTCATCATCCATTTATGTAGTTCACATAAGAAAAAAGAGCAAGCTATAATAATCTATCTCCTAGCAGAGTCACAGAGTTGGTCAATAATTTGCAAGTTCTTAGGCTCCACTACAGTCCTACTAAATTAAAATCTGGGACTAGGCCTCAAAATCTGCAATTCTAAGACAAATTCCACAGTTAATTCTTAAATAGACTAAAACCTGAGAAATTGTTTAATTATAGAAAATGTCTTATATTGCTTGTCATTCATCTGACTAGTGGATGTTTAATATTTGCGTAATGCAAAATAAAATCATACATTAACAAAGTAAGAAAGGATTTTTTGGGGGTGGGGATAATAAAATCTACAAAGTTGTTGATTCTTATATCAAAACTGATTGCAAATGTTCAAAACTGATTGCAAATATCGAGCTGCAAATGTTAGTGCTGACTCTGAATAAGATTTTACATTTTTCATTTTTAGAAATGTCTTTCACATACATAGGTGCTGAGTGCCAACCTCATCCCCTAAGCATGATTTTGAGTATGTCTGTTTCTAAGACATTTATAGATTCTATTACAGTTTGCTACTGGCCTTTTAATCACTTCCAATGTAAGTTTTGATATAAACTCCTTAGTTGGATCCTAAAATAGGGGCATTTCTTTTGCAGTCACACCAAGATATAAAATCACTGGTAGAACTGTAGTGTGTTTGAAATCATAGCGGGGTAAATAAGTATAGGAATGAGGAATCAGCTCCGTTTTAACTTTTGACAGCACAGGAAGGCAGTTTGACATAATTTAGAATTTAGTTAGTGTTGAAATTACCTCACTGCAATGTAAGGCTTACATATAAGTGATATTCTGCTTCATAATTTCAGGGTGAATTCATAAAAAAAAAAGTTACCAAGTCTACAGCAAAACTAATTTCCAGAGCCATTCAGTTATGTCTGAGAATGATTTCTCTCATCTACAAAAATTTCAATCCCGCGTCTCCCTGATGGCGCAAGGGGTTAAGCACCACCGCACTATGACGCAATCTGCAGACTCTGCAGCACCGGTTCCACGGCCAGGGAGAAACCCACATGATGAGACAGACCTCTCCTGTCTTGTGTGCTGCTCGCCTGTACCCCAGCTCTTGTATGCATAAATAAATAAATCTTTAAAATAATTTTTTTTCAATCTCAGCCCTGAACTGAAAAAACTGCAAGAAAACGTTACTGCTAAGTCATCAAACTGTTGTATAGTGGGATGTATCACAATACCCAGCATCTATTTCTGACAAAAATTCATGGGATTGATGGTTAAATCCCCAAGTTCTTCACTGATCCAAATGGTTCATTAACAAATAATAGAGTCAAGCATCCTGCCAAGTGCCTGCTGATGAATAACACAATGAATAACCACAGGCTTTAAGCACCTTACACATTCATAGGCTATAAACTTTGTAAATTTGTTCATTTAAGACTTTTTCTGCTCCACACATTTTTTTTAAAGATTTGTTTACTTATGCATAGAAACATGGGGGGGGTGCAGGCCAGAGGTGCGGGGGTGGTGGTAAGAGGATTCACCAGAGAGCAGCGGGGAGACAGGAGAGGTCTGTTGCCACATGTAGGTCAGCTTCCTGGCCAGAGATCAAACTCAGGCTGCAGTGGCTGAGACAGCTTGATAGCGCTGAGACTTGAACCCCTGTGCCACTGGGGAGGCCCTCCACACATTTTCTTACTATCACCACTTGTAACTGATAGTGTTGCCATTAGCAGATCATACTTTAGGTCGCCTACATTAGCATTTTCTCAACATTCTGGAGACCATCCTCAAAAGCTGCTATTGTATCTATTCAGAGGCCAGCACCTCAGTCACTTGAAAGGTAGCCTTGATTCCAGAATAACTGAACAGTAACAGCAACCTCTGCTGACTCATCAATGGCCAAGGAAAACTGCAGGCAGTCACTGTCTCCTTCTTTGACTATTTATGTTGCTCCCAATGACATCAACATTTTGAGAAATCGTTCCTGCTGAAAGGCTGACACTCCTAAAGCAGTTTGTTTTCTCTGGACACATTTCTTCAGCTGCTGCAAGCACAATTTACGAAATTCAACATCAGTAAATGGTTGACTGACAAATGAGCCACTAGGAAACTTACTTCAGTTGTAGCCTCGTTTTCATGTTGGTGAAGAAGTTCTGCTGCGATGACGGAGTCCCTTTAAAAATGTCCCAACTTTTCTGACCACTGCCTTGCTGGCAGCTGGGGGCACTGTGCTGCTGCTGAGAGTAACAACACTGACATTTTCCCTACTGTTCTTTTTTATTAAAAATAGGCCTACTCTGTAATTCCTAATAATCCACACTGCACTGCGCCCTAAAAGCATGCCATTCCAAGCGGATGAAGAACTCACACACCATGGTGGCGGGCTGCTGTCCATGGCACTGGACAGCAGGGCAAAGCCTGAGACTGCCACGGTCGGTTTCTGCTACAATCACTTCACTCTGAGGTGCTAAAAAATCCAAATCTGTAAACCAATCAGCATGGATTGCAATAAAGCTTTATTTATGGATGCCAAAATTTGATTTTCATTGTGTCATAGAAGTGAAAACCACTTCTTAGCTCCTGGGTTACACAAATGCAGGTGGCGGGCTGGATTTGGCATGTGAACCGTAGTTCGCCGACCTCGGATCTGAGGAGCTGGTATTCCCCAACACACCATATGCTCCCCTCACCTCTCTGTACTTTCCATCCATGTGGGGTTCACTCTCCGACTTTTCTGGGCTCCCTGACTGTACAGTGGTTTAATCACCAGCCCCCCGCCCCCCATATTCTCACTGCACTGTGAGAACACAGCCAGTTTGGCCCTAGCACATTTCAACTGAAATACTATGCCAAATGCTTTGTGTATAGCTCTGTCTATCCAAGTGGTACATGCCTTGTCCACAGCAGCTGTGTGCTAAGAAGCAATGCTGACCTCTGAGTTACATGCTTCTGGAAATTCAGAAACCAGAAACTTCTTCATGGTTAAGTCCCAAGTTTATCATCTGCAACATCTTACGAAGACATGTATGTAGAATGGTCAGATTTGTATAAAGAGGCAAACAAGCAAGATGTTGCTGCTGACGGCATCAGGAGAAGTAATGAGAAGACAAAGTGCTGCGGCCTGATAAAATGCAGTATGAACAGCGAATGGAGATGTGAGCCCAACAAAATGGGGGTAACAGACTGAGCAGATAGAAGACCCCCACCCTGTATGTCCCTTAACCTGGAGGTCACGGACAAAGCGTCCGATTGAGGGGAGCCCACTGAGCACTCGGCACTCAGTCTTGTGAGCCACTCACAGAGGGTGGCAGAAATCTGGCAACTAGAAATATAAGCCCATATCCCTAAGAAGCCACTAGTTGTTCAACTTTATCGTAGCCAATTTTATAAAAACTGAATTTTGCCTTTTTAAAGCTATTTATAAAGCTTTATCAGAAATAAGATCTCAAATTATAAGAAATAATCCTATTCTTAAACATTCTTTAAAAAAAAATCTTTATTGACATCTAACCACGATATGAAAGGGTTGTAAACTAGCAAAGAAAAAACAACCAACCAACCAACCAACCAACCAACCAACCCAGAAACCACTGGAGAGTCCATTGTAATAACCAAAGGCTCAGCGACCCCAACCTGTAATCCGCTAGTCTCTATACTCATAGTAGCCCTACGGCCATTTTTTTTTCTTCCCCACAGATAACTCCTAAAAAGAAATTTAGTCACAGAGATCATAGTTCATAGCTTATCAAATATTCATTCTTGGGCCTCCTCTGGTGGCGCAGCGGATGAGCGCTACATTGCAAGGGTGCCCGCAGCCTCTGCAGTGCCAGTTCGATTCCCGGCCACTGGCAGGGGTCGCACACAAAAAAAAAAAATTAAAAAAAAAAAAAAAAAATCATTCTTTTAAGGGTTGAGAACTTTTTTTTTTTTTACTTCAGGGAGAATAATAGATCATATAAAGAGATTAAGAATCTTAAATAAATTATCCAAGTGTGTGTGGCGCATGCATGCGCAGACACACACACACACACACACACACACACACACACACTCCTTACAATGCTAGAAAATCTTTCCTTTTTGAAAAGCTTTAGGTAAACTACTAGCAGTTCTAGATTCAATGTTAATAAGGACATAAATACACATTGTTTTGACACCAAACATAACCCAGAAACCATATAACTTTGTAACAATAACCACCAGTGGGAGTTAACAACTAAAAAGCCAGGCCAAACAAAGCCAAAACTGGAGGTTGGCAAATAATTGGATGATTCTGTTAAAGCATTGTATGGCTACAGGGATTTGGCTTCCAAATCTTCTGAAATGATCCTGCTTTAGAACATTCTCTCTGGCAGAAAAAGCTCAGAGAATATTATTCCCTCAAAGTAAGTATCTAGTGAGTTTCTGAGTGTGTCTGAACTTTTAGGGCAGCTTTGATCTTGTAACTGGCTTTTAGCCAAGCAGCAGAAACAGTTAAACCTTAGAGGTGTATGAAGCCCCTAGCTACAGACTCTCCCCACACACAGGCCCATACAAAGGATGCCTCCGCAACAGCACTGCAGGCACTTAAACAAGCATGGATGTTGAGGTCCGGGAGCCTCTCTCACTGGCAAGTTACTTCGGCCCCTCTTCACTGGGAAAGATCTGACGCCTGGGAGTTGTCCTGGCCCCAAGGACTAACAAGAACTGGATCCTACTTTCTCACTCCAAGGATCCTGGAAGTGCTAAGAGGAGAAAAAGTTCAAGTGAGAGGTCAGTCATAACACTGATTTTGGAGAATATGTGAGTAGTACTAAAAATCCTAATTCATTCTTTCTAGATAACAACTTGATTCAAAGTCTTTCTGTATATAGCTGGACTGAAATACCTCCAATTTGAACATTTTCTAATATATTAAGTTTAAATGATGTATTATTTTGTGCAGTGGATCCATTTAGAACACAAATCGATCATGAAGGATAAAAGCAGTTTTGATGGAGGCTACACAGAGATGGCAACTGAAGAAAAAGTCCCACCCATGTGGAAGAGAGGCGTGTGCTCTGAGGACAATACTGACCCACATGTGCCCTAAAAGCCAGAGAATGTCCCTTAGTGCAGAGGTGGCTGAAGGAAGCCCTGGAGTAAGGCTGCCGAAGGGGACAGCAATGCAAATGACAACAGTAACTTGGGTCTTGTTCAAATACAGGTAAGAACAGCACTTACTGTGCTAAGTGCCAGGAGCTGTTTTAAGCACTTTGCATGTATCAACTCACCTAACCCTCATACAGCCCCAGGAGACAGGCACTATCCACATGAAAGTGTCACCCAAAGCGGAAGTCACTTGCTCAAAGGCCCACAGCCAGTAAGAGGCAGAGCTGGGCTTCAATTCGACAGTCTGGCCCCGGAGTCAGTACTTGCCACCACAACTGCTAACTATGCTTTTCTTTATTGAGCTAAAGGAAAAACAAGAGCAGCAGCAAATATGTATACGTGAGTCTCTAGAAGCTGTTTAAAATGTCAGTTTTTTTTTTTTTAAAGATTTATTGATTGATTGATCGATTGATTGATTTATACATACATACATACAAGCACTGGGCACAGTCAGAAGCATGGGAGGGTGAGAGAATTCACCAGAGCCAGAGCGGGGAGCAGAGCAGCCAGAAGGACCGAAGGACACTGCTGAGGGGAGCAGCGGGCGGCAGGAGAGGTCTGCGCGCCATGTGGGACCCTCCTCCGGTGGCCGGGGAGCAGCCGGGGATCGAACCGGCGCTGCAGAGGCTGTGGGCAGCTTCGCAACCCAGTGCTCAGCCGCTGCGCCACCGGGGAGGCCCTAAAATATGTCAGTTTTTGACAGGTCAAACTTGTAATACCGTTAAGTTACTAAAAGTAATAATAGAAATGTTTAACATACTGTATATTTAAAATGCATTTTAGGTATTCATTATATTCTTCATTCAACAGTAAAATTTACTATCAAATTTAAGTGTTTTTTCTTTTTTTAATATAAGTAGCAGTCTAACATATATGGCTGAGTAGGTTTGATTTATACAAATACTCAGCTACCAAATACCTGGTACCTCTTATCAGGAGAAATGACATAGAACAGATATGTTGTTACCAAAATTAAAAGTTTAGATATAAAAACTACTACTTCAAACCACTGAGTCATAAAAGACCACGATAAACTTTTTTTATCAGCCTCTTCTTTTCTAAGCATAACTACTTTTCTTCAATAGGGGTAGCAGCTTAATGAACGGCCAAAATTTCACAGGAAGGTAGGAACACAGGTCTTCCCCTTCCTCATTAGAAGTCATTTTGTTCAGACTTAGGGTGGCCATACGGTGTTTCAAATACTCATGGGAAACAAATGAGTCGAACATAAAAAGCAAACTGTGATATAAAGAACAAGGAAAAAGAGGAAAACATTTCAACAAATTCAGATATGACGTGATGATACTGTCACAGGCCTTAGTATCTTCTTTATCACCTAAATAAATTGAGCCACCAACAGGAAAAGGTCACCTCACAGAGAATGCTATGAGATTTTTAAGTCGCTAGACTCCTTTCCATCTTCTCCTCCTCATCAGTTCTTGATACTGCTGTCAAATTCTACACACTGGCAAAGAAAAAAGGGGTGAAAGTTGAGGAATTTTATAGAGAAATAGTAAAAAAGTTTGTGATTACAGCCACTGATAATCATCTTAAATGCCTAAAACATGATTTATCCTTCAAGGATGCCATGGGAGCATTCAAACCATCATTACAACACTGGAGGAGGGAATCCTACATTTAGTAGGACAGCACCTTCTCTTCTACATTCCACCCACCACGGGAACTAAACACAATCCATTTTGCAAAGGCATTGGGGACAACCTGCTTGTTCCTCATAATGAGTATCAGTTCCGATACTGATACTACACAAGTTAAAGCACAACTAATATCAACTAGGAATCTCAAACTTCACTTATCTCAAAAGCATCTTCGCAGACTTACGGCATCGGGACACTCATCTAAAATGGGTACATGGGACTAAGTCACTGGGAAGTCTGGGAAAAGGGCACTCAGCTTTTAACAAAATGCAGGCTTTCCTGTACTGACCTGTGCTGTCTGGCCATATTATCTAATGTCCCTCGAGTAATAGGGGCTCCAAACTCTATGCACTCAAAGGGTTATCTTTTCAACCCTTAAAAAAAAAAATGAGAGGATGTCATTTACACAACATAAAAATTTACCATTTTAAAGTTTACATTTCAAGGATTCTTTTTTTAAAAAAAAATTTATTTAAGCTTACAAGAGCTGGGGTGTAGGCCAGAGGCGTGGGAGGGTGAGAGGATTTACCAGAGACAGAGTAGGGAACAGAACAGGCAGATCTACTGAGATACACTGCTGAGGGGAGCAGTGGGGAGAAGGGAGAGGTCTGCTGCGCCATGTGCGTCAGCTCCCTGGCCGGGGAATGAACTCATGCTGCAGTGGCTGCGGATAGCTGGATAGCTTCAAGGTGCTGAGACTTAACCCCTGGCGCCACCAGGGAGGCCCATTTCAAGTATGTTCACCACGATCTAATTCCAAAACATTTCCATCACCCCCAAACCCATACCTACTATCACATGCACTGATTTTATCCCCAGTTTCTCTGCAGCTATGTCTAGCGCCCATGCAGGTTTTTAAAGATGGTTGGGTGGAGTTAATCTAGAGAGTATTTATCTATATGGTAAGAAAACAAAAAAGCTTCAGTGTCCAGAAAGATAATGAACTTAAAATCTTGACTTTTTTTTGCAATTAAGCTAAATGTAATTTTTATATATTGGCTAAGAATAGCAGAGAAACTTACATTCAACATCCATCTTCACATAACACATTAGTGTGCCCCAAATTCATCCAAGATGTTAAAAGAAGGGAAGACAATCTATAAGGATTAGCCATAACTGTCCATAGTTGCAATTTCAAAATATAGAAGATGTTTATGTAGGGAAACCTCCTTTAGTATCAAGCATAGCTGGATTAAAAACACAAAACATGAAAACACGTAATCATTATGTAAATATTACCCTACTTGGGAAAATCATCCCTAGGCCAATTCGCTACTGAAAGTAATGTAGCTTTAAATGCAACTTTACTTCTATCACTCTCCTGACCTAGAGTCTCCTAATGAGGAAACAACCTTTAGGCAAAGGTCTGGCGGGAAAGCCTGCAGAAGTATGCTGCTCAGGCTGCTGCAGTGCGCTCATGACCTACGTGCGCGCATGGCTTCTAAGACACACAGGAAGGAGACCTCACCTTCAGGCAGCAGGGTGTTGAAAGCGGGAGGAAGTAGGTCCACGAGGGTGTCTTGCTTTTGTGCACTTATCTGGGGTGCTATTTCCACAGAAGGAGCTCCTTTATAGAGTGTGCCCAAGATGGATTTCTCTAAGTTGCTCTCAGAGTTGTCCAGCTGCCCTCACCAATAAGTCACAGTCTTTGTAGGTTGACAGAAACCACCAGTCAAAGCAGATGCATATGGATTGTGGGGAAGCCTTCTTTAGTATCTAACATAGCTGGATTAAAACAAAAAAACTTAACCATTAAGCAAATCTTGACTTTAATCATTAATTTAGATTATAGCAAATATTAGCTAGGTGCTAAGCTTGAGTCTATCCTCAGCATGGGCGCTTCACACTTATTAATAGGGATTCTATGGGTTTGATGAGAGGCCACAGTGGGTTCTGAATTTTTGTCCTGCAAGGAGTCAGTTCTTTTTGATAAGCAAGTAAACAAGATCCAGAAATAGTTATTGGTAATTTAACTCATTCTTACTGACGTTGTTAACCAATGCTTCCAGTGCCTTCCTGTTATACAACAACTTGTACTATGGTAATGTATTTACAATTTTATTGTGATTTGCAATAAATGATTTAAATACATATTCATTTCCTTGACTTCCAGAATACAATCAAACACAGTCAGGTGAAGTTCATGACATTTATGTAAGTAACAAATTTGCCTTGAAATAGTTATCTATGATAGTACTGCTACATTATGCTTATTTAAAGATGCCCAAGAAACAGTCCTAAACTAAAATGCCTGGGTAGATGAGACTTTAACGTTATCTCTTCTCCATCTATAAGAACTCACCCAGTGGTCAGAAGACTCAAACAAAATTTCGCTAAACTAGAATTTTGTCTTCCTTTAACACAAGGGCATTAAGAAGTCTCAGAATCAGCTACAGTTTAAAAAATCCAAAAATGATTTTATATCTCTGGGATTTATTTCCCTATAAAGTCAAAATAATGAGGTCAGAAACCTGGGTATCTCATGTGGCTGGTTTTTCTCCCCAACTATATACTTACTAATATAATCATTATATTGTAAAAAGCCCAAAGTTAACTAACCTTGCACATACATTTCAGATTGTAAGTGCTCCAAAATTTCCCATTCTTAAGTCTGTTTGTTCTTTTTTTAATAAAAATGTAACGTACAAAATGGATTTGTTCTAAATGAAGCTGGATTACCTACTGCGAGGTCACGTGATTCTGTTCTTGGAAGAATACTAACATACTCACACCAGCATTTTACGAAGTGCTAATCAAATACCTGGCATAGTACAACACAGGAAAATTTGCAATCATCACTTTCTAAAAGGGTTGGATTCCTCCAGTCTAGCACACACACTTGCTGTACCAATTTGATGAGAGGATTATTTACTTCAGTTTTCCTTAAAGCAAGATGGTTCAAGAGTTCAGGGAAGGCAGCACTCCCACTGCCCACCTGTGACTATGCAGGTGCTTCTTTTCACCAACTCTCTCCCTCTCAGGGCAGCAGCCCTCCTACCTGCACTATGCCAGGGCTTCTCCTCACTGACCTCCCTCAGTGGAGGCCGCTCTCCTCATGAGCGCCTGCCTGCAACCATGCAGGCCTCTCTGAGCAAACCTGTTCCTTCAGGGCAGCTCTTCCTGTCCGCTTGTGTCTATGCAAGTGTCCTTTATTCTTCTGTCCCTTTCCCTAATAAACCTCCCCTCAAAAAAAAAAAAGAAAGTTCAGGGAAAAATGCCAACAAAATAATTACCCTTCAGACTATGTTATGAATAATCATTTTGGTTTAGGAAAAGGGCTCATACCCTAAGACTTTAGTTGTGGGGCAAGAATAAAGGGCAAGAAAGCACACCTATGGGAAGGCAATTTTTGCTTTTGGTGGATTCAATTGTGTTGCCAAGATTGTCTGCCATTATGATCACTGAGGCTCAATTTTAATGCAAGTTTCTTCTGGATTATTGCAAAAATGAATTACATCATCTCAAATAATAGCAGGCACAAAACCCACAAAATTAAAGAATAAAGAAGACTTAAAAGGTAAAAAAAAATCTTGACAGGTAACAACACTAAAAAAAAGGTCTATATCTGTATTTAACAATGGGATCAATGTAACACGTAAAGTCATATTCAGTTTGGGACAAAATCTGGAAATTCATGCTGCAAGAAGATGAATGAAACAATGCAAGGCGGCTCCAAATTACATAGCGAATCCTACAATCAAAATGATCTTGTTCCCTCATCCTCAAAATCAACAAATGGATTCACCTTAAAAAAGAAGAAAAAGAAAAGAAAGCAGAGCCAACAAGTGCCCTGACGCTCCCTGTTCCTCAGGCCTGGGGTGGTAAGAGGATGAAGTTTTCAAAATAATCACTTCAGGGCCTCCCCGGTGGCACGGGCAGTTGAGGCTGCGCTGGGCAGGCGAGGGTCCCACATCCTCCTGTCTCCCCGCTGCTCCCCTCTGCAGTGTACTTCCTCACTCTGCCTGTTCTGTTCCCCGCTCTGACTCTGGTGGATGCCATCACTCTCCTGCACATCTGGCCTGTACCCCGGTTCTTGTATAAATAAATAAATCTTTGAAAGACAAATAAATAACCACTTCAATCTACCCAGGAAGACAACGGATTTCCATCTCTGATTTTTAGGAATAAAGACATAAACACACACACCAATGAACAGACAACAGGAAATAAAGAGACGGCAACACCTACAACTTCCAACTGCGCTCGGGCATCGACTGCTGCTGATTTTCTTAAGCCTCTGCGAGCGCCAGGGTGACCGCGCTGCATCTGCCCCACAAGGGCAGATTTCCAACCCGAGAGCACCAGGAGGACGACGACCCCGATGCCGACACTCGCACCGCGGCTGCCCGCCTCACCTAGCAACCCCGCCTCGACGAGACGCCCCCCAGGCCCCCGCGAGCTCGCTGACACCGCGCGCGAGCAGCGGTGGCCACGACCCAGACTCACATCCCTCAAAATGTTACAGGCGTTTTACTGCAACGGTGACCCCGGCAACGAGGCTGTAACTGTTACAGGGCAGCCCCGATACAAAACGGGGTGCCTGACTGTGGGTCCTCACCAGCATGGGATTAGCTCAGAACATCCCTTCCCCCTAACCTAACTAGGTCCAAATATGTGAAGTTCGCCCCTGTCCGAACGGGGACGGCACCACCCAACCTGACCGGACTCTGGGGCAGACCAGCTCCCCCAAACCCCCGGGGCACCGCGGGCGCCAGCGAGGCCCCAGGGCCACCGGGCCACGTCGGGGAAGTTACAGTCAACAGGAGTCAGGCCGCTGTGCACAAAGTTTCACGTTTTATCCGCTAACAGCAGAGAACCTCAACAAGCAGCCCCGCGTCCCACAGCCGCGGCTGCCAGCCCCGACCCGGTTTCCCCCCGGGCCCGTCCTCCGAGCGCCAACCTCGGCGCCCCTGCCTGCCTCTCCCTCCCGCCTCCCGGGCCTGGGCTCGGCAGGGGGCGTCGCTGGGCGGCTCTGAGGTGCCGACTCCGGGCTCCACATGTCAGAGCCCGGCACACGCAGGGGCGCTGCCGGGGGTGCGCGTCCCTCGGGCGCCCGTGGGGAGCCGCCGCTCGCGGGCCCTCGGGGCACTTCGCAGCGTTTTGCTCAGCCGGAGGGGCCGCCTGATTCGTCCGTCTCCCCCAAAGCACCTCGCTTCAGGGCCCCGCAGGGACCTGCACGTCCCCACCAGTCCCAGAGAGGCCTTCCAGCTCCCTGGCCGCAGTGTCAGCATCTGGGGCTCCCTCTGGTGCCACGTCTCGGTGGGGCCGAGGCCACACTCGGACCCCCCGGCCCCTGAGCAGGGCTGGGGCGACGGCTGAGGGGGACTCAGGCGGGAGCGGCCGCGGCGGAGCGCGCTCGGGCCTCGGCCACACAAAAGGCCTCCCGCGCCCAGGACGCGGGGTCGCCGGCCGGGGCCTCACGCCAGCGTCCTTCGCGGGTGGCGCTCGCGCCGGCCCGCAGGCACCATCCTGGCGGCGCCGCGAACGCCTCACGCCCCGCCAGGGCCCGGGACTGTGGTTTTACGGTCTGAGGAACACTTAGGCCTCGAAGGCCCGGCCTGAGGTGTGTGCGCTCCGCAGCCGGCGCTCCCGCCTTCCCCACTCGGCGGCGGGGACCGAGTTTCCCGCCCCACGGCCCGACCAGAGCTTGGTGGCGGTAGGAGGCAGTTGGGACCGGCCCCAGCAGGTTGGAACCGGTCTGGGCCGGGCCGGAGGAGGAGGAAGGGGGGAGGGAGAGGCCGCCTCGCGCTCTCCCTGCGCGCGTGACTCACGCTGGCCGCTGACGTCAGGCGTGCGCGCGCGGCGGGGGGGGCTCTACGTACGTGTAGTGCTGCGGTTTCTCGGGCTGTGCCTGCAGCACCTGAGCGGTAGCGGCCGGGGGCGCCGAGGAAGCTGCGGAGCCGCCGGGCCCGGGGCCCTTCGACATGGTCCTGTCTTCCTGCCTCTTCGCCGCTCCCCTTTTATTATTCAGTCTGCGCGGTCCGCGCCGAGGACCCAGTGCGCCTGCGCCGCGCCACGAGAACGTGAAGACCCCCCGCACGGCAGCAAGGGCTGCTGGGAGTTGTGGTCCATGCTTCGACTGGAATTTTACCGTCGGTAGAGGGTTGCTGCCAAAGGAAAGGACCACAATACCCAGGGGTCCTTGCAGACGGTGTCCCGGATGCCGGCGGCCCGAGACGGCTTGTGGGGATTGCAGTCCGCCGCGTTTCTCGCTCGTACGTCGCGTCTTCAGCTTCATGGGGGAACCTTTTCTCCGAAACGGAGCCCCTGGAGTGGAAAGGTCCCGGGCTGGGGAGGCCCTGCCGACACCCGTGAAACAGCTCCAAGTGTAAATTCCCTTTCAACAGTGTCCACGGTACCCCGCCTCCGTATTCAGTGCGCCGTGGGCTCGGTTCCGATGCCGGCCCCGAGCGATGCTGAAGAATCTGTATGGTGCGTTCTTAGATCTGGGCCTCTGTGCTGCGGGCCCCTGGAATTCGCCAGCCTCCTCCTGACTCTGCAGCGGCATGGGCCTCCTGGGAGGCGTGAAGGCCACGCTGCCTGCTGGAAGGCAGCTCCAGAAGCTCTGATAAAGAAGACGACGCCACACAGCCCTCTGGTCTCCCGCCTGTGCTGAGGCTCCATAATCCTTCATCAGCCCGGCAGCCTGGAACTCCACGACTTGGCTCCCTTCTCGACACCTGGCCCGACCAACTTGTTTCCAGTACATTAGGGGCCAAGGAAGAATTTAATCTCCGTCTAGAATAGTCTCGGGTACACTGGCAAATTGCAGGGGTGTTGAGAAACAAATCATAGGATCCAGGAGGGCCTGGACTTGGTAGCGGGTGCGGTTTCTAATCCAGTCCAGTTCCCTTTCTTTTTAGAGAAATACTTCATCCCTCCCCGCTTCCTAGCAGTCAGCCAAGTTCATCATTTGTGGTCTTTGTAGAATAAGCCAGATTCCCCCACACCCTAGGCGTGTGATTCCGTAAGCTTTATACAAAGGTCTTTAGAGCTGTTTAACACTTGTCATTTAGCTTTGTTTCCCCTATTGGATTTATTGATATTTAAATCCATTGTTTTTAAGACTCGTATTTTACTAGGTAGCATTATGGTAACTAGGAATCTTCTCATTAAAGAGTTCGAATAACCTTAGGGATGAGGGAATGTAGGGTGAATGGAAAATTGTTAGTGTTTCAGAATGACACACACTTAGTTCTTACTAACCTCACATCAGAAGCCAAATAGTCTACTACAAAGTTGAGAAATTGCTATTTCCTAAACAGGCTAAATCAATTGTTTAACTACTAGGGGCGTTTGAAGATGAAAAATTCCAAGAGTATAAACAATTGTAGTGTATTACTTTAATCCTATTAGTAAGTCCAAGTAATTGGTTTATATGTTATCCCCAAAATACCCGAGTGATCTTAAGTGATACCATGAGCTTCAGGACAAGTGTGTACTGGCAGAAGTGGGAGCGATCATCCAACGGGCTTCATTTACAAGAGGAAACTGAAACTCAGAGAGGTTAAGTAACTTGCACAGAGTTACTCAGCAAGTTCTGACAGAACAGGAACTAGGACAGTAGCCAACACTGCTGCCTCGCATTCTACATTATTTTGATTGTTTAAACTTTTCCTGCATTGCTTTTCCTCCCCTGTAACAACAGAATAAAGGAAATCATATGACTGCCAAAGTATTTCCACTAATCATCCTTAAATAGATGAATATAAATCCGTATCTACCTTCTCCTCGAGCAGTTTTAGTTTTCCAATAATTAACAAAATGGAAACAAAAACAGTCTCTCCTGTCGAGGGCAAGAGACAGTTCTGGATTTTCCTAAACAAAACTTGGAACACAAACATCATTCATTTAGGTGCTTGTTCCTTCTCCAGGTCATTTAAATAGTCAGTAAAAAGATGAAAGTATTTTATAGTTACATCCCAGAATATCTGACAGCCAGCTAGACAGGTTTTTACCAGCTCTGAGAACAGGACAAGAGTCTCCAGCCTAGTTTCGGCATGGCATGAGAAAGCTTCATTTCCTCCTGTACCCTAAACATTGGGCAGAATTAACAAAAATTAACATTGATAAAAGTTATCACATTAACATTTATTTTTTTTTTTAAAGATTTATTTTTATTTATACAAGCACTGGGTACAGTCAGAAGCACGGGAGGGTGAGAGAATTCACCAGAGCCAGAGTGGGAAACAGAACAGGCAGAAGGACCGAAGGACACTGCTGAGGGGAGCAGCGGGCGGCAGGAGAGGTCTGCGCGCCATGTGGGACCCTCCTCCGGTGGCCGGGGAGCAGCCGGGGATTAAACCGGCGCCGCAGAGGCCGCGGGCAGCTTCGCAACCCAGCGCTCAACCGCTGCGCCACTGGGGAGGCCCTGAGCCTTGTTTCTTTTGTTTTTAAATTTATTTATTTATGCATACAAAAACTGGGGTACAGGCCAGAGGTGCGGGGGGGCAGGGGAAGAGGCTTACCAGAGACAGAGTGGAGAACAGAATAGGCAAATCGACGACTGAAATACGCTGCTGAGGGGAGCAGTAGGCGAGACAGGAGAGGTCCACTGTGCCATGTGGGAATCTCCCTGGCTGGGGATCGAACCTGGGCTTCAGTGGCTGAAGATACCTTCCTAGGCAACATCTTAACCCCTTGCGCCACCAGGGAGGCCGAATTTTCTGAGTTTTGTTTGGCTGGTCTTAACCTTAAGCTTACTTTGGTATTTTGTATACCTTAGTCGGCTGAAGAACTGGATATCGCAATCCATCCAAGACATTTGTTTAGGCAAAAGTGAGGATTACCATTTTCACACATTTGTCATGTTTCTTCAGAAGTACTATCTACCAGGATGTATCATTAAACACATAGTTAATTCTGTTGTCTTTACTCTTGAAGGACATGCAAATACAGTTTTAGGACGATTGCCTTTGTGATTGTGGTTATTTCCTACTGTTGAATTACACAATTAAAAAACTTGTTCCTTAGTAGGGTCCTTCTTCTGTAAGTATATTGAAATAACAAAGCATTTTGTGATAGCCTAAGAATATACAGAACAGTTCGTATAAAATCTTTAATTGACATTTTCTTTTTATCTATTATTGGCCTCACCCCAACAAACAAAAGAATTGCTTTTTGGTGAAAATGTACATGTGTGGCATATAAAATACCTAGTAATATAACATACGTTACTGAGTTCTCATTATCCTCTACACTACACACTTAGTCAAAATGTCAGTGAAAACTAATCAGGGAACATATTTTACACTGGAAAATATTTAGAAAAGTTTATTTAAAGTAACCTCTCCTTCTCCTGCATGGCTTTAGCTTGATACAAATAAGATTAGGCGCCTGGCCACCCTGAGTCTTAAATCCTAACAGGGACCAATGCAATTCATTTGCATTGACTTTCTATTGTAGAGCTTTGGAACCAAGGGAAGGATCCAAACATAGCTCCATTTTATCCAATCAGAAGAGCCGCTGAGTGCTAAACCCTGATTCGTCCATTCCTCTTTGCATTCGTCCAATCAGCGGGCCACTTTAACAGCCAATCAGCAGCTTAGATGTTCACCAATCAGGGAACGGGGCCGAAGCACGGCCTTTGTGTCGGGGGATGTCAGCGCGTCGGCGAGGGCGCCCGCCAATAGAAAGAGTCGTTGGTGTATGCAAATAAGGGTCCTATGACGCAGAGACGCAGCGTGAAGCGTGGGTATAAAGCCAGGCGCATCGGGGGGGTTTGGAGCGCAGAGCTGTTTGGCCGTTCGTTGGGGGAGCGTCTGTCCTGTGCCTGGCGACTGCGGCTCTCCGTTGGGCGGGCGAAGCGGCGCGGCGGTCGGCGGAGCGGCCCGGGACTTCCACAGGAGGTAGGTGGGCGCCGCTTGGGCCGAGGCCGCGGCGCCGGCGGCCGTTGAGGCGGCGGGCCGCGGCCGTTGAGCCCGGGGGCGGGCGGCTCGGCGCGGGCGCGGGGCCGGGAGGGTCCCCGGGGGCTGCGCCCGGGCGGCGCGGCCCGCTCGCTCCCCGCGGCGGCTCGGGGTCGCCGCCGGCCGCCGCGCCGCGGGCCTCCGCCCGCCGGGGGGAAGTGGCTCCTCCCCGCGCCCCCCGCCCGGGGGAGGCCGCCGCTCCCGCCGCCTGAGTCACCCGCGGAGGGAGGCGGCGCCCCGGCCGCGGCGCCGCGCGGGCCCGCCCCCGCCCGCTCACGGCCGTCCCCCTCAGGTGAGGGGAAATGGCCCGCACCAAGCAGACGGCGCGCAAGTCCACGGGGGGGAAGGCGCCCCGCAAGCAGCTGGCCACGAAGGCGGCCCGGAAAAGCGCCCCCTCCACGGGCGGCGTGAAGAAGCCGCACCGCTACAGGTAGGCGCGGGGACAATGGCGGCGGCGGGCGGGGGGCGGCCGCGCTCGGGCCGCGCCCTCACCCGGGCGTCGCCGCCGCAGGCCCGGCACCGTGGCGCTGCGCGAGATCCGCCGCTACCAGAAGTCCACGGAGCTGCTGATCCGCAAGCTGCCCTTCCAGCGCCTGGTGCGCGAGATCGCGCAGGACTTCAAGACCGACCTGCGCTTCCAGAGCGCCGCCATCGGGGCGCTGCAGGTGAGGCGCGGCGCGGCGGCGGCGGGCGGCGGGGGCCTCCCGCCCGCCCGCCCGCGGCCCGAGGCTAACGCTGGGGCTCTGCCGGCAGGAGGCCAGCGAGGCGTACCTGGTGGGGCTGTTCGAGGACACCAACCTGTGCGCCATCCACGCCAAGAGAGTCACCATCATGCCCAAAGACATCCAGCTGGCGCGCCGGATACGGGGGGAGCGAGCCTGAGGGACGGCGGTTTTTAAGGCGTTTTGTAGTAAATTCTGTACAATACTTTGGTTTAATTTGTGACTTTTTTTGTAAGAAATTGTTTATAATATGTTGCATTTGTACTTAAGTCATTCCATCTCTCACTCAGGATGACTGCGAAAGTGACTGTTCACAGACCTCAGTGATGTGAGCGCTTGCTCAGGAGTGACAAGTTGCTAATATGCAGATGGGATGGGTGATGCTTCCTGCTTCTCATGATGCATGTTTCTGTATGTTAATGACTTGTTGGGTAGCTATTAAGGTACTAGAATTGATAAATGTGTACAGGGTCCTTTTGCAATAAAACTGGTTATGACTTGATCCAAGTGTTTAACAATTGGGGCTGTTAAGTCTGACCATACATCACTGTGATAGAATGTGGGCTTTTTCAAGGGCGAAGAGGAGTCTTGACCACAGTGTAACTTACAGTTTCCTAAAAAAGAAAACGAAAAAAAAAAAAAGTAAACCTGGCAGCTATAGAATACACTATGTGCATTTATAATAGCTATTTTATATATTGTAGTGTCAACATTTTTAAATTAAATGTTTTACATCCACATGTGGTGGGGAGTCTTGTCATTAAGGTGTGTGTAATGTAGAGTCCAGTTGGTTTTCTCCTGACTAGACTGCGCTTGTTCTCATAGTAGTGATGCTTTGCACATTCTATGCCTTGCATAAGTCCTCATTCTACCACATGTTAACTAACCCTCTAGCTGATGACGCAGACACTAACGGGGGCGGGGTTTATTTATAAGGGCTCTAGAAGATACTACAAGTTAATTCACACCAGCATCATCTGTTAACGAATAGTCCACACTAGTTGCAGCAGCTTTCCTTTGTGTTGTGGTCGGTCTCTTAACCAGACTGAGTTTCTCTCCCGCCAGGAGGAGCACAGCAGCCTTCCCTGCGGCATTTGTATTATCATAACCCTTAGAGTAAACTTGGGCGCGGGGCGGCGTGCTCGGCGCCAGCTTCTTGCGCCCCGCCAGTTCCGAGGGTGTTGGCTTAGGTTACATCTGGTGCACGCCCGGGAGAGGCACCGTAGCGGTGGCCTTCCAAGTGGTTTTAAAATTGATCCTTTTGGAGCGTTCAGGTCAATTATGTATGTTGACTAAATTTACAAATAAACTTGTTTATCCAACTGTCGAAAACCTAAACTGAATGTACAGAGCTTTGATTACTTCCATGACCTAGGTTCTTTGTATTCTAGTTTGACTTAATCACGTTTTGCTTGGCAAAGGAACCTTTCATTTACAAAGATAATTGTAGAAAGCATGTAAACGGTTCTCTATAAAAATGCTATATGATTGCCATATCTGCAGTGTGAGCTTGGAAGTGTATTAGTATGCACCCCCATATTTTCAAGGAATAAAAATACTTTTACTCAAGGTGCAACACAAGACAAGGAAAATAAATTTCTTTAAAATTCAAGGGCTCACCTGAGGTGGTTCGTGAGCCTGTTGACGCGCATGTAGAGCAGGCACATTAACGGTCCGGAGGACGTAGCTCTCTCCGTCTGAAGACACCCTTGCAGCGTGAGGCTGGTTTTCTTGATCCTTGGTGGCCAACGGTTAAGTCACGATGTAGAAAGTATGAGTCGGCACGACAGCCAGTCAACAGACAAAAGTAAATTTGAAGGTAGACATTCCTGCCATATTTAAAAGTTTTAGGGCCTTGGAAGGGGTGGGAAGCTAGAGTAAGAATTGGGATAGCTTTTTTTTTTTTTTTTTTGAGGATTTGTGCATACGAGAGCTGGGGTGTAGGCCAGAGATGAAGGGGATGAGCGGATTGGGGACAGGCGAGGTCTGCTGCGCCCTGTGGGTAGCCCCCTGGCTGGGGTCCCTGGTCCAGGGATCTGGGATCCAACTGCTGCAGTGGCTGCTGATAACTTCATAGTGCTGAGACTAAACCCTTCACACCACCTGGGAAGCCTCAAGATTCTGGGTAATAGCCTTGTGAGATGTAAAAGGTGGGTCCAATAAAATACACGGTTTCTAGAAGGTCCATGGTAACCTGGTCTAGAACACCTGGCAGTCAGGACCATCTCGTGGTGGTGGAACACCTGTGCCCTGGGGTTTCCGGCGGCATCTGAGCACACTGGAGTGGAGACACTTAGCTGTGGTGATGAGCTGGCTGTGAGCGCTGCCTGTGGTAACCCAAGGCGGGCAACACCTTGACCCCGACCTGCTCTGCTTCCTGATGGAGAAGGTGGAAAAGGTCTTTGATTTTACCAGGCAGCTGGAGTCTGAATAAGCGGCAACAAGCACTTATTAACACACTTGTGTGAGTGCACTTGACCCAGAAGGCAAAAATAACGCTGTTTTAGGAAGCTGCCCACACAAGATACCCCGGGGAATAGGTGAGGGAAGGGAGCCTGTTATGGGGGAAGCAAACAAAAGAGCTGACAAAGGCATCCTGTGCTCGTGATTGAGAAGACAAAAAGTTCTTGAAGTTAGGAAACTATTGTTAATGGTTTTCATTTCAATGATGATCTCACAAAATTCCCTGTGGGGAAATATCCAGAAAAGCCTGGCCCCGCTCAGCGGGGTGGGGGTGGGAGCACATTACCTAGTGGTGTGTCAGTTTGCCCAGGTTGGTGCCAGTTTTGGGGCGTGGGCCCTGTGTATTGATTGGACGCTGCCCTTCACCGTCAGCTGCCCCGTCAGGCCGCAGACTCACCTGGTAAGGTGATTCTGAAGAGCCAGAAGTCCTTGATCAGCTCCGAGGAGGCGCAGAAGCAAGCCCTGTCCTCCCTGCCGCCTCCCTCACTCACCCCGGAGTCTGCAGCCTGTGCCCTGGGAAGGTGGCTCGAGGGCCACATGTTTGTGAAACTGCTGCCCAGAACCCAGGTCCCATCTCTGTCTCCTCAGGCCTCTCCCCTACTAGGCAGTTATGCTTCATGGACTGCCTGTGGCCGTGATTCTGGATCTTTACCCCAGACTGTTACATAGGACCAGACAATTTACATTTAAGAAATACAGGGAGCCACCCGCAGGGCGCAGACAGACAATTTACATCTAAGAAATACAGGGAGCAACCCGCAGGGCGCAGCAGACCTCTCCTGTCTCACCCGCTGCTCCCCTCAGCAGTGGATTTCAGTCAGCCTGCCTGTTCCCCGTTCTGTCTCTGCTGAATCCTCTCACCCCCCCCCCCACCATCTCTGGCCTGTCCCCCAGCTCTTGTATGCATAAATAAATCTTTTTAAAAAATTTGCATCTGAGAGACAAAACAAATGACATCCTGTTTACAAAATGTAAGGGGGCATAAAAGAAAATGAGGGAACCAAACACTTCAAGGCCAGCTTCTTTTCTGAACTCTGTTCTTATTCAAAAGATTCAGAGTCCCCATCACACATAGGCCAGGGGGAGGGAGACCAGCGGGGACCACCCACAACCCTGGCCAGGCCTGCCCCTGCCAGGGACCTCTGGTGCCGCCTCACCCATGTCTCTGAATGCAGGGAATGCAGGGAAATGGGCGCCGACCCACTGGGCTGGGCTGTACTGCACCTCCACTCTCACTTCCCCATCATTCCCAGCTTCCCCCAGCGCCACTCTGCAGGGCCCCCCTCCCTGGCCCCTCACCATCACTGTCTTGTGCTATGGGCATCTGCTGGGGGCCGACGCAGCCGTTGGGAACCGGCCTCCATCACCTCCGGGCGTAGCAGCAGAGGGTGGACACAGCCTGGCTGGCTGTCCGCCATTAGACTGGCAGGAAAAACAGTCTTACCCTGGACCTCCTGCAGGATGCGGCCTGCCTGTTTTGGGAGTAGCCGCCAAGGGCCGGGCATCAGAGCTGCAGGGTCCGGCCAACCCAGCCTGCCACGGCAAGGCTGAGGGCTGGGGTTTTCACCACACCTGCCTGCAGCTGCTTTCTCCCTGGGCGGGGCGTGGCCTACTGGGCATGAGCCCTGAGCTCCCCTGCTCCCGGATATCCAGCCCCACCCCCTCCCCATCCCTTGGGGTGGGAGCACTTCGAAGTCACCCCACTGAAGGAATCACAGCCCACTGCCCGCAACCCCACCCAGGCACTCATCTGAGACCACAACTGAGCTATCTGCACCTCGCCTGGGCCCCCACAGCATAGCCTCTTGCTCCCCTCACCTCACTGGTGGACCTGCCAGCCCCCTGTGGGCATTCCTCAGGGGTCACCAGCCTGGACCACGCCAGCCGGCGGGACCTGGCTTCTGGCCAGCCACTGAAGCACCCACCGCTAGCTGGTCTTACAGCTGCTTTCGCCAGGGCTGGGTGGGGAGGGAGGGAGTCGGGGGAGGGAAGAGCCAGGCTCCTGCCCAAGTTGCTGACCCCAATCCTGACATCTTCTCAGTGGTGCTGTGGGCCAGGGTGGGACAGTTTGGGTGGCTTCCGGTTTCTGTTGGGGGGGGGGAGCGGCCTGCTGGGAGGCGGGAAGAGACAGAGGAGGCACTGAGCTGTCGGCGGCCTCTCGTGAGTCTGGATCTGCTCCCTGGCCGTCAGCGGGGTGATCGTCAGCCTAGACAGCAAGAACTTGAGGGAGAGGTTGGGGGCACCAAATAAACACAAGGCCTTCTGCTGGCCCCTCTTAGCAGGGCATCTGAGGCCACGGGGGAACAGGAAACTCCCAGCGCTCTGAAGGCGGGGGCTGAGTCTTGGCCGCCTCTGGAGTGGTGCCTGGCACTTGGCGGAGGCTCCAGGCATGTTTGCTGACCAAAGTGAGTGGCCCTGGCAGCCTCACAGCACAGCTGGCTGGGTCTGCCCCTGGCACAGGTGGTAAAGAAGATGTCCACTTCCCAAGAGCTTTGGATGCTGGCCTGGCTCCCAAGTAGGGCGTGTCCCATGGAGGAACCGGGACCGCAGTGGCCTGGGAGAGCAGATGTCCCACTAGTGCCTCACCCAGAGGCTGAGCTTCAGGGCAGAGCCCTTCAGCCAACAGAGGCGGAGGTCAGGGCCTCAGGGGCCAGGCTGAGAGGAGGGGCTCAGGCCAGACAGATGCAAGTTTAAGGCCCAGCTCTTCCACTCGGACAAGTTCCTTAACCCATCCGTCCCCGTCCTGCCTTTCCGCATCTGTGAAGTGGGAGTGAAAACTGTGCCGATCCAACACACTTGTAAGGGTTTAGTGCAAGCAATCCTCTCACCCCCTGCACCTCTGGCCTACCTCCCAGCTGTGCAAAGCTTCATGACTTTAAAATGACCCATCAGGGCCTCCCTGGTGGCGCAAAGGGTTAAGACGCAACCTATGGCGCTAACTGCAGCCACTGCCGCACGAGTTCGATCCCCAGCCAGGGAGCTACCCGCAGGGCGCAGCAGACCTCTCCTGTCTCCCCGCTGCTCCCCTCAGCAGTGGATTTCAGTAGATTCATCTGTTCTGTTCCCCACTACCTCTGGTGAATCCTCTCACCTCCGCACCTCTGGCCTACACCCCAGTTCTTGTATTCATAAATAAATAAAATAAATTAAAAAAAAATGACCCATCAGAACAGACACAGGGAGTAAACCAGCACACGAGTCCCTAAGCAGGTGCCACGGCTCAGTGCTAGCGCCAACAGTACGTGCTGCGGGGAAGGCGGGGGCGGTGGGGGTTGCCGGGGAAATAAATCAGAGGGAGAAAGACAAATTCTGGATGGCGTCACGTGTGGGATAGAGGGTCAGTACCGACAGAGCTCGTAACAAACCCTAGAAATCTGGGTGTACAACTGAAGCCACGAGAGAGGGCGGAGGAGAGAGAAAAAAGTCGGAGGAGGAACCCGGACCGTGGCAGAGGGCGAAGGCACCTCGTGGTGGGTGTGATGTGTGACAATACCTGAAGGGGGAGATCTTTTACCTTGAACTCACGGACAATGTTGTAAACCAGTTACCGCAAGGAAAACAATAAAAGTTACATTTAAGAAATATTATATGCTGTTATCATCAATATTTCAGAAGGGCCCCGGGGGTGCAAATTAGGAGGTAGTTTACTCTCTGGGAATAGCAACACAAAGAACCTTCCAGGGTGGGTGAGGCGTGAGCCATGTGCTGAGAGTGTGTTCAGAGGCCAGGTCTGGGAGAACCAGGCTGTGACAGCATCGAGAATCCAGAGCATAAACAGACCCCATGCCTTGAAGAGAGACTGAGTGGGGCCACAGGACGCAGGAGTGGGGCATAGAACAGACTCCAGAACACAGGAGGCCATTCCGGAGCGCCTGTCCTGGACAAAGTGTCTTGGCGACCTTTAGGCCTGCCTGGGCCGCTGGCCGCCTGGCTGAATGGGGTGCCCCTGTGGCGCCCACTACTGGGAATTCTATCACAACACACCAGCCTGTGTGACAGGCGGCTGAGCAGGCACAAGTGAGTTTTTTAGCCAGCAGAGTAGAAGGCAGACCTTGGGGTGCAGAGTCCCTCTTAAGGTGCCACCCCCTTCGTGGGACATCTGGCCAGGAAATGGAAGGAAGAATCAAAGGTCAAGGCCGACTTCCCCTGAACAAATTTCATGTAACATGATACATGGGGTTCAGGATTTAAAAACGGAGAGTAAACACATCTCCCACATGAAATCAATGTTCCAGAGTCCATCTTGAATAACTAGGACAATAATAATAATAATTAGGACAAATCAAGTTTCTCCAAGAAGGGCCTCCCCGGTGGCGCAGCGGTTGAGCGCTGGGTTGCAAAGCTGCCCGCAGCCTCTGCAGCGCCGGTTCGATCCCCGGCTGCTCCCCGGCCATCGGAAGAGGGTCCCACATGGCACGCAGACCTCTCCTGCCGCCCGCTGCTCCCCTCAGCAGTGTACCTCGGTCCTTCTGCCTGTTCTGCTCCCCGCTCTGGCTCTGGTGAATTCTCTCACCCTCCCGCGCTTCTGACTGTACCCAGTGCCTGCATAATTAAATAAATGAATGGATAAATAAATAAATAAATCTTTAAAAAAAAAAAAAAAAAAAAAAAGTTTCTCCAAGAACAACCCAAACAATAGAAAAGATGGAGAGGGGGCCAGTGGGTGTGTTTTCAATCAAAAAGAGACAGTGGAAGTAGAAAACAAGGGTGGGGGCTGCAGCGGTTAGGATTCCTCCACTGCCCTCTTACCCAGAAAATTCTGGGCTCCCCGACCAAGTGTTTATCTGTCAGACGGGGCCTAGATTGCCTCTGCCCCCAGCAAGCATGAGAGCCTGAAGCTTTTAACTTTTATCTGTCTGGCCAAGTGCACACGGGAAGAGTCCAATAACAGCTGTTGAGTGAATGGATGACTGATGTAATAGCAAACATTTATTCTGTTCTCACTAAGCGCCTGGAGCTGGGTGCGCGCTCCACAAAGATATTCTTATTCAGTTCCTCTGAAAACAGTGTGGGGAAGCACTAGCCTCACAATGCAGATGAGAAACTGAGGCTCAGAGAGGAGCTGGTCACCTGCCTGCAGTCACACTACGGGAAGGACAGAGACTGGAAGGCTGCATTGGTGGAGGGGTGCGTAGGTGGGCAGAGGATCCTTAGAGAAGGGGACTCGTCCCAATGCTGCCGCTGGGACACAAGGCTTCTGAGTTTAATTCCCTTGCATCCAGGCCCCAGGGTTACTCCTGCATTGTTTTGTTTTGCAGCTGCCAAAGAGCGCTCAGAAGGAAAGGATGTCAGGTGAAATTTACAACTGCTGGGCCTCCCGGGTGGCGCAAGGGGTTAAGCACGGCACTGTGAAGCAATCTGCAGCCTCTGCAGCAGGAGTTCGATCCCCCGGCCGGCCAGGGAGCAACCCACATGGCGCAGCAGACATCTCCTGCCTTGCCCGCTGCTCCCCTCAGCAGTGGATTTCACTCAGTCTGCCTGTTCTGCTCCCCACTCTGCCTCTGGTGAATCCACTCACCCCCTGCACCTCTGGCCCACTTCCCAGCTCTTGTATGTGCAAATACATAAAATAAATCTTCAAAAAACCCCACAGCTTTATTGAGATATAATATACATCCCGTCCAATTTGCCCAGTTCCATGGCTTTAGTACAGTCACAGACATACAGTACAGTCATAGCCAATCTTAGTCCATTTTCCTCACAGCAGAGAGTACTCAGTGTCCGTCGCTAGCACCCCCCAGCCCCAAGCAACCACTGATCTACTTTGTCTCCACAGTTGGCCTGTTCTGCACATTTTATAGAGAAGGGCTCATGGGCTGTGAGGTCTTTCACGCCAGGCTCCCTTCATTTACCTGAGTGTTTTCAGAGCTCACCCTTCTCTTTTTATGCCTGTATAATAGTCCATCATGAGGCTACGCCACACTTTGTGCATCTCTGGGTTATTTCCACTTTTTGGCAGATGTGGACTGTGCTGCTGCAAACATTAGCATGTTTAGGTGTGAAGTCGCTGGGTCCTGTGATGACTGCAGGCCTCATATTTCGTGGGTCTGCTTAACTGCTTCATATTCCCGCCAGTGGTGTGTGAGGGTTCCCATTTGTTACAAGCCAGGGAGGGGGCACCCCAAACCTGCCTGCTCTAAGTAGGTCCTGCCATCTGCTGCATCAAGACAAAACATACTCTAGTGCATGAGACCTTCAATGGGAAGGACCTTAATACAGTTACTGCTCAACAAAGAGAAGACAAAGAACAGTTTCCAAATCAAGCACCCGAAGTTACCCGTCCCCTCGTGGGTACATGTCCAGCCAAACAGGGTTGGCCCAAAGCAGGGCCACTGAGGCCGAAAACCTGCCATCATCTAAGGTGCCTCCCCATGGGGACCCACAGGAAAGAGGCAGAAGGGGCCCCGCACGTCTGAGACAGGAGGAGAACATCAAAATCAAGATCAAGGCTGCCATTGTTAACCTCCCCTCGGGCCTCTCACCCACGTCTGTTTCAAGTGTCTCCTTCCATGTCCCCCAAGTCCCCGGCACAAGGCCAAGACCAAGAAGCCAGCACAATTTCTGCACATGTCCCTCTGCTCCATGGGCCCCCTCCAGGTCTCCTCTGGATCCCCAACCTGCCCCCTCCTTCCCCAGTCTCCTTCCTGGCTTCTCCTCCCTGCTCAGCGCCTCCCTTCCTTGAGGGGTCAGGGAACCTGGAACCTCCCCTTTCCCTGGGGAGCACCCTGTTACAATTTCACCTTGTCCTCACCAGCACTTGTTATCATGTCTTATTTATTTTAAGAGTTATTTATTTATTTTTAAAGATTTATGCATACAAGAGCTGGGGTGCAGACCATAGGTGTGGGGGGTGGTGAGAGGATTCACCAGAGACAGAGTGGGGGGCAGAACAGGCAGACCGATGAAATCCACTGCTGAGGGGAGCAGCGGGCGAGACAGGAGAGGTCTGCTGTGCGGTGTGGGTAGCTCCCTGGCCGGGGATCGAATTCATGCCACAGTGGCTGGAGACAGCGTCATAGTGCCCAGGGTCTTTTTACTGACTTTGATGGTGTCTCTGATGCATAAAAGCATTTTATTTTAATGAAGTACGATTGACCTTTTTTTCCCTTGTCGTGGGGGCTTTTGATGTCATATCTAAAAAAATCCTGCATAAGCCAAGGTCACGGCAACTCACCCCTAAGTTAACCTCCAGCATTTTCAGAGCAGCTTGACCCTCGCAGACCCCAGCCCATATTGCTGGCTGCATCTCTCCACAAAGCCCCCCTCATCCCAAACAGGCTGCTCACGCTGCAGCATTTCTGCCTCAAGGTTTCATGTGGGGTGGGCTGCAGTGAGCTGGATCCACACTAGGCTTGGGCCAGCGCAAAGGTTTGGGGTGCAGACTGGCAGGAGGGGAGAGTGGCCACTATGCCAGTCGGGCATGAGACCAAGCCTCTGAGACCAAGGCTGGGGGCTCAGGAAGCACCTGCCAGGGGGGCTCACAGCCCACCCACCTAGGCAGGGGCCTGGATCCTTCCAGGTGCATCTGGCTCTACTGCTGTCCACTGCCTGCCCCCCTCAGCCTTCCACTGCCAGCCTCTTAGAGCCGGCGACCTCCCCCAGCCTCAGCACTAGCCGGCCCCTTGGGGGACCCTGGCCCTCTGGACGCGCGCTCTGCCGCTCTGGCCGGGGGTGGCGCTGGCAGGACGGGGACAGGCCCGCGGGGAAGGGTAGCTCGGATCTTCCGGGGCCGCCGGCAGGCGCTCGCGGCCGCGCAGAGATGGGGGCGCGCGCAGGTGGGCCGGGCCGGGCCGGGCCGGGCCGGGCCGGGGCGCGCGGCGGGGGCGGGGCGGGGGCGGCGCGTGCAGGAATGCGGCCCCGCCCCGACTCCCGTTCCGACCCGGCGGCGCGGGCCGAGCTGCTGGCGAGAGTCATGGCCGCTTCGCGACAGCCCCAGGTCGGGGAGCTGCTGGCCGAGGCGCGCAGGGCCTTCCAGGAGGAGTTCGGGGCCGCGCCCGAGCTGGCCGTGTCGGCGCCGGGCCGCGTCAACCTCATCGGGGAGCACACGGACTACAACCAGGGCCTGGTGCTGCCCATGGTGAGGGGCCGGGCGGGGATCCCCGAAGCCTGGCCTGCAGCCGGGCCGGGCCGGGCCTCCGGGGCGCGGGAGGTGCGCGCCCAGCGGTTCCCCTCGCGGAGTTGCGGGACAGGCACGTGGCCACGGCCCGGGGCCGCCCGGGGAGGTCGTCCGGGAGGCTGTGCCGGCGCCTCTCGCTCGAGCCCGCCCTCCGGGGCTGCTGGTCCGCGCCTTCCTCCCGGGCCCCCTCAAAATGCGGGGGCGCTGTTGTTGCAGGCGAAGGGTGCGCTTGGGGCTCTGGCCTCAGCAGCCGGGGTGAACTAGCTCTGGCCTCCCGACGCGGGCCGGGCACTTTCCAGAGGAGGAAACTGAGGCCCAGAGAGGGCTCGTGAGCGGCCCAAGGTCACACAGCTGTTTCTTGGTGGGGCCAGGACCAGAGCCTGACCTCTCCCGGCCCCACTGAGCGGCTTGGCAAGGGACTGAGTACCCTGCAGCAGAGGCCACCCCAAAGTAGAAAGATTCTTTTGTGAGCGCCTCTGATCCCCATTTCCTGTTGAGCTATGGGGGCAGGGGGCCCTTGTCCTCACAGCTGGGGGCCTTTGCTCCGGGCACAGTCCACATCTGCATTGCTAAAGGGGCCGGGGCCCCAGTCCCTACGGCCAGCTCAGCACCTAGACACTCCCATTCCAAGTGGGGCCTCAAGGTCACTGCCCTCCCTCGGAACCTGGGTGGGTATCTGTACCCCTTGCCTTTCCTGCCAGGCGCTGGAGCTCGTGACGGTGCTGGTGGGCAGCCCCCGGACAGACGGGCTTGTCTCCCTCCTCACCACCTCTGAGGATGCTGACGAGCCCCGGCGGCTGCAGTTTCCACTGCCCACAGCCCAGCGGTCCCTGGAGCCCGGGACGCCCCGCTGGGCCAACTATGTCAAGGGCGTGATTCAGCACTACCCAGGTATGGGCCCAGGTCAGGGTCACGTGCACACTCGTGCCAGAAACACCATCTCTCGGACACACGCTCCTCAGCTCATTGAATCCACTGTGGGCTAGACTGGTAAGGCTGAGCACCCCCTCTGTACAGAAGAGGAAACTGAGGCCCAAGGGAGGGTCCAGAACTTGTTCATGACATGATGGAAGGGGCCAGGATTCCAACCCCAGCTGGTTGACCTTCAGAACCCTAAATCAGAAGTAGGAGGACTATGCCAGGAACCTCAGGGGGGGAGGGGGGAGGGCCGTGGGCCCCTTGGCTTAGCAGGTTGGTAACCTCTGGCAGTTGAGGCGTATTGTCTGGTAGCAGCCACCTCCCTCACACCAGAACCTGCTCTTCCGCGCCCACCTCACGACGGCCCATCTCACCATCACCCCACTTTCCCTGCAGCCGCCCCCCTCCCCGGCTTCAGTGCAGTGATGGTGAGCTCAGTGCCGCTGGGGGGCGGGCTGTCCAGCTCGGCATCCCTGGAAGTGGCCACGTACACCTTCCTGCAGCAGCTCTGCCCAGGTATCACCTAACCCTGGGCTAACCCGCCCGCCCCGAGGTCTCCTGTGTTCAGAGCTTCTTCCCCTCTGTGGCTTTGGGAGGGAGGAGAGAATCTCCCTTGAGCGTCTGGGAGCTACCCCCTCCCCTGAGGCCCCCTCCTAGGCCCCCCCCTCACCTCACTCTGCTGTAGATTCTGGGCCGCTAGCCGCCCGGGCCCAGGTGTGTCAGCGGGCCGAGCACAGCTTCGCAGGCGTGCCCTGTGGCATCATGGACCAGCTCATCGCACTGCTGGGGCAGAAGGGCCACGCGCTGCTCATTGACTGCAGGTCAGGGCTCCCCTTGTACCCCTCTACCGCAGAACCAGGAGCTCCTGGGTAGAGCCTGCCCGCTGCCCAGTGCGCCAAGCAGACACTTGGCCTTGTCGCCCACCCCCCCCCACTCCAACTGCATCCCAGGTCTCTGGAGACAAACCTGGTGCCGCTGTCGGACCCCCGGCTGGCCGTGCTCATCACCAACTCCAACGTCCGCCACTCGCTGGGCTCCAGCGAGTACCCGGCGCGGCGGCGCCAGTGTGAGGAGGTGGCCCGCGCGCTGGGCAAGGAGAGCCTCCGGGAGGTGCAGCTGGAGGAACTCGAAGGTGAGCGCTAGGGGTGTGCCGTGTCCTGGAGGCGCTGGACACCGTCTTTGACCCTGTCGTGCACCCCTCATCTCGGGGATTTGCCGTGCTCTGCCTACTCCCCCAAACTCTGCAGGCCTCGGGCTCCAACCTTATTGGGGCTGCTTGAAATCCCAATATTGTTCTTTTTATATGAGAACTAAGTTTTCGTGCTGGAAAATGTAGCAGCGCGCAAAGGAGAAAATAATCAGCTCTCAGGCCTCCGCTCAGAGCTGCAAATGCTGCAGCCGCCGTTAGCATTTGGACACATTTCCTTGCAGTGTTTTTCCATGCTTCTTTTTTCAAAGTTGAGCACATGCAGTCTCGCCCCCCGCCTTTGTACTGGCTCACGCCCCAGACCTGTTCCTGTGCCCGAAAGGCCTGTGAGCCACTCGGCTTTTTTAAGAGCCTGGTACTGCTCACAGGTGTGCTGGAGTTGACTTAACCCTTTTCCGGTAGGTTCACAGAAGGTTCTGGTGCACGTTTTTTGCTTTTTGTTTTTGTTTTTTAGATTTATGTTATTTATTTATGCATACAAGAGTTGGGGTGTAGGCCAGAGGTGTCGGGGGTAAGAGGTTCACCAGAGACAGAGTGGGGAACAGAACAGGCGGGTTGACTGAAAGACACTGCTGAGGGGAGCAGCGGGGAGACAGAAGAGGCCTTCTGCGCCATGTGGGTAGCTCCCTGGCCAGGGATCGAACTCACACTGTATTCGCTGCCAGTAGCTTCACAGTGCTGACACTTAACCCCCTGTGCCGCCAGGGAGGCCCCTGATGCACGTTTTCATACAGAAGTCTGCTCTCTGCATGCTTTTTTGGTTAGGATAAGCCCTTAAGAGTAGGATTACAGTGTCAAGAGATACCTGTGTTTTCAGGGTTCCTGATGTGGGTGGCCAGGAAGGCGTGTTGAACAGTTAGAAGGTCACATAAATGTTAACTCACTGTATTCGCTTCCAATGTCGCGGAGGGTGGAGGTGCTGAGACCTGAACGCGGGCCTCAGTCCCGTGAGCCCATACACTTCACCCCCAGACCTTGCTGCTGGCCTTGGGGTCAGGCCCTCCCTGGCGGTGCAGAGGTGTCCATCTCAGACTCACTGGTCAGCCCCAAGGGACTGTCTTGTCCTCCTTGGTGAACGTTCACAGGCAGAGCCGTGCAGGTGACCTTGGCTCACGTTTTCGCGCTTGAATGCTTCAGCCGTCCCTCCTCGCTCAGCCTGTGTGCGCCCCTCCTGGGGGCGGGGGTGGGGGGTCGCCCTCTGCCTTCTCCACAGTCTGCCCCAACATCCCCCACTCACCCTCTTACACTTTCCTTCTTCCGGCCCCGGCCTGGCTCCTCCCCTTCCGATGCCTCCATTTTCCCCACCATGGATCCTCCCTGCCTGGACCATCTGGGGCGCACGTGCGTCTCATCTCCACTCATCTCCTAACCCGAACCTGCCTGCCCCCTCACATGCCTCCACCTTCAGCTCCCCGGGGCTCCCCACTCCACGCTTGACCTTGACCCCAGCCTTCTTGTCCTGGCCCCCTGTGGGAGCCAGAAGCCTCCTCCACGGCCCTGCTGCCCTGCCCAAGCCTGCCCAGGCTCTGTCCTCTGCCCACAGCCCCCACAGCCCACGGAGGGCTCAGGGCCCAGCTCGGAGTTCACAGCGCCTTGCTCGCCCGGCTGCAGTCCCCACTTCCTCCTGGGTTTCTGGATCCTTCACTGACCCACAACGGAACTCATCATCCTTCCTCTACAGGCCTCTCCTGACTTCCCCTGGCCTCTCCCTCCCTCCCCTTTGTCACTCTTGTTTGAAACTTCAGTCACTGCTGAGTCCTCACTGTCCCCCCTCGAGGCTACCCTCCCTTGTCTCTGACCTCTGTCCCCTCCTTCTTTCCTCTCCCCCTTGGCCCCCGGTCGGCCTCTGACTGCTTCAGAGCTGCCTGCTGGGCCTCCGGGCCTGCCCCTCCCAGCTGGGGCCCCGTCTGAGGCAGCCTCTTCTGTCTGCGGCGCTGTCCCTCCCTGCCCCAGAAGCGCTCTGGCACCTGGAATTGGGTGGCAAAGTCCCCGGGTGTCAGGGCTGCCGGTACACACAGCTGAGCCAGGGGCGGCTGGCGGGGTCCCTGGGGTGCCTGGGCCCTGCCTCCTGAGCTTTGCTGGGCCTTCCCTGCCCAGCAGGGCGCCCTAGGCTCCCAGGCGCCATTGTGGCTCCAGCGCATCCTGTTGCACCAGCAGGGCATCTCCCCCGCGCTAGGGCATCTCCCCCACGCTGCCGAGGCCTGTGTCCTACCTTGGGGCCTGGGGGCTAAACTGCTGCGTTGCACACCCGTTGGGAGTCTACTGTGTTCACTCACTCTGTCCCCACCGAACCCCAACAAGGCAGGCTCCGCTTTCCAGCTGGTGAGGAAGGGAGGGCCGGGAGCCCTGTCCAGCGCTCCCTGGGCTCTGCCCACTGCCTCGTCAGAACCTGGTCCCCGGCCCGGCTCAGCCCTGCCCCCCACCCGGCCTTCCACCCCCGGCTGCCTCCCCAGAGCCCTGGAGCCGTCGGGTGGCGGCAGCAGGGCTGACCCCGTTCCCTCCCCAGCTGGCAGAGAGCTGGTGAGCAAGGAGGGCTTCCGGCGGGCGCGGCACGTCGTGGGGGAGATCCGGCGCACGGCCCAGGCTGCGGCCGCCCTCGGCCGCGGGGACTACAGAGCCTTCGGCCGCCTCATGGTGGAAAGCCACCACTCGCTCAGGTGAGGCCCCTGGGGTGCCCGCCCCCCCCCACCCGGGCACAGGCTGCCCGCAGGCGGTGGGTCTCAGCCCCTCTCCTGTTGACGCCCCGCAGGGACGACTACGAGGTGAGCTGCCCGGAGCTGGACCAGCTGGTGGAGGCCGCGCTCTCCGCACCCGGGGTGTACGGCAGCCGCATGACGGGCGGGGGCTTTGGGGGCTGCACGGTGACGCTGCTGGAAGCCTCTGCCGCCCCCCGAGCCATGCAGCACATACAGGTGGGCGGGAGCCGGGGGCCGGGGGCCAGGGAGGAGAAAGGGGTTCCCGGGGTTTGGCCACCCTCCCACCCTCCCCACCTCTCCCACAGGACCGCTACGGTGGCACCGCCACCTTCTACCTCTCCCAGGCGGCCGACGGTGCCAAGGTGCTGAGCTTCTGAGGCGCCCGGGGGGGCCCTGGGCAGGCAGGTCTCGAAGCCCCGCCTCGCCCGGTGCCCGTGCTCTGCTTCTGGGTCTCAATAAACATGTGCCTCCGACCACCGTGCCCGCCTGCCTCGAGGTGGGTGCGCTTGCGCCTCAGAGGAGGGGGTGTCCGAACCGCTCCCCTGCTCCGCGCCGGCACCTCTCCGGCCCCGCAGACGGGAGAGGGTGAAGCCCAGCGGTAGCAAAATCTTTTATTAAGTGCAGAACAAAGTTGGGTCTTAGCCATGCTGGTCCCAGCTCTTTGGTTACCGATGGGCTCTGGGCTGGGGTGGGGCTGGGGGGCAGCCAGAAGGGCCTTCCGGGACCTGCTGTGGTCAGAGGCACCGGCCCTGGGATCGGCCCGCCCTGGGCTGGGGCACCCGGGGTCCGAGAATGGAGAGGCTGAAGCAGCGCCAGGGAGGGGAGGCGAGTGGGGCTCGGATTCCAGGGCGCCATAGGGTGGGGGAAGGGGCTCAGGTCTGGAAGAACTGTTGGTCCATCTGGGTGCTGAGGGTGCCACTGGTGGTCAGCGTCCGGCTCACAAACTCCTGGGTCACATGCCGGGTGAGGGAACCCCCCGCTTCCAGGCGCTGGGAACCCCGGGTCAGCCCATCTGCCAGGGAAGAGACATCGGAGGATGCTGCTTGGGCCCCTGTTAGTCCTCCGCGCCCCCGAGGAGAGCCAGGAGCCCCACCGGGCGACTCACCCAGGAGGAAGGGCTCGGTGGTGCTGGTGTGGGTGGTGGTAACGCTGCTGTACTCGCCGGGCAGTGAGTACTGGAAGAGCCCGCAGTGGCTGCCCAGCTGTGGGAAGTGGCCTGGGATGGCCAGATGGGCCAGTCAGGAGGGGGGCCACCGAGGGCGTGGCCAGAGGGCCGGGGAGAAGAGGGTGAGGCTTCCTACCTCCGTCCTGGGACTCGATGGTGATGATGCCCTCACGCTCCGGCCCATAGCCGTTGGTGGTCTTGGCCTGCACCTTGAACTTGTAGGGCACGTTCTCCTGGAGGCCCGGCACTGTCAGGCGGCTCTCGGGGCTGTCGCCCTCCACCATGAACGTGGTGGCTGGCTCTGGGCAGGGAAGAAGCCCTTAGCCTCTGTGGCTCTCTCGCCACCCTCCCCTGGGCTCCCCTGACCCTGGGGTGGCCAGCACCTGCTCCTTGGGCCCGCTCGCAGGTCACCAGGTAGCCGAGGATGTCCCCATCGGGCCTGCGCGGCCGCTCCCAGCTGATCTGCAGCGAGTCTGGGCTCAGGGCGGTGAACACCAGTGGGCCCGGGGCACTGGGGGTGCTCAGGGTGAAGGCGGAGCCTGGGTGCAGCCGGGGAAGAGGGTCAGTGGGGGTGGGGGTGGGCACGATGCAGGCAGCCCCCCTCGGGGGGTGGCGCAACTCACCGGGCAGGGGGCAGAGCGGGCTCTGCGGGTGCACCTGCGACTCGATGGTGATGACGCCCTCACGCTCCGGGCCCCAGCCGTCCTGGCTCTGCGCCCGCACGTGGAACACATACGAGTGGTTGGGCAGAAGGTCTTCCACCACCACTGAGGTCTGGCTGGGGTTGGGGATGTCCAGTCGATACACCTCTCCTGTGGTGGGGGGTGGGGCAGATCATGGAGCAGCTTTATTCCGCCCCCTGGCCTGGTGCTGCCCCCTTCCCGAAGGTTCCCCCCAGACCTGGTCATCCCCTACCCAGGATTAGCTGTAGCTTGGCTATAGGTGGGATCAGCCTAGTAGGGCATGGTTGGCTGTTCAGGTTGTGCACTGTACGCAGATGCACAATCCTGGAGCCCCTCTATGTCCTCATGGACCTAGGTCCTGGGACCCTGCCGTGTGTGTGCCAGAGAAGTGCCACGTCCCAGTTCCCACAGAGGCAGCTCATAGGCCAGCAGAGGCCTTGTTAGGCAAAGCCTCAGAAGAGGGGGGCAGTGAAGAGCAGTGGGGAGCATTCACATTCAGGGGGTCTGGGTGGATTCCTGACAGAGCCGGGTGCCCCGGGTGTCCATGGTGGCGGTGGGGTAGGCCCCGCGAGACCCCTCCTCCCAGCCTGCCGCAGCCGCCCCTCACCGCCATTCAGCAGCTGGTATTCCACGCTGTAGCCCTGCAGCCCCCGGTCACACTGCGGCTCCTGCCAGCTCACTTTCAGAGACGTGGGTCCCAGGGCTGAGAACACCAGGCGGCTGGGTGTGACACCTGCAGCCGAGCGCGAGCCTGGAGATAGAGGCCACAGTTAGCCGGGGTTGGGGCCCCTGGACCTCCGGCTGTCCAGTCTCTCCGGGAGCAGCTCCCTCTGCAAACGCCCTCTCCAGGCTGCCCAGCTCCTCCCGTACGTCCTCCGAGTGGGGGTGAGCACGAGCATCATGAGCTGGCCAGTGCCCGGCCCGCCTCCCTCCACCTGCCTGGCCCCTCCGGCCCCGGCCCCAGCCCCCACTGCTGGCGGGGCAGAGGCTGCGTCAGGCATCAGCGCGGATGCGGATGCGGATGTGGATGGAAGGGAGCGTAAGGGGGCGGCGTGGGCAGCGGCGGTGGCAGTGTGGATGGATGGCAGATGGAGCAGGACAGCTGTGGAGACAGGCTGGCCACCCTAATACTACCTGGGCCCCAAGAGGGCGCTGCTGGCTGCCCAGCCAGGATTATAGAGTCTTGTGAGTCTCTGGCGGTGGGGAACCCCTTCATCTGAGCCAGACTCTGGGACCCCAGGGCCCAGGACAGCGGAAGCCTGCTCCTCCCGTCTTCCCAGATGGGAGGGAGGCCTAGGGCGGGACAAAACGACAGTGAGGGGGAGGGTGTGCGCAGAGGATGGCGGTGGGAGGACCAGCGAGCATCCTGGAGCTGGAAGAGAGGGTTAGCGAGGAGCGCGGCACTCACTGTGCAGGCTGCGGGAGCCGAGGGTGCCGCAGTCCCGGGGCAGCGTGGATGAGCACTCCGTGCGGGTGAGGGAGTTGTAGTCCCGGGTGAGGGTGGAGGACGTGCTCAGCATGCGGTGCGGCAGGCGCGGGCTCAGGTGGGTGCCGTAGGCAGCGTTGGCTATGGTCATCCTTTGCAGGGAGTTGGCGCTGCCTGGGTAGGCAAAGTCCATCCGCCCGTTCAGCAGGTGCTCTGGGGGAGGACAGCAGGGTCAGCCTGGGCAGGCCTGCAGCCCGTGAGGCAGGAACTCCCGGGGTTACCCATCCTCTGTGGGACCTCGGCTAGGTACAGCCGGCCTCCCCGGGCCAACCAAGGCCAGAAGCCCAGCGTCCCTGAGTCCACGGGGCCTCGCCGGCTTGTGCAGCCCATGTCCTCCAGGCAGGACAGCACTATGCGTGGTCTGAGCACCCCAGGCCCCCCATGGAGACACACTGCCCCTGCAGCCAGCCCCGCCCTGGGGGCACCCCCAATGCCCACGTGTCCCCTGAGGCCGCTGAGGGATCTCCTTGGTCCCAGGGCCTGCCTCCCTGGCCGTAACTCGTCCAGAACTGCGCTGGGCCAGAAGCATCGCAACTGGGGGGCCAGGCTTGCTCGCCCGAGCGCCCGAACGCCTGCGGGGCCCCTGGGCAGCGGCGGGCTCAGGCTGGGTGGGCGCGGGGCCGGGCGCTCGGGGCAGGACCCGTCACCTCCGGAGGGCCCGGGCGCTGCGCCGCGGCTGCTGCCGTCCCAGCCCACGGGCCCTGCGCCGGGGTGGGCGCCGAGGTCCGGGGAGCCGCGGGACGGCTCGGCGGCGGCGTCGGAGGAGCGCCCGCTGCTGACCGACAGGCGCGGGATGAGCTCCGGGGGCAGCCGCCACGTGACGCGCCGCTGGTCCGGCTCCGCGCCCAGCCGGGGCTCCGACGTCCAGCCGCCGCCTTGGGAACAACGAAGGGCCGCGTTGGCACCGCCGGGGGCGCGGGCGGCGGCTCGGAGGAGGGGATCCAGGTTGGGGTGTCGGCGGGGATGAGCTGCAGGCGTGGGGAGCCCGGCGGCCGAAGACTCGCCCTCGTGGGGAAGGGCGGGGGACCAGCCCAGAGATGGGGAGCCCTGGTCTCCTGACTTGACTGCACTGAACCTCACTTTCCCGTCCGCGAGTCTCCCCTGCTGTCCACTCGCTCGGGCAGGTTCCGAAGCCCAAGCCGCCGCTGGGCCGGGCCCTTCCATTCCCACTGCTTGTGCCTCAGGCCCTCCCGAGCCCTCGGGGTGGGGCCCCTGAGCCTCCGGGCAGGCGCGTGTTCCCTCCGGCACTCCGCTCCCGGCGCCTCATTTTAAAGAGCAGAAATGACGCAGGGTGAGGGGTGCCTCGGAATGCCCACGCGGGGCCAGAGCTAAGACAGTCCCAGCGGGGGTCTCCGAGCCACACTGGGCAGGCAGCCAAGGAGGGGACAGCCTGTCACCCCCGCCCAGTGGCTGTTCTGGGGCTCCTGGGCCTGCCCCTCCTCCTGGCCCCGGCCCTGACTCCCTGGCACGGCCGGGGGACCCTTGAGTCGCGAGGCCGTTTCCAAGGCCCCGCGCCCGAGGCTGCGCACACCTGCCCGTCTGCGCGCGCCGCCCGTGACCGCGAGCCCGCCCCCCTGTCCCGGCGCGGGGCGGTCTCTCGCCCCACCGCGGGCTCCGCGGCCCCTGCTCTGGTGCCGGGAAGGGAACTTCAGCCTTGACTTCCCTGCCCAGGGGTCACCGGCCCCTTTGCTCCCTGGACACCAGCGACAGTCCCCCCGCTGACCAGGCCCCCAAATTCCTCTCGTGGACCCCGTGGCTCACCCGTGTCGTCGGAGACGCTGGGCCTCTGGCTGCCGGTCGGGGAGCGCAGGACGTCGTCGCTGTACATGAGGAAGCTGTCGTAGTCCTCCCCGCCCTGCGCGTCCACGATGGGGATGTCCGGGATGATGGGGACTGCGGGGCGGGGAGGGGGGCGGTGAGCCGGGGCCCCAGCCTTGGCCGCCGGTCCCCCGGTGCCTCCCCGCCCGCCACTCACTGGACATGGGCCGCTTGGGCTGGGTGGCCAGGTTGATGATGGCCTCGCGCTCGGGCCCCCAGCCCGCCCCGTTGCGGGCCTTCACGGTGTAGCGGTACGGCTGGGACTCGCGCAGGTTCTCGATGAGCAGCGTCCGCTTCTTGGGGCTGTCCACCAGCACCTTCTTCATGGGCCCGATGGGGCCTGGCGGGGGGAGCGCGTCACGGGGCCGCCCAGGCTCCAGCCTGGTGCCAGCTCGTCTGGGAGGTGGCAGGACCCCTCCTCCCCCAACAGCCCCTGAACTGCGCCCCGGGGGCTTGGGAACAGGCAGGGAGCGAGGAGCTGGTGAACTCGGCATGTGCCGAGCCTAGAATTGGGGTGACTGGCTTAGAGAGGTGGCACTGGTTCGCCAAGGGGTTCGTGGGGTTCTGGCTGGTGGCAGGGCCAGTGGAGACTACACTGGCCACCGTCACCTCCGCCCATGGGCGACGGGTCCTACGCCCCAGGTGCCCCCGCGGGAGGCCTCCCACTGCGGCGGTGCGGGCACGCTCCCGGCCCAGCGCCGAACCCCAGACGCTCGGTGGAGGAGGCGCAGGGCCAGCCATGGCCCTCAGGTCCCTTGGGCGAGGGTGGGAGGAGTGGGCCCAGGGGGCTGCTCTACAGGACGGGCTGGGGCTTGTGGGAGCCGAGATGTGGGGTGCCTTGGGGGCCACGTAGGGGAAGAAGGCTGACAGGGCACGCGAGAGGGAGGCTGAGCCGAGGTCCTCTGCCCACGCCTGGATGCACAGGCGGCCCTGGGAGAAAGGACAACCCCTCTGGTCCGAGTGAGTGAGGGCTCTACAAGAGGGGAGCCGGCTGGCCCCACTTGGACACTTTGGGGAAGCTAGAGAAGGAACAGAATGGAGGCAGAAAATACCCCAGTTTCCAAAGGGGATTCTGGGAGATGACACCTGAGAAGTTTGATGTCAAGCTTGTGCTCCAGAAGCTTCGTGGGCGGAGGCCACCTGCCTGGGGTGGGGTGGGAGGGCTCTAGCTGCCCAGGTGGCGCTTGTTGCCTCCCCCCCATCTGTTGGCCAGGGGGAAGAGGGAGGGGGGCCGAGCACCCACGCAGACATCCTGGGACCAGGAGGGCTGCCCGGAACACTCCAGGCCTTTGGGGAGTCTCAGCAACCTCAGGCCACAGGCTGACACCATCAGGGGTTGAGGACAGAGGCCCCCCAGGACAGAGGCCCGTGGGTTGACCAGCCGTGAGCCCAGACAGGCTGAGGAGGCGGTGCACCCCGAGGCGGCAGAGCTTGTCTGCCAGGAGCCTGCACCCAGCACGCTGTGCTGCCCTCTGCCCCACTGGGCCCCCAGAGTGCTGAGCCTGACCCACGTTAGGGTGCACAGGTCATATGGGGGCGCTGAACTGCCCATTACTAGGACAGACCAAGCAGCCGTGAGGGTGTGGGGCCAGGGCACTGCCCACGTCTAGGCCCAGCCCCGCCATCCCGTGAGCTGCTCACCCTCGCTTCAGAAGGCGTCCGCCCGGCCCCAACCACAAACTTAGTGCTGCCTGGGCCCCCGGGGCGACCCGACTCCCCTCCACCCCCCGGGGGATGGAGGGTCCAGGGCCTTACGGTTGTCCTCGTTGACCAGGCCGTAGCAGACCTCGTAGGCTGTGATCTCGCCGTTGGTCTCGGCCGGCTCAGCCCAGCTCAGCTGGGTCACCGTGGAGGAGACCACGTTGAAGGCCAGTCGCCCCGGCTCGCTGGGCACTGGGGGTGGGGGAAGAGAGCTGTCAGTGGCAGAGGGACGGCTGGGTCCTGGGAGGCAGGAGGGCAGGGCCAGGCATGCTGGCATCAGGGCAGCCGGGGGACAGACAGATGGACGGATCCGGCGAGCCTCACCTTCCTGGTGGGTGCGGCAGGACACCAGGGAGCTGTAGGGGCCCTCGCCCTGCTCCCCGTAGGCGCACACCTTCATCTCGTAGTCACAGTACGGGTACAGGTTGGTGAGCTCCACAGAGGGCACCTTGCTGTCCAGCAGGTGGGCTTCGGACTCAGAGTCGCCCTGGATCCAGTACTTCACCTGCTCCCGGGGGGACAGTTAGTGGGGCTCGGCCGGGGCAGTGCTGCTCGTCCCTCCACTCACCGCCCCCCTTTGTGCGGGTGGGACAAGGAGGGGCCGAGTGGCCGGGTTCACGCAGCAGCGCTGGGGCAGAGCACGGGTGTCCGGGGGAGGCACGTGCCAGGAAAGGGACTGCCCCTTTCCCTGGGCACAGACGGGATTTTCCCCTGTCCCCTCCCTCAGGGACCCTCTGGCCTGCAGCATCCCACCCCCCAGGGGGTGCCGACCTCCCCATCCACCTCCCCCACGCCCCATCGTACCCTGTACCCTCTGGGCTTGCCAGGAGGGGGGAGCCAGTTGAAGTGGATCTTCCGGGACCCAGCGGCCTTGGCATTGGGGTTCTGTGGGGTGCCCAGTTCACAGTGGGGGGGTGCGGATGATAACAGTGTCTGATTCATAATCTCATCAAGTTCATCTATAGTGGTCAAGTCAGAGGGCAGCCAGCTCAGACACCCCCTCTTTGAGGGAGGCAGGAACCCACTCTCACCACCTCGGGGCTCCACAGACCCAGTTAAACCCCCAAGGCTCTTTCCCCACAGTTCTCAAGGAAGAGCTCCTGCCCACCACAGGGGGCTGGTGCCCCACTGGTGCCTCAGAGGGCATCCTGCCAAGTGTGGTAGAGCGCCCAGGGGTGTCTCTGGAGGAACGAGGATGGCATTTGTCAGCCCCACTGTCTCCATTGTCAGTCAAGGGAATGTTCCATATGAGAACATTTGCTCCTTCTCATCCACACACCCCACTGTCACCCCCACACCGAGAATCCTCCCATCTCCCACCTTCCCAGCAAACCATGGGCTAGAGGCCACCACACTGGGGGTGAGGACTGACAGCACAGAGCTGACTGTGTCCCCGCTTCCAGGGAGGCCTGCGGATTAGTAAAAACTAGGTCAAAGCGTGAAGACCTAACTTGGGTGGGATTCCCAGCGCCACCGGCTGCCACAGCATGACCCCAGCCTCTCGGGCAGGGAGCAGAGTTGCCAGATGAAATGTAGGACACTTAGTTAAACCAGAATCTCAAACAACACATGCTTTTTAAGGTCAGTATATCCCAGCATTGCCTGGGACAGACTCACAATACGAGCGTGTCTGCTGTTTCTCTGAAGTTCAGGTGACCTGCGTGTTCTGCATTTGCACTTGCTGAGGCTGGAAACCTCCGTTCAGAGCCCCCCCCCCAAGCCCTTCCTCCACACCCACTTGAGCTGACCCCAGGCTGTGCCCACCTCGGTCCCCAATGATGATGGTGGCTGAGTGGAGCTGACCCAGGCGGGCCCCAAACTTGGGGTTGAAGAGATGGACATAGAAGCGGCGGGTCTGGCGGCCCTGCAGGAGGGAGTCCATCTCCTGCTTTTCCAGGAGCTTCACCTGCAGCTCCTTCCAGGTCTCACCAGGTTGGAACACCAGGTCACCCTCCACGGGCACATAGTCCTGGGGGGTGGGGGGGCAGTGTCAGGGTCAGACAAGCCGGAGAGGTCATGGCCACATGCTCGGCCCCCACCTCACACGTGCTGCAGGGACCATCCTGCACAGGCCGGCCCACGCGTCAACAGACTGCACTTATACAGCACCCCTGGGTGCCAAGCACGGAGCTCCTCACAATCACACACTAGCTCGTTCACCCCTCACAGCAGGGCTAGCGGGTAAGAGGCAGCGCTATTGTCCTCGTTTTACAGATGAGGCACACAGAGGTGAAGAGACACGCCAAGGTCACACGGGTCTGGGGCTGGCACTGGGATTTGAGCGGGAGGGCCCCATGCAGGTGAAGACCCAACCTGGGGGAGCTGGGTTTTCATGACACTTAAGTCTGGCATCCCTCCAGGCCCTGCCTCCAAGGTGGGGCGCTCCCATCAGCTCTGGCTCTCTTCTTTCAATGCCCAGAGTATCCTGAGCACCCCAGGATGAGTGTGTACCTGTGTGGCGTTTGTACACCCCAGCGGGGTTGGGGTCATCAGCGGCAGGGGAGCAGCCTCTCACGCATGGCCACTAGGTGGCGCCTCAAGCCACCATTTCAGTTCCATGCACGCCCCTCGGGCAAGCTCAAGGGTGAAAGCAGACTCCTCTGCCACTGACCTGGGCGCATCTGACCTGGGCACACCCGACCTGGGCACACCTCAAAGCTGTCAGAGTGACCAAAGACAAAGCTTGGGGGTTGTTCTATATTAAAGGAGAATAAAGACACAGAACTGCAAAATGCAAAGCCAGATCCTTGACTGGTTACTAGACGAGGGAAAGCCGGGGGAAATCTGAGCATGGACCAAAGATTGGTGTGGTCCACCGGGCTGGACAATGCTGTGACCTGTTCTCAGCAGGTGCTGCAGAAGTGTGTTGGGGCTACATGTCTACAGCTTTGAGGAGTATTTCAGCAACCGAAACTAAGCACAGGGGCCTCCCTGGTGGCACAAGGGGTTAAGTTGCAACTTATAAGCTATCTGCAGCCACTGCAGCACGAGTTCGATCTCCGGCCAGGGAGCTGACTCACATGGCACAGCAGACCTCTCCTGGCTTGCCCGCTGCAACCCTCAGCAGTGTATTAGTCAATCTGCCTGTTCTGTTCCCCACTCTGTCTCTGGTGAATCCTCTCACCCCCTGCACTTCTGGCCTGCACCCCAGTTCTCGTAAGATTTTAATCTCAAAAAACAAAAAACAAAAAAAAAAAAAACCTAAGCACAATTCTCCCTTTCTCTAGCAAGAGACGTGTCTGAAGAAAATAAAAATGAAAAAACTTTAAAAATTTTTAAAAAAATGAAAAACAGCCAAGAGATCTGGAGACCTAGCTGTATGTCTGTGTACGCAGCTACATGCCTATCCACCTAGATCTGCATGGAAAGTCCTAGATCTATATGGAAAGAGAGAAAGCAAGTACTAACAGTGGAGAGTCCATGCAAAGACGAGTAATTATTCTCCTGTTTTTCTGTAGGCTTGGCATTTTCCAAAATGAAAAGTTGGGAAATGATAAAATCGTCTCTGAAAATTATGTAGAGCCAAAGTCCCTTTATGAAAGCATACCCCGACGGCCAGACTCTCTCGTATAATACGCACATTCCAGGCAATCTCTGGACATACTGACTCCTTGGAATTCCGGTGGGAGGCCCTGGAGCAGGAAGGGGACTGTTCCTTCCAGTAAAGAGAAGTAGGGAAGGGTAGGGCGGGGTGGGCCGAGGCAGCCTCTGAGCACCGCTCCCCTGCGTCTGCCTGATGGGCCTGATGGTGCAGGGACACTAGACTTGGTTACTTTTGGGGAGAATTTTTTTTTTTTTTCCTAGAGGCATGTCCATGCACTGGGTACAGTCAGAAGCGTAGGAGGGTGAGAGAATTCACTACACTGCTGATCTGCGCGCCATGTGGGACCCTCCTCCGGTGGCCGGGGAGCAGCCGGGATCGACCGGCTGCAGAGGCTGCAGGCAGCTGCGCTCAACCGCTGCGCCACCGGGAGGCCCTTTTGGGGAGAATTTTTGATATGGATAGTTGCCGTTTTTAAAAGTTGGTAGTGAAGTCGGACAACAAACTCACCTGTAAGCCAAACTGCACGTCCGCCGCCAGGACCCGGCTGCTCCTGACCGGGCCAGGGGCGAAGGGGGTGGGGGCACGTGTGTACATGGTGGCTGAGTGGAGCTGACCCAGGCAGGCCCTTGGGGAGTGTGGCGAAAGCCCCCCAACCTGAGCTGATGGGTCCATCTCTCTGTAGGGGGCTGGCTACTCTGGTGGCCCCAAGGATGGTGGAACGAGGACATTAATGGTCAGGACATGTCCCTGCAACATGTCCTGTCTCTCCCAGGTGTCGCTGGCTCTTGGGGGGAGCGGGACACCCCTGCTCCAGGCTGACAGGAGCACACGAACATGTGTGGGGGAGGCCAGCCGGGCACCAGCAGCAGCCAGGGGTTTGGCCGGCTGCTCGCTCCGGGCCCCTGTGTGAGCCCTCCCCCCGCAGCAGAGCCCCTTACCCGTCGGGCCTGCGCCGTGTTGTCCTGTGTGCGGTAGGAGACCTGGGACTTGCCATTGTCCAGGATGCGCCGGGTGACGGGGATGCGGGCCGCCTGCTCCCCTCTGCTCACCATGTACTCGGGCTGCTCGAAGGACACGATCCCGCTGGCTGCAAGGAGCCCGGGTGCCGGTCAGGGCCTGGCCTCGGCCCTTTGCCGCTGCCACCTCCCGCCACCCTCCCTCTCACCCCCGCAGTCTGCTGGTCACCCCTCAGCCCACCACTCTCGGGGCAGGGGGGAGATCAGAGGAAGGGGGTGGAAATTGTTCCAGAAAAAAATGTGGAGGAGCTGGATCAGTGTCCAGTACACATCCTGGAAGGGTCAGGGCAGAGAAAGGAGGCCAGGAAGAGCCAGGACCAGAGACGAGCCCCCGAGACTGTGGGCAGGGGTGAGGGTGGGGAGCAGGACAAGGGTGGGTGGCCCTGGGACAGGGGGAGGTGGGGCTGGGGCCCAGAACAGGCCCTATGGATGCAGAGGCCAAGAAGCCAGGCCCTGCCACCTTTGCTCTAGCAACCCTGTCTGGTGACCTGGCTTGGTCAGTCCCCGGAGTTCAGAGGCCACGGGGGAGAGAAGAACCAGGGGAAGGAGGGGGTGAGCTCCAGGGGACCCGGAAGCAACCACTCCTACCCTGAGAGGTGACTCAGGGGTGCTCACCCCCCTCCAGGGGCCTGAGACCCACTGTACGGAGGGAGAGACCAAGGGGCACAGAGGGCAGGGGACACGCTGAGGCGGCCAGGCCAGGCCCCCCACTACTCGGGTCTCAGGAGGAACAGAGGGGACCCGCCCCCCTGCCAGCCAACCTTGCTCCTTGATGATGGTGATGTTGACCAGGCGGCGCCCGAGGGTGGCCGTGCCCACCGGCACGTCGATGGCCTCCACCAGCAGCTGCTTCTCGTCGTCGTCCTCGGGGCGGATGAACAGGGGCACCCGCACGTCCACCAGCTCCACGCCCTCCTGGAACTCCACCATGCCTCGGGCCTCTGGGGGCGGGGCGCGGTCAGGCCAGGGGGCGCCGGGCCGGACGGGGCGCGTGGGGTGGGGGCGGCCGCCTACCCTGGTCCGCGGTGAGGGTGTAGTAGCCGGGGGCCACCTTGAGCTCGTGGAAGGACCTCTGCTCCACGTGCTTCTCCGTCAGCTTCAGCAGGGACTGCTTGGCCGAGCGCGGCGCCGTCAGCACCGTGTCCACGATGGTGTGGTCCTGCCTGGGGGGGGCAGGCGGGGGGCGTCAGGCCGGCCAGGAGCGGGTCCCGTCCCGCCTGTCCCTCCTGCCTGTCCTCGCCCCATCAGGGAACAAGCACAGGAAATTCAGGACTCCATAGTCCCGGGGGGACGCGCACTGGCCCCTCCACCTGCCCAAGCCTCAGCCCCCAGCACCAGCCTCCGCCCAGCACTGCACCTCCGGGGCCCTCACTGTCCTCATCTGCAAAATGGGGGGAGGGAGCAGGGGAAAGCAGGCTGCAGGGGGGCAGCAGGCTGCAGGGGGGCAGTGTGCTGGGATGGAGGATGGCAGGGGGGAAGTTGGGGCTGGGGGCACCTGCACCCCGTGTCTTCAACTCACTTCTTCCCAGCGTTGGGCTGTTGCCTGTGGGGGACAGAGGGGAGCGTGAGACAAAGGTCCCTGGGCTGGAGGGACAAGCTGCCCCGGCAGATGCACCGGAGCCAGCTAGCGGCCGCCCGTCCCAACCCCAGGGACCCTGCAGCAGGCTCGGCGCTGGCACGGGCTGCACAGCCAGGCTGCCCCGCACCCACCCAGGCCCAGCACCCACCGGAACTTGGTCTGCTGCAGCTTGTGTGCGCCTGGGATCTGTCTGTACACCTCGTTCAGCTGCCGGGCAAGGGAGGGCCGTGAGGCTGGGCGCGGGGCGAGCTCTGCCCAGGCCGTCCAGGCCCAGGGGCCGCTCAGGTGGGCACGCCCATCACCTCACCCCCTTCTGGAAGCGTCCGCAGGGGACGACCCCAGGACACCCCCCGGGCCGGGCACATGTCCAAGGGCGCCCCTCTTCCCTGTCTGGAGACACCAGCTCCCGGCGGCTTTCCCGTCATGCTCCCACCCTCCTGCTCCCACCCGGGCCCAGAGATGGCGCCCACGGCCCTTACGTTCTCCTCCACCTCCCGGCGCAGCTGGTCGCACTCCCGCGTGTCGGGCTTCAGCAGGCTCTCCGTGCAGAGGCGGGCGAGGCGCAGGGACAGCCCGTAGGGCACTGCGGAGGTAGGGGTGGGGCGCCTCAGCCCTCTGCCCAGCGGCACCACAGAAGCCCCCTCGGGGAGCCGCTCAGGGGCCGTGGGCCGCGAGCTCATCGCGAAGGGCGGGGTGGCCAGCGCAAGCCTGCGCCCCTTCCTGTGGCCCCAGGCCCGGGGCAGCTGTGCCGTGCGAGGCCCCCAGGGCAGCGCCAGGGCCCGGCCCCGCGCTCACCCAGCTCCGAGGGGTTGGTGCTGGCGGCGTGGCTGGCGAAGCCGGGCCGCTGCACGTTGTTGGTGATCTTCCAGCGCACCGTGTCTCTCCCCTTGAGGTTCCCGCTGCGCAGCATGGGCGTGTCCAGGTGGTCCGAGGCCATCAGGCTCTCCCGCAGCATGTAGTGGTCTTCCTTGAAGCCCACCATGTGGCCTGCGGGGCAGGGGCCTCAGCTTGGGGTCCCCCCAGCCCCCCAGCCACACCTCTGCAGGTGGACCCCGAAGCACGTTCGGCCTCCGCTTCCCTCCGCGCTGGCCGGAGGAAAGGGCAGCAGAACCCCGCCCTGCCCACGCCGGCCGCCACCTACCTTGGTTGCAGCAGGGAAGACAGGCCAGGCAGGTCTAGGAGGCAAGCGGGTGGGGAGGAGGCTTGGACAGTTGCCCCAGGCTGGGAGCCAGGTGAGCTGCTCCAGCCCGCCCCACCCCAGCGTGTGGCCCGGAGGGCACCTGTGCTTTCCCCAGAGGCAGCGAGAGCCAGACAGGGGCAGCAATCTAGGTGTGGGCACAGAGGGTGGCAGTGTGGTGGGTTCCCAAAGTGTGTGCCAAGAGACCCTGGTCCTGCCACTGCCCGCAAAGGTCTTGGGATCGCCTCTGTCTAGGACTCGCTGAATTCATCCCTGGGCCCACTTAGAGGTTCCCTGTGCAAACTGCCAGGCCAAAGGCTCTGAGAAGTCCTGCACGGGAGAAACCTGCTTCTCAAATGGATTTGCTCACGGAACTTGTTTCCTCTCCAGCGCACACAAATACCCTGCAACACTGGGGTCACTACAGAGCACCCCAGTCCCCGTCCCTGCAACCCCCATGCACTCCTGTCTCTTGTCTCTTCTCTCCCGGGAGACTGTCAGCTCCTGGCAGGCAGGGCCCTTCCTTCCCCGATGGCGCCGCGGCCTCCGCAGGTGGCTGGCCCAGGACAGGGGTTCTCAGGATCGGCCACTGGGAGGTCGAGGGGCTGGGGTGGGTAGGGCACTAGAGCTGGATTTGCCTGGCACCTGCAGCCCTGGTGGGGGCGGGGACCCTGGCGGGGGCTCTAGGGGTGATGGAAACCCTGGTGGGGGTCTCCAGTGAGGTGGGGGCCTTGGCAGTGCCCCTGGGCCCTCACCTTGCAGCATGCACAGAACTTCCAGCAGAGCAGCAGGAGCAGCGCCAGGAGCAGCAGGAGGAAGATGATGAGAGGGATGAGCCACCAGAAGGAGCCGGGAGGGCAGTCTGGGGAGGAAGGAGGGAGCGGAGGAGGGAGGCCCTTGCCCCTCCTGGCCGGTGGGATAGGCCTGCCCAGCCCCGCCGGCCCCCAGCTCACCCTTGCTCTTGTGCACCAGGACGGTGCTGTTGGGCCCGGGGGTGCCGTCACCCTCCACCGTGTAGCTGTAGGTGCAGTCGTCATCCTCGTCCCGGAAGGAGCAATACTCCACCACCTCCTCCGCTGCACCCACAGTCAGTCAGCAGGGCACCCCACTCCCCCCACAGCACCCCATGGCCTGGTGGGGTGTCCTCTACTCTGGGGTCCATATTGCCCACCCACCCCGGGCCAGGAGGCACATCTCTGGGGAAGAAGGCACGTTCCTGGCAAACTGCAGGGAAGGGTGAGTGGGGGGCTGCTCTGCCCAGGAGCTTCCAAAAATCTGGGCCCCCTTCTTTCCCATCCTGGGCATCACCCAGCTTGGAAGCTTCTAGAAAATGTCTCTGACCTGGAGGAGAGGAGGCTCTGCACCCCCATGGTGTTCCTACCCCTGCCCAGCCTCTGCCCCTGCCGAGGCCACTGCCTCCTCCCCAGCCCCTTTGGTTGCTGCTCAGCTGTGCCCCTACCCTGTCTGTCTGGGTTCTGCAACTGCTCTCAGGCCTGGAACCCCTGTCTGGATGGTATGACCGCCACTTAGCTAATGAGCCTCCCGCCCAGATGAGTGGCCGTCCCTGCCCCAGCACCCCATCCTGCCCCTGCCCCCACACCTTTCTTAAGCTGGTCCACCATCTTGACCTTGAAGCTGCACTCCTCGCACTTGCGCCCCTTTTTCTCCCCAGTGCCCCAGGCCTGGCACTGCACGCAAGAGCGCAGGTCCTCGCAGAGGCCCAGGCGGATCTGGGGGAGAGGCAAGAGGGCGCTGTGCTGAGCGGGCTGCCCCAAGCCTGCACCTCCAGCCTCGAAACCTTGGCCAGCTTCCATGGCCCTGGGTGGAGCCCCCCATCCATCGCCCCACCTTGCACCTGGAGCCCCATGTCCACACCCTGTGATCCGGGCCTCACCGCTGAGTAGTTGATCTCGCAGATGGTGTCCGTGTAGATGGACTGCTGGTTGCAGTGGCAGCGGCCACATTCGCAGTGACCACGCCCGTTACAGATGCCCTGAGGCGAGAGAGGCCGTGAGCCAAGCTGCACCCCCATCCTTGCTGCTTCCCAGCCCTCTCTGGGCCCCACGCTGCTGGCCTCAGACCTACCCCATTGCTGTCGATGCAGGTGGCATTGCTGAGAGGACAGTCACAGCTCAGGCCTGTCCAGCCAGGTTCACAATCACACCGGCCCATGGAGCAGCGTCCCCGGTCTGCAGAGAGGGAGTCACATTGGCATGGGCCCTCCAGGCTGCCCACCTCGGGGAGAGCCTCCGGGAGCTGAACCCAGAGGCACGGCCATCTCCTCCTCACCTCCTTGGACCTCCTCCCTCCATCCCACCTTCCCCCAACACAGACCAGCCATGTGATCCCCCTGTTTAAGAACCTCTAGTGAGTTCTGTCCAATGCAATGAGGTAAGAAAAAGAAATAAAACATTTAACTAATCAAAAGAAAGAAATAAAACTGTCACTATTTGCAAGTGTCAGAACATGTCACCAGACGCCAAGAAGAATCTAGAGATGAATTTTCAGCTTTCGTTAAGTGAGCCTGGCAAGGTGCTGGATACAAGGTGAACAAACAGGTAGAAAATGAAATCAAAACCTCCAATGACTCCCTTTCGTCCAAAGGACAAAGTCCAGCACCCTTAGACTAGAATAAAGGTTTATTAACTGTGGCCTGCAGGCCAAATCCGGCTCTCCGCCAGTTTGTGTAAGTTATTTTGGGACCACGTGACTGTGTTACATGGTCTCTGCAGCTGCCTTCTGCACAGGGGCAGACTTAGTCATGACTGAGGCCATACACAAAGCTAAAAATAATCATGTTCTGGCCCCTTAAACATGTTTGGATTAGGGCCTCTCCTGGTGGCGCAGGCGGTTGAGCGCAGCGCTGTGAAGCTGTCCGCAGCCTCTGCAGCACTGGTTTGATCCCGGCCGGCTGGTGAGGTTCCCACATGGCGCGGCAGACCTCTCCTGTCGCGCCCGCTACTCCCCTCAGCAGTGTATTTCATCAGTCTGCCTGTTCTGTTCCCTCTCTGTCTCTGGTGAATCCTCTCATCCTCCCGTGCATCTGGCCTGTACCCTGGTTCTTGTATAAAATAAATAAATAAATCTTTAAAAAAAAAAGTTTGGATTAGACTAGAACTGGCCCTGCCCTGGACTGGAACCCAAACCCCTCGCACGCTGATCCTGCCTCCTTCCCGGCAACACTCCCCCACTCTGCGTCCCTGTGTGCGCCCAGGCCCTGCCTTCCGGGGGCTCCCTTCACTTCTCTGCAAATGCTGGCCTGGCGTGCACGCAGAGGGAGGGAGAGGCGCACAGAAGCAAGGACGGAGGGAAAGCCGAGAAAAGCGGGGCCTGAACCCTGTGGCCGTGCGGAGCTGGGCTGCATAAGCAGCGATGAGTGGGTTGTCGCCCATCTCTCCTCGCGGCCACCAGGCCCTTCCACGCGCTCCTGGTGCGGACTCTGTGACCCTCGCCCTTGGACACACGGTTAGGCCCTGCCTGCTAGAAACGTGGCCTCTTCTGAGAGAGGAGAGGCCCTGCTCCGTACCCCAATCGTGAGGCTGGAGCTGGGTGAATGGGAGTGTCGGGGTGGGGAGGCGGCACAGGCTGGAGGACGCAGGGGCTCAAGGCGAATGTCATGCTGGCTGGGGCTGGATTTGGGGGTGCAGAGGCACTGCGCCTGTGGGGCCCTGGCTCCCTGCCGCCCTCCGGTGAGCCTACCGTTGCAGAGGAACCCAGAGGCGCGGGGACACTGGAAGTTGTCGTGCTCGCAGAAGTCGCCCTCGTAGCGGCCCTCGCCGTAGCACACGCAGCGGCCGCACTGGCACTCGCCGCGCCCCGAGCACGCCTCGACCTCGTTCTCCCGCAGGCAGGGCTTCAGGTCGCTCAGGGAGCCCGTGGAGCAGTTGCAGGTCTTGCCGCTCCTGAGGGGGAGCCGGTCGCTTGCTCACCACTGCGAGGAAGGCTCGGCCTTCCTGACCCATTTTACAGACGGGAAAGCTGAGGCCCAAGTGCCAGACAGCGGGGGCCGAGCCCAGCCCCAAACCTTGGACTCCCGGACGCCCCTGGGGCCCTCCCGCGCACGCCGGCAGACTTAGGGTGCTGAGGCTTTAAAGACCCCCGCGGCCCCCGGTTCCTGGGCTCATGGAGGTGACACGCGCACTGGGCTGAGAACACTAAGGAGAGGAGCTCGTCTCTCTGGCCCGACACCCGTCCCCCCGTCCCGAGGGCACCCTGTCTCTCCTGGGGGCCCGCTTATCTGTCTCAAAGTGCTTTGACTGGACGCCCCAGCCCTTTCTGTGATCTCCTGCCCCCCTCAGCCGTGCCTGCGGACCTTGCCGGGGCCGGGCCCCTCTCTGGAGCCGCCTTCGCCCCCACACTCACCAGCCCTCATTGCACACACAGTGTCCGCACATGAAGTCCCCGTTGAAGTTGCACTGAGCAGACCGCACCTCTTTTTGCTGGAAAGAGATCGTGGAGGGTGTGTAGGGAGAAGGGAGCCAGGGCCACCAGACCCTCCGCCACCTCTGTCCCTCGGGGGACCCCACGGGGACATGTGGCCTCAGGCTGCTTCCTCACGCGGGGTCCCAAGCCCCCTCCCGGGCCCGGGAAGGCAGGGCCGTACCAGCTCACAGGTGCAGACATCACAGATGATGCCCACGTCCATCTTGAGGCCGTCGGAGAAGGACGGCTTCAGGTGGACGACGCCCTTCTGGTCCTCCTCCGGCAGCTGGCATATGTGCATCCCGTCCACGTCCTGCACGGCCCGTAGCTGCACCTGGTATGTGCCCTGCAGGCAGGGGCTCTGCTGTCAGCCCCACCGAGGCCAGTGTGCCCTGGTGGCCGAGCCTCAGGGTCCTGACGCCGCTCCCTGCCCACCCCCTCGGGCTGACAGCTTGCTCTTCCAGCTGCCGCACGGAACACCGGGTGGGCGCCCCCGTGGCCCGCTCCTGCGGCAGGCCCTGAACTCCCCCTGCTGTCTAACCCCGCCACACAGAGGAGGTGACAGACAAGCAAAGGTAGGCGCCAGGTGTGTGCAAGTGGCTGACTCAGGGGCTTCCAACCCAGGCCCGGCTGCCTTCAGAGGCCACATGCTCGACCTCTACTCAGGTAGATGCCCCCTCACACCCCGCAGGGCACTGGGCCCGTCTCGCTGCCCCAGGGCCCCCAAGAGGCATACCACTTCCCCCCGACGGATGTGAAAGGACCCAGTCTTTGTCTTCTGGAACATCTTGGAGTTGACCTCTGTCCGCAGGCCTCGGGGGCTTTCCAAGGCCCAGATGCCCAGGTTGGAGCGAATGGCCTGTAGGAGGACAGAGAGCCAGCTGGGCTCACCCACGCCAGCCTGGCCTGGAGGGCTGGGGCTGGTGGAGGTCACAGCGGTGGAGCCCACAGGAGCTGGGGGCCAGGTCAAGGCGGGCAGCTGTGGGCGCCCAGGGACACCAGTGCTCTGGGACATCGTCCTCTCTGCCCTGTCCCACTTCTCAGCCCTGACTGGAGATATCCTTTGCCCACTCTGCCTCCCCTTCAGGCCCGAGCCCCTCTCACTTTAAAGGCCTCCTCCAGCAGATCCACGATGTTGGACGAGTCCTCCTGCAGCAGCCCCACCCAGGAGACAGGGAAGTAAGTGTGCAGCTTCTGCAGGAGAGAAGACACGCTGGGTGAGTCCTGGGAGGGCAGCAGGTCACTGCATCCAGACAAGAGCTGCGGGGTCGGCCCCACGTGCAGATGGGGACGGAGGCCGGGAGCCTGCTGGTGCGTTCCACCCCTCCTGCTTGGGAGCTGGGCTGGGGGGTGGGTATGTGACCTTTCCTACCCGCCACCCTTGGCTGAAGAGAAGGGGGTTAGTGGGGAGGGAAAGCAGGAAGAGAAGGCCGGAGGGAAGGGGAAAGGGGAAGGGGGCGTCTGCACCCCAGTTGAGCCCCCCCTTGCCCAGCCAGGCTGGCCCCTCACCTCGTAGTAGCTGTAGGAGTAGTTGGTGACGGCGAAGATGGGGATGATGTTGTGTTTGGCGAGCAGGCGCACCAGGGTGGGCACGGACGGGTAGTCCTGCGCCCGGTACTGGGTGTAGGTGCCCCTGGCGTCCAGGTGGCATTCCTCGTCGTTGCGGGGCATGATGCCGGCCAGCACGTTGGCCCCGTCCGCCTCGTAGTGGAAGGCCGACTCGGTGGAGAACACCAGCAGGTGGGTGCTGTCGGGGCGCCAGCCGATGTCCCTCTGGGGATGCAAGGGGGTGCCCGTGAAGCTGGGCTTCTGCTGGGACGGGCACTCCCGTGTCGTGTCCCATGGGGACGTGCATCCCTGCGACTCAAGGGCTTCCCATGTGGCCGGGAGCCGATGCCGCCATCACAAACATTGGTGACAGCAACTCTCAGAGACCAGAGATGGGGGCGGCAGTGATGTGGGGGTGGTGCGTGCCCCTGGGCCACGCAAGATGGAACCAGGCTCCTCTTTCTTGGATCATCCCTCCAGGCTCTTTACTGCACTGTGAGAAAACTTTAACATTCTGCTGCAGGTTAAAGAAAAAGATGGGCTGGACGAGCTGTGGTGGTGCATGAACATTTGTTAGAGAAAATATGGGGTGGGGCCTCCCTGGTGGCACAAGGGGTTGAGTCGCAACACTATGAAGCTATCCGCAGCCTCTACAGAATGAGTTCGATCCCGGATCCCTGGCTGGCCAGGGAGCTACCCACAGGGTGCAGCAGACCTCTCCTGTCTCGCCTGCTGCTCTGAGCCTCAGCAGTGTGTTTCAGTCAGGCTGCCTGTTCTGCTCCCCACTCTGTCTCTGGTGAATCCTCTCACCCCCCGCACCTCTGGCCTGTACCCCAGCTCTTGTATGCATAAATAAATAAGTCTTAAAAAAAGAAAATATGGGGTGACTTTGACAACATGTTACAACCAAAAAAGCTTATAGGGGGTTCAGCAAAAAAAGAGCAGGTTTCAGAGGTACAAGCCACTAATTCCAGCTCTACGATACGGGAAAGGGAACAAGGCTTGCTCGTGGTCTGTGAGCGTCTGGCTGCTGCTGTTGATGAAATGTGGCACTTTCTGCTTTTCATGTTCCAAATTGTAGATGGGGGTACTGTCTTCAGAATGAAGGAAAATGGTCGTGCACATAGAAAGACATGCCCTCTCAGCTGCCCTGCCCAGGTGGGCACGGGCACCTTGTGGGTCCCGGCAGACCGGATGGAGGTGCTGAAGATTCCAGAGCCACACGACTCGGGTCTGCCTCACCGGCCAAAGCAAAAGCAGCGGCTCAGGCCAGGCACCCTCTGCTCCCCGCACACTTAAGTCCGAGCACCGTCGGGAGGGTCTGTGCTCCGCTGAGCCTGGTACCAGAGCAGACCAGGGGCAGCTCATGCCCTTGCAGAGAGGCACCAGCCCTAGAGGACCCCCCATCCCCGCACTCACCGTGCACACGGCCGTCTGCAAGATGGCGTCGAACCCGCCTTCGGGGGCGTCCAGGTTGCCCGATATCCTCTCTCCCTGCAGCTTACTCCGGAACTCAGTCACGTCCTGCGTCAGGCTGATGACGTTCTTGAAGGAGAAGGGAGCGTCGCTGTTAGGCCAGGGCTCCTTCAGCCTGGACAGAGAGGGCGGGGAGAGAGAGTCAGGGGGAGAAGACGGCGCAAACCCCACGAGGGTGTGCGGGCAGCGCCACCCTCCCCGGAGAAACCCCGGCTCCTTGCAACCGTATCTAGTTGATTCACAGTCAATTCTTTGCCACAAACATTTTCACCACGTGGGGCAATTCTGCCATTAAAAAAAAAAGATAAACTAGCTGGTTGACAGTTTGGTTGGATCCTTTGATCTGCATCGTGAGGAGCAGATGGGGTGGCCTTAAAATAGTGGGTGATGACAACTGGCGACTTGATAGCAAACACTGTGATAAAACCTGCTGGAAGCGTGAAACAGAAGCGGAAGAGCCAGACGGCCGTCTCCCCTGGCACAGGGCCACATGCCAGTTTGCACACCCTTGCCACCCGCCCTCCCGCCGCCCAAGTCAAGTTTACCAAGTGGCAGAGGATATAAGAGGCGGCTACAATTCCCAGCCGTCACGGAGAACATCACTTCTCCAGCGAATTCAACTGAGACTTGTTCTCGAACACCATCTATGCCCAATTTAGCACACAGACGCCGGTGACCACAAGCATGCGATGCCCGGCCATGGGAGCGGCTCGTCGGTTGGAGATGCTGCCAGTGACGGAGCTGAGGTCACAGTGATTTGTCCAAGAGTTGGTTTCTTTTCCTTTTATTTTTTTTTTAAGATTTATTTACTTATGCATACAAGAACTGGGGTACAGGCCAGAGGTGCAGGGGGTCAGAGAATTCACCAGAGAGAGTGGGGAACAGAACAGGCAGAAGGATGGAAATACACTGCTGAGGGGAGCAGCGGGGAGCGAGGAGAGGTCTGCTGCACCATGTGGGTAGCTCCCTGGCCAGGGATCGAACTCATGCTGTAGTGGCTGCAGATTGCTTCGAAGTGCTGTGCTCAACCCCTTGTGCCACCAGGGAGGCCCCTAGGAGTTGGTTTCTTATTTGAAACATACACTACTGGAGGAGAAAGAGGCCAAGGGCCTGGGAGGCACAGAGCGAACTCACATTTCCCACAGGATTTTGTGATTTATTACTTCAGATTTGATTGTTTTACTTTCTCCCACAGAATGGACTATCGGGCGGCCTCCCTGGTGGCGCAAGGTGAGTCGCAGCACTATGAAGCTATCTGCAGCCACTGCAGCACAAGTTCGATCCCGGGCCAGGGAGCTGCCCACATGGCACAGCAGACCCCTCCTGTCTCCCCGCTGCTCCCCTCAGCAGATTGGCCTTTCAGCCAATCTGCCTGTTCTGCTCCCCACTCTGTCTCTGATGAATCCTCTCACCCCCTGTGCCTCTGGCCTATACCCCAGCTGTCATATGCATAAATAAATAAAATAAATCTTAAAAAAAAATTCAGCCTGGTATTTGGAAACATATGCCTCTTTTCATTAAGAAAAAAATTCACTGAAAAATATCTTTTGAATTTTGGTATTAATTGTTCATGTTTCATTCTGTCCTTTTTGACTAGTGTCCCTCTTTTAGTTTTGTAATTGTGCCTTTTTAACAAAAAAATTACCTATGGTCAGTGAGTTGCGTGGCAAAAATATTTGTGGCAAAGAATTTATGGTCAGTCTTCTAGAACCCACTTCAACGAGAGGTCAAGGGCCTGGGGGCCGCCTGACTGAAGTCCTGCCCACTCAGCCACTCACTTCTCAGGCCTCATGTCCGTCTGAGGGACGCTGACCTTGTCCACAAACTTGCCGAATCCAATGGTGTAGTCTCTGGTGAGCTTGCTCAGGACCTGGGCTAACAGGACAAGAGAGAGGCCCCTGAGTCCCGCACCCCCGATCCTGCACAGGGGCCCCGGCTGGCTCGGGCAGGGAAAGAGGGAAACTAGCATCCGAGGGTCACCACGCTGCACAGGAGACACCAGTTCCTGCTCGCAAGAGTCCTTGTCCCTCTTATAGAGGAGAATGAGACTCGGGGGTCCCAGAGGGACGCAGGGAGCGAGCTGGAGGGGAGACACTGAGAAACCGGAGCGGCTGTCACAGCAGGCGCCTCCCTTGGCAGGGCCAGGACGAGTCCCCAGAGATTATTGGGGTCTGACTGGGAGCTTGTCCCTGCAAGGAAAGGAGCGGGGAATGGGGGAGTCTCTCCTGGGGAGACTCAGGTGTCTCTCCTGTGCGGTGGGTGCAGCTCCCTGAGCCCTGCCTGCCCTAGCCGGTGTTGGCCAGCTGGGTGAGCCCCTGTCCCATCCTCCACACCAGCCCCGCGGTACCCAGATCCTGTCCCATCTGCTTGAGGTTGTCCAGATCATCGGACATGGAGTTGGAGAAGTCCATGAGGATGTACAGATCCACAGGGCTCTCCTGGGGCTCGAACACTTCCAGCTCAAAGTGCCGCTCCTCGCCAGGCCGCAGCCGGACCCGCAGCCCCTGGGGGGACATCTGGCTGCGTCGCAGGGTGGTGTCTATCTGGGTATCCTGTGTTCAGAGGAGGGGTCAGTTAGCTGGGGGTCACTCCAGAGTCTCAGCCCCGTCGATGGACAGAGCAAGCCCCCATCAACCGCGGGCCTTGAGCAAGAAGAGCCCCGCTCCCCCCGATTCCACTCCGGCACCTCTGTGATCTCGAAGCTGCTCTCCATGACCACCACGCTTTCCAGCCGGCAGCCCGCGGCCAGCAGCTCAGCCTGGGTGTTGCAGCGCCGTTCCCTGAACATCTGGGCAGAAGGAGATGGGGTCAGGGGGCAGTGCCGCCCTGCTGGCTTTCCCTGGACTGTTCCCCCTGACCCCAGCCCGTGCTCCTGCTCCCGCCTGGCCAGGCGCTGGGCCGAGGGTATGGGAACGTGGACTTGGCATGAGCCTGGGGTGCCCGGCGGGGAGCGGCCCGGGTTGGGCGGTGGCCCCAGCTGGCCCCAGCTCAGCGCGGCAGGCCGGGCGGCAGCGTCACCTCGTCCGTGCAGTAGGCGCAGTCCTTGTCCACGCGGATGCACTCGGTGCAGGTCCTGACCTGGGCCTTCTTGCAGCGGTTCGCTGGAGGGCAGAGACGGGCGGCGCTGGCTAGACCTTCCTCACCGGAGAGAGGGGGGCCCTCCCCCGAGTTTCGGAGGGGAAATGGAGGCCGAGAGAACATGGTGGGCCCCAGGTAGCGCGAGAAACCGGCAGGGCCAGGTCTCACGCCTGGAGCTGTCCATTCAAGTCGGGAGGGGAGGTGGGGCCTGGCCCCGCTGCTGCCTGGGACACCCTGGCCTTCTCTCTCATTCACTGCCCGGGGGCAAAAGGGACCGCGGGTGTGTCTCGTGGGCGGCTCTGGCCGCAGTGCCTGGCCCCAGCCCAGCACGTAGTAGGTCAGTGAATGAGGCAAAACTTCAGAGATTCTTCAGAGGTTACTGGGAGTCCCTTTGGTTTTGTACAGTTGGAATCAGGGTCAGGACCCACGATGCGCACCCAGGGGTGGTCTCCCGCCATGGCCAGTTACAAGCTGCCACGTGGCCATGTGCCCACGGTCAGAGACGGCTCCGGCCACGCGCGGGCCTCCCAGAGCGGGTGACGAGTCGTCCTGCCGTCCCTCCCCCTCCAGCTCCCGCAGGGCTCCCCCAGAGCTCTGAGGCCTCAGCGCACCCAGCGGGGCCCCGGTCTCTGAGTGGCATCTTCCATCCCCCTTGAGACCGAGCCTCCCTCCCCTCGGGGTCCTTGGGCCACGCGGCTCAGGCCCGGGGACCCCCAGAGCGTCTGGGTGAGGCCCCAGCGAGGGCCATGCTGGACTCACCGGCGTCCCCCGGGAAGCTGGCGCTCAGCAGCGCGGCCAGCAGCAGCCTGGTCCACGGGCAGGCCCGCGGCCCCGCCATGCTCTTCCTCCTGCGGAACGGCCACAAGTGTCACGGGCACCGCCCCACGCCCGGCTCGCCGGTCCCCCCAGGGCGCCGCAGGAGAGGCGCTACCATCCCCTCAGCACGGGCGTGGAAACGGGCCCAGAGGCCACGCAGCCCGCCCAGTGGAGAAAGGCGCGCCCTTCCCCGCCGGCCTGGGCGGCTGTCTGCCGCGGGCCTGCACCTGCCCAGGGGGCTCCCTCGCCTTGGAGAACTCGGGCTCCGGGCTGGTCCCAAGCGGGGCTTCCGTCCGGCTCCCCGCGGGTGAGCAGAAACGGTTTGGCCTTTGCCTTTCAGATCCCTGCGGGCCTGGCTCAGTCTGGGTGGGGAGAGGGCGCCCCTGGGAAGGCCTGGCTCTCCCTTCCCACCCGCTGGCTGCCCCAGCCCTCGCCCTTCACCCTTCGGTGAGGGCGGTGAGCTCAGGAGAAGGGCGCCTCCCAACATCGGGGCCTGGGGCGGAGAGGCAGCTGGCAGCACCCGGCTTCTTCCCCAGTGGCTGACCCGCCTGCCAGGGTGGCTCCCTGCGCTCCCCGCTACACGGCCTGCCCCAGAGTGAGGTTTTTGGGGGCCCTGGAGCCATTCTCCCTTCCCAGAGAGCGTCTGGACCTAGAGTCCTCCTCCTGCCCCCTCCAACGCCCGCCTGCTGCCTCTGGTTCACTATAAACCGTCTCAGCGTGTCAGAGCCCCAGGGGCCGGGCACTGGCATCGTTGAGGCCTTTTAAAGATGGGCAGCCTCGCGCTGGGAAGAGGAACTGGTGGCAGCCACCAGGCCTGCAGCCCGCTGAGGGCAAAAGTGAGCGGAGTGGCCTGGCCTCCTCAGGACCCTCACCTCCCCGCGGCTCAGGACCACACCCCCCCGCTGGCTTCCCTCCCTGGGCTCTTTCTCGGTCCCTGGCTAGTGGGGCGGGGGCAGCCAGGGGTCTCGGGGCTGAGGCCCCGGTGCTGGGAGGCTGGAGGTGTCGGGGGCCAGGAAGGCAGCATCTTCCTCCCTGCAAGGCAGGAGCCCCCAAAGCCACTAGCAGCTCCCACATCCACAGGCAGAACCAGTTGGGGTTCTAAGAGGGCCCTTGGCCAGTGGGAGGGGGGTCCCCAGAAAGTGACTTTCCTGCAGCCTGAGGCCCAGGCACCACACCCACTCACACAATGCAGGCGCAGACCTGGGCGCCCCGGGGCACCATTACACAGGCGGGCTGGGCACCGGATGCCCAGCCCGCCCTTAGTCATCCTCCCGTGCCCACAGGCCGGGCACACAGCGTGCTCAGCACTTCACCTGCGCGGCTGCTCTTCCACCTGGGCAGGGGGGGTCTGCACGCCCCTATCTCCCAGGTGAGGAGGTGAGACACAAAGGCTCCCCCATCCTGCAGCAGGCCATGGGGGGCCTGGCCCAGCCCCTGCAGTCCACACCACCCCTCACCCCCGTTTAACCTCTACTTTACACGCAGGGGGTGAGCTGTGCGCTCAGGAGTGTTTTGTTTGAATCGACTTGTGTGTCAAGTTTTAAAAGTGATTAAAAACAATGAGATTACACATAGAATGTCTGTGGGCTCATCGGAGGAGGAGGCCCTAAGGGCCCCCCGGGCCGTACCAGCCCAGTCGGGGAGTGTGACTGCCACACCGAGTGCGGGCACGCTGCGGCACACCCAGGCTCCCGCACGCAGGGACACGCTCACGCACGGGCACGGCTGAGACCCAAACGCGCACGGATTCGGAGGTCTCCCCACGAACCCCATCCCTGCTGAGCACGGCGCTCTGCCAGCCCCTCAGCTGCTGTGTCACCCACAGATCCCAGTGTCAAAGGAGAGCACCTTCCCCGCCCCTCCGGCTCTCCTCCTCCCTCGGGCCCCAGCATGGGGAGCTTCCTCCCAGCGCTGTCGGAAGCAGCAACAACCAGGCCACTTGTGCCAGGTTCTGGGACTCGTGTGCCGAGGCCCTGGGGAGGGGGCCGAGCCTGGTCCCTACCTTGGGAGCCAGAGGCAGACCACCCAGGGGGCGGCACTGGAGGAGGCACAGCCCCCAGAGCTGTCGGGTGAGGTCAGGAGGGCTTCCTGGAGGAAGGGTGTTCTGAGTCAGCTCCGGGAGGAGGGTAGGCATGTGCTTGCCAAGAGGAGTGGAGCGTCAGGGACTCCCCAGGTCCCTGTTGACTGTGCCCCCCCCCCAATGGGCCCTGCCCATCTAGGTGGCTGCACCCACCCTCCCCTCTTTGCAACCCCCAGAGCCAGCCCAGCAGGTCTGCGGGGCCCCGGCCCGGCCTCTGCACTGGTGCACACCCACCCGGCACCCTGGCCTTTCACCCTGGCCACTCCTCGGCCCAGAGGTGTGACCCAGAGAACCTCCTCGAGCTCCCCCTGCCTCTCTGCTCCCAGCTGGCCCCTGGGCATACCCTGGCCGGCTGGGCACCTGCCCTGGGCAGCGAAGGTAGAGGGGGCCAGAGCCTGCCAGGCTTCAGGAAGGGGAAGTGCCAGGAGACAAAAGCCACCGACCCTCCCAACCAGCTCCCCTGCGGGGCTGCCAAGCTGGGGCGCTCCCTCTCTCTCCGGGCCTCTGTCTCCCCGACGGGGGCGCAGGGCATGGAGGGGGCTGGCGAAGTGCGGCCCCGATCCCCCGACGGCGCTCCCGTTCCGCGCCCCTGCTCCTGCCCGGGTCGGAGGCTGGACCTACCTTGGCGCGCGCGGGCGCCCTCTCCGCGCGGGCTCCGCTCGGCGGCTCCGGCTGCAGCGCGCCCCGAGCCGGGACTGTCCGGAGGGCGGGCTGCAGGGCGGGCGGCGAGCGCGGGCGGGACCGCTTTATGGGGCGGGCGGCAGGTAGAAGGAGGCGCTGGTGAGTCAGGCCCGCCGCATTCCTGCGCGCGGCGCGCACCTGTCGGGGCAGGAGCCGGGGCGCTGCGGCCGCCGGGCCCGCCCCCCGGAAAAGGCTGCGGCTCCCGCGGCGCCCAGCCCCGCGCCCCGACCGTCGGCGGCCGGGAGGGGAGGAGCCACACCCCTTTCCAGCCCAGCTTCGGGCAGCGCCTCCCCAGCGCCCCCAACCTGCGGGCGTCCCGCCTCCCCAGGCTGGGGGTGGCCTCTGAGCCCCCTGCCCTGATCCGCCGCCCTCCCTCCTCCAGACCCTGGGCCGGGAGCCACGGCCGCTGTCCCCACGGCGATCCAGCCCGCTGCGCACGCCACGGCCACCTCCCTTCTCCCTGTGCCAGCGCCAGGGATGGGCCCAGGTCGGAGAACTGGCTCCCCAAGTTTACCCATAGGGAGATCTGAGCAAAGACCGGGTCCCTGGGTGTCCGCAGGCAAGCCACTCAGGCCTCCTTGAAGTGTCATAGCACCCATCCGGAGGCCGGCCAACCTGGAGTGGAGTGGCCCTCAGACTGTTGGGGTTGTTCCTGACAAGCGGGTTCACAAATCCGACCCCTGCGGGCCTGTGCCTGCCGTCTCTCGAGCGCGGCTGGTTAATGTGTGTTCAAGTTCAAGCCTTGCAAGTCACTCCTAGACGCCGGCGTGGTCTGTTTCCCCAGCCCCACCTGCCAACACCTGCCAACCCAATGCCTGCAGACCCCCGTCACTCTGCCAGGGAGCCCCTCTTACCAGCCTGCTTTGTCCTTTTCTTTTCTTGTTTTTTTTTTTTTTTAAAAGATTTACTTATTCATGCATACAAGATCTGGGATACAGGCCAGAGGTGCGGGGGTGAGAGGATTCACCAGAGACAGAGTGGGCAGCAGAACAGGTGAATTGACTGAAATACACTGCGGAAGGGAGCAGCAGGCGAGGTCTGCTGCGCCATGTGGGTATCTCCCTGGCCGGGGATCGCTCTCCTGCTGCAGAGGCTGCAGATTGCTTCACAGTGCTGTGCTTAACCCCTGCGCCACCAGGGAGGCTCCTGCTTTATCTTTTTCACCCTTGAAAGCACCCTGCTGATGCACAGCTCCAGAAAGCCTCCCTGCACCCCGGTGGCTTCTGTGTCCCCATAACTCCCCCGCCCCCCCCCACAGCTCTTCATCACATTTGACTGTTGCTTTGAAATGACGGGATGAGGGGTCTCTTCCCCGCTGGACTGTGAGCCCTGAGCCCAGGACAGTGCCTGGCACATAGCAGGTGCTCAATAAAAGTGTGGCTGAATCAAAGCTGATTGCCCCCCAGCTTCCTGGAGCTTCAGCGTTCTCATCCCTAAACAGACACAGCCAGCTCGCAGAGTGCTGGCAGGAGCCCTGGGACTGGAGGGGCCTGTGCCATGGACATGCATGTGTGCACCACAGTGCGCAACCCTCACCCCTTGGCCACCGCGCCCAGTCATCTGACAGTTGCTCTGCCCAGGCCTGGGGCGCAGAGAGGCTGGTTCCTGGACTTGGACGCGAGCTCCCATTTGATTGAAGCACCCAGGTCTGGGGGTGCCAGGTGAGTGTATGTGCCCTGCCCACCACCCCGGGAACGAGGAGCACCGAGAGCAGCCTGCAGCCCATCAGCAAAGGCTGGGTGGGTGGCACATACCCACTGTGGTCTCCTGGAGAAGGAGACCCAGGTCCAGAGGTGGTGATGCCACAGACTCCACCCAACTCAGCAGCCCCTTCCTCTCCTCATCGTCAAGGGGACAATGCTGCTGCCCTGCAGCAGCTGAGAGGAGGGAGTTGCCCGGAGAGGCCCTCAGACAAGCCACCAGGATCTCAGTCTTCTGTGGAATATTGTTAAACATACATGAAGTGGAAGGTCACCTCTTAAAACTCCAGTCACCGTAGATGACTGTATTTCTACCCGTCAGACCCGAGTTAGAGTTAACATTTCACCACTTTTGCTTTATGCATGCTGGTTATGTATTTATGCATCTTTTTATTCGAATTTAAGCCGAAGACATCAAGGCACTTCAACATTTCACCTGCCTCTCTCAAAAGCAGCCCCCACACCCCTACAACCACAACACGCCAGCCATCGCACCTTGGAAAAGGAGCTGTATGTGTATATATATGTATATGCATGTGTGTGTGTGTGTGTATATTACAT